CACATAAAGTGAGATACACTTCAAATATGTGGAAAAAAGGTGAATCCAATTTTGGGACAAACATTTACATCTATAGAAACGTAAGCCTTCAAACTTTTTTCATTATTTTTTGTGACTGTAGAAAAAAGTGCCAATGAGATTTTTTACTTCATTGAATCAAGAAGTCCTTTCATAAAACTGCCAAGTCATTGTTGCCCTCTGTCATAAATACTAATGTATGATTCAAAAGTTATGAAGAAATGTTGTTAAATTTTCCTTCTGTCAGATGGTGTTTTCATTGCTAGAAACCCCAACTGGTTGCCAAAACAGTAGGATTGTAGGAAGTAAAACACTTGACCTTTCTGTCAATGATAAAAAGCTTACCCAATGCTTTCTAATATATGTTATGTGGACTTCAATCATTGCCGATGAAACACAAATCAGGGAATAGAAGTTAATTAAACTGGAGTGTTTTTATGACCAAATGACCAGTCAAAAGCCTCTAACCTTGTGATTGAATATGACAACAAATTCTATGTGCCTATGCATTAACCTGGTGAAAAAATAATGTTTGTTGTGTGGTAAAGGTTTTCTGACCCCTGTCTTCTAGTGTTGGTTATCCTCTCTGTAAATGGAATGTTTGAAGGAAGGAGTCACAACACAAAACTGGACTAACCTTTTCAGTCATTGCCATTGTCAAACACACGTAGGAGCTTTTTAAGGTATATTGGTCCCCTAGCTCAGTTATGCCTCACAGCAAAATCACTACCTGACTACAGACTAAAAGATCCCACAAATAGCATAATATCTTTATATGCAGTTGGATCAGGCTATGTAAATTTCAGGATTTGTACTCAGCATGGATGTTTGGTATGAAATGGCTTTATAATTCAACTTTTGGGTGAAAAAATCAGCCACAGGTTAGAAGGAAAACTTCCCTTGTTGATACAAAACTTCCATTTCCCTGACCTCAGGATTCAGACTTATTCACAGGAAACAGGAAGGGTGGGAAGAAACTGAAATCGGTGAAAAAAAAATCGAGCTAGTTTTTGTTAGATTGCTGAATGAAATGTCAAAAAAGGAGCTATCAAGTTTACAGGTACTTTAAGTTTTCCGTTCAAATATTAACCCTGTGCAGCTTTTGGAAGATTGGCAGTTCTAAACAAATAGCACAGAGGAAAAACTTCCAAGTGAAAAAAACCTTCACAAATGTTGGGGAAATCTAGTGCTAACTAATAGAGTGTTTTAACAGTTGCTTTTTGGTGTGTCATGCGATGACTGCCCATGTGACAGCGCAGTGGCATGTTTGACAAGAAGCTGTTTTGTGTTTAAGTCTGTCAAAAGGTTATGCTTGTGAATATAAGAGGAAATAAAAAGGGACATAAAAAGTTGAAAGTTTTTTCTTGTTTTTTCTTGTCTGAATGTAACATAAAATACTTGTAGAAAGTGTTAAAATTTTATCTTGCAGTCTGGTATTTTAGGTGTTTTAATAATAATAATAATAATAATAATAATAATAATAATAATAATAATATGTTTTCTAAAACTGTGCTACACATCTGTCTTGGTGCTGTTTACAAACTTTTTAAATTATTTCTCTTTATTTCCTGACATTTGCTGTGGTTGATTAAAAAAGTCTGCCATTTATCTGATAGCCCTTCTGGATAAAACATGGAGCTTTGAAGCTTGGTTGCAATACTGTATATAGTTTCATAGTTTTTAAAGATTTCTGGATTATGCCTAATTTCAGGATTTTCTGTGTTCATATTGATCTTTTTTTCATATGATTCAAATGAGATGAGAAATTGCAAGTTATGTTTTCAGGATTTTCAGTTTTTACATCTTTCACCCTGGCCTTAGCTCCCAATTTTCTCTTATTTGCTGTACGTCATAGTACATAACAAATAGAAACATAGAGATAGGGGTGGGGTGGGGGGTGGGTAGGAGGATGAGTGAAAAGAGGAAGTTTTTTTGTCAGGACCATTAGTTTTCCAGAATAGCAAGTGAAAGCACCAAGTTTTGCTTGCAGGGGCAGATCCAGAAAAACTTTCTGAAAGTCTTCCAAATTATCTCTCTTGATCTATCCCCCATTTTTGACCATCTTCTGAGATGCCTGTCAATGTAAACTTGAAAATTCTTATAGTTTTCCATAAGATCCAGAAGACAGCCGACATCCGCCCCTGGCTTGCTTGTAATATTTCATGACTAAATGGTTGACACTGTTGAAATAATGTTGTTTCTGGAATGGGTATATTGGAATTTTGATATTTTAAGCAGATTTTTTCCATGGACAAATAGTAAATTGGTTTTATTGCAAGTTTGCAGTTGTTTTGAAGGTAGGAAATGTGTAGTTGCTATCTGAAAACTCATCTGAAAAAATTGAATAAAGAGAAGGAATTAAGCAACTTACTAAGATAACTCATATGTAAGTTTGTTAGATCATTATCATAAAGCTTGGTACTACATTTGATTTCTTTTTTTTTTTTAGTAATTATTTTTTGTTTTTTGATATGTTATCTCAAACATTCTAGAGACATCTGAAGCTAAAACTGTTGGCTGAAAACTAATTATACCAGAAAGAATTTGTTTGGTTGTCCTGTAACCATTAAATCTAAACAACTTTTTTCTGTTTGCCTGTTGTTAAGAAGTTTTTTTTAGAACTAAAAAGCGTAAATGTTTTCAGCAAGTATGGATTTAATTGCTTTCCTATGTTTGAATTACTCTGAGTTTTCCTTTGTTTTTTTTTTTTTTTTTTCACGACAAGCGACATACCTTGCATACAGTTGCTGTTACACATTAGATACACTGACAGTATAAATACAAGCCATGCTGGTGCACACAAGTATTTTCCCAACACAAAATCAAATATTTCAATAGGGTGAACTGTATGGCCTTTTATGGGTACATTGGCATCCTGCAGTTGACAGTGCTAATTCCCGTGTCAATGCCACTGTGTCCCCCCATGCTCCAGGTGGGCCTTGTCACAGGCACTAATTCACATGCCTTAGGTATGCTGTTAATCCCTTGGAGAAAAACAGGCTGTGTTGTCTTTATATTATATGGAGTGTTCTTATTTCTGGTGTTATTATTTACCTTGTAAAGATTGATATTACAGTGATAAATTGGTCATTGTATTGGAGACAGTTTGGTGTGAGAAGCTGTGAGCTGAGCTGCATGCCACACATGATGAATCATGATTTTGGATCTAGTTTTTGGTGATATCTGTTGAAAACTGTCATGTTAATTATCTTTCTGAGATGGATGAAGGAAATGAAAGCAATATCAATGTATTTAGTGTATATCTGATCATATCTGAATGAAAAATTGCTGAATATCTAATCATATCTAGATGACAAAAAAAGAAGATAGCAGACAATTTACAATCACCTGCATTTAATAATTTTAGATAATTGAAAAGCCATCAAGATTGGTGACACTGATATCATTTTGGAAAAAAATGTCCCTAAATTAGTAATCTTTGTAGCAGAAGATTGAAAATGGCCAGAAAGCTACAAAATGAAGTGTAATAAATTTCCTTGTGTGTGTTTTCTTTTTTTTTTTTTTAATTTCTTCCTTTTTGCGTAAATTTACTGTTATATAATTTGCAGTACTTGGACATAGTAATGCAAATATTGTGAATGCAAAATGCTATTATCTATCAATGATCCTTCAAGCAAAAGATATGAAGTAATGGAAATGTTTTTGTCATAATTGTCTTACATTGCATATCTTTCATGAAAGTTCTTTGGTGTGCATCTGGCAACTAATGAAGTAAGAAATGAAAGAAAAGACCCAAAGCTATATAGAAACCACTTGAGTAGTTTGAAAAAACACTCTGCTGGTTATATATTTAATAAGATTTCTTTCACACATCACTGGTCTGTGTAGCAGAATATTTCAAGTGGCAGACTTGTGCTTGGATGAAAGGGATTAATGAAGCATTACCTGGTCAGGTGAGGCTAATCCCCGTGTATCCTCACCTGCTTGGAAGAATTTTGACTCTCTTGGAGATTAACCGTCTTACAAATACCTGGGGCTGAGACTGGGCGTTTGATAAATAGAAAGGTATTTTGTGAAAATATAGCTGTGGTGTTGTAGTATGTGAAGGTAGAAGTGGCATGAGTGTCTTTGAGTAGGTGAGTTAAATGTGGAGGAAGGGAAGGGGGGGGGGGAGCAAGAGGTCTGCTATGCTCCTCCTCTCTGGAGGATCAGGATCCATGATCTTTATGCCATTGACATCCTATATTGGACCTGTGTGTATTATTTGTTGAAATTAAAGTAGTTACAGGATATGTAACAAAGTACAAAGAGTTTGAAAGTGAGCCATACTATTTTTGATTTTGTTTGATGAAGATACATTATATATATTACCCTTTTGTGTTTTGTCATTTGTAAGAGAAATTCATGTGAGAATATCCCCTTTTTTAAAGAAACCTGGTACTCAAATTGAAAAAAAGGATAAAGTTAATAATATACAGATATTATCAGATAATCTCAAGAATCAGCCTATTGTACCAAATTGGACCACAGAGATTGTTACTGTCATAAAGCTTCTTTCCATTTTAATAATACCCTCTTGTGCCTGAGGTTGGGGGCCATTGCTATTGAATCAACCAGAAAATTGCATTCCAACATTGAAAGACAACTGACTTGAAGTAAAATTGGCCATTTAAATGCCACAGACATTGAAAGTTCCTTATATCAATCATATCCTGTGTAGTCCACAAAATATCACAATTTCATTCTCCATCCCTCATTTCTCTTCTATTAAACTGGGAACAAGCAATAATGGACGGTGCAGTGGTTTTGGACGCAACGGTCTTGACCCTTTTGACCCATGCTATGACCCCTGAAACAAGGTGCCATTGATAGAACAAGCAGGCCCCATCCATCTCATCTCATAGCAAACTTTTATCTCTGTCTCTCTCTCTCTCTATTTATATATGACACCTGTATGTGTTATCTCTTATATCCACCTCTTCCAATCAGAGATACCCACCTTATTGACACAGTGGACTATTGTACAGAGCATCATTGGCTGAGAAGTGCCATTTTGCCTTGTTACCCCTCATGTAGGATGAGCGCCTGTGTCAACTTTGTCAACGCGCTGGGCGGGATCTGAAGAGAATGTGATTTAATTTTGCTGTGAGGCTAGGATTTCATGTTGTGACACTTGGAAGTTTACTTTCTGCTGGTTGGCCTGAATGGGTGATGACCTCTCCTTAAAGAGATGAACACCAAAGGATCAGCCCCCATTCACAATAATTGTTATTTTTTAACCCAAGGTAGTGTGATTGAAAACAAACGGTGGCTGCAGTAATCTTGGTATCAATGACATATCAAGCATGCTAGAGTGGGCCGATTCAGCGTGTTAACCCGCTGATTGATCAGAATTGTTAGTGGGTACCGTATAGGACAATAGCAGTCCTGAGACAGCAAGCTTGGCTGATACACTGTTTGATTAGCATCCCCTACTGCATTGATTGGCTATTGATGTTGTCCCACCATTGTAACTAAATTCAATAATTTGTTTGGGATTGGGGAGTTGCAGCTCCGGCTAGTGAGGTGATTAGTTGTGACAGAAGCAAAAGGCCAGTTATTTGTGTGCTAGATGGTAGGTGGAGAAGTTACAGAGGAGGAAAGTCACAAAGCATTTCATGTTGTGACCCGTACTGTTGCCTATGTACATGTACAAACATTGTGTCGTTTTTTGGAATTGCAGAAAAGGAAAAAAAAGTTATGCCGAGTAGATCTTGAATGCTCTTTGCAAGTGCAGGGAGCATATACACATTGCACAAACACAGGGAAATTCAGGGGAAAAAAGTTATGATTAACAGATCCTAAATGCAGAATTAGGGTGAAAATAGCCAACTGCCGGATGCACATAGCTGTTGCATGAGGTGCACAGACTGCAGGAGTATAGTAAAGGACGGCACTGGATGAGCCCAGACTATGATGAAGTTTAGGTAAGACTACCAACTATATATAAAAAGTGTGTCTATGTGATTTGTTTTTTATTTAACTGGAAGCAGAGATAAGACTTAGGGTAGGATTTCATGTACAGTATCTTCCTATGAGTCTGCTGGGTGTTGTGTACTGGTGACAGGGATGAAGGTGAGAAGTTCTAAACATTGAACTGTTTACTCTCATCATAAGTTCACATGCTTTGTCAACTCTTTGATAAAACAGATTGAATTAGAAATTTTTGGCGTGTGGAATAAATGGTTGACATGTGATGTGTTCTCTTATTTTTAGCAGTTTTGTGGTTTTCTTGCAATTTGAACTGGTTGTTAGTATTGGCTCAATCCTCTCCCTTTACATAATGTTTTATCACTGTGTTTTACACTTGTAGTGGTGATACATTTCTTGCAATGCTATACTCATCTCTGTGTCATTCATTGTTATGTGAGTAACTATGTATCAAAATCAAATATATTAGGTTTATATTAAAAAAAGAATGAGAAAAGAAAAACTAATTGAATTGACTTTGATAGTAAGTCAGTTAAATATTATTATTTTCAATTATTTTAAACCATGCTTATGGTCCAACTGTTAAAAAGCAATTTGAGGAGATTAAGTTCTACTGTAAGTCTCATTTATGAAAAAATTATTTAAAGCAATACCCAATATTCCCAGGGTGGGTAATGCATAGCTTTTAACCCCAGTCCATGTAAATACATACTGGGGTCCATTGATTCATCCACAAAATATGCAATCAATACCAGAATAATGTTCTTGTTAATTAGATTTTGTCCATTATACAACAGTGTTTTGATGTGTTTTGTAAATTCAGGAATGTTTGTGTTTCTTTGTGTGAGGGATTGTCTTGACCATGCTAATAGAGTGTGTCCAGCTTAATTAAAGTTTTAATTGAAGTCCACCTATTGGCATTTCTTGCTGACCCTTGCTCTGTGATAGCAGTGCAAGTAAGGTTCAATGGAAATCAAATATTTTGTTAATGTTTTTGCAAGATGATAGTTTTGCTCATTTTCACATTATTTCTTGGCAATTTTCACACTATTTTAAGTCACTTTTAAATCATTTTATAATTTTGGTGCTTGTTTTCCTGGACAAAAGAAAAGGGATATCCACACAATGTTGCTGTCAGTTGGCCCTATGTTGCCTCATAAAAAAAGATTAAGATTTGAAAAGTTTACCTACTCTGTTGTGTAGACATAGACTGTTTACCTTGCAAACATAGTGTTCATGCATGAGTTATTCGATACATGTATAGGCAGTGCATTCATAATACAGAGCTTATTCAAGAAAGATCCATCTTGAAGAAATTATTAGTAGAGGACTTTTTATGGAGAGTAACCTTTTTCATTTGGCAACTTGTACAAGTGTGTCCTTGTCTTCAAAGAATAACCCAAAGATCTAAAAATATCTGAATTCAAGTATGGACATTCCATTATTATAAGATTAAAAAGTTTTTTGCAGGTTTCTGTGCTTTATGCTGTTTTTAATAAATATTCAGTTTATTGAACAGACACAGAGTTGATCGTGGATCCGAAACATGTAGTTATTCTGTACAGTGGCAAAATCTTTTTTTTTTTTTTTGTGGAATACCTCCACCTGTATTGTTGGACTACTCAGGACAATATAATTTTGTTTCTGGGGATCAAACATTCAAAGACCCCCAAAGCTCTTGAGATGGATCAATAAGATTCAATAAACTCTTAGTCTACAGAGAATGTTTTCCATGTTAACTGACCACCTAAAGATATATTGTGGTTTTGTTCAAGTTTCACATTTCTCTTTTCTACCTCGAGCTATTTGAGAAAAATTTATTATGGTGAATGATGTNAAAACTTTATTATGAGGAAACACACACCTTGCAATTTGAATTGGGTATATGCTGCACAAACAATGGTGAATGATGTGGGAGATTATGTGTAGGTGTGAAAATTCACTTATTATCACTATTATAGATCCGAGAAAAGCAATTATGTCACTAGTTGCATCATCATAATTTACTGTTTCAACTTTGAAGTTATTCACCTGTTTGGAGCTTTTGAGTCAAGGAAATATTAAGGAGATGATTAGAAAAGAGCCATTATACAAAACATATGCCATTTATCTCATATTCAGCAAGGGATGTTTTTCTTTAAATTTAGTTGATGTAAATTGATAGTAAATCAAAGGAACATGTTGCAAATATCCAGCATTTCATATGTATGACAATCCATGTACATATTTTAAATATATTTTTTTTGGCACTTTATTTTATTTATTTATTTATTTATTTATTTATTTATTTATTTATTTATTTATTTTTTTTTTTTGGGGGGGGGGAAGTTTTCCACACTTAAAATTTGTCCATGAAGGACAATAATTGTAGATTGTATAATGTAGATGTTATTTGTGATACATAAGATCCCTTCTTATACATATAAAATGTTGTGAGTACAATAAAGTCATGATGACTGTCAAGTTTTACGCTAATCATTTGTGTTAGATCTGCATTTTTACATTGCATGTGATCATATAATGGTATACTGCTCTGTGTGTATGTGTATTTGTATGAATATTTCTATTTTCATTCCACAGGGTGAAATTACCCACAGAAATTGACTCTGTCCAGAAGTGGCTGTCTGAGCTAAGGTGGAACACAGAGTCCGAGTGTATGAGTGTGCTGCAGGGAAAGTCTCTGGTCACAAAACAGAGCCATGATTCCTCCACAGTCTCCAGTGCTAAATCAACCAAAGGTGAGTTTTCTAGGCCTGGGACACAAACCTCTCATGGCCAGTTACTTCACTTCATGAGGTATTGATTACTGATTTATTGAATTACAGTTTAAGAAAAGTTTAGGTAAAGAACATAATTTGTGAAATGCAAATGTTGCAGCATGCACATGTATGCTTAAATATATTGTCAGTTTACATTATGAGTATAGGTTTTGTTGGTTTCAGTTAATGAGTGATTGTTAATCACACAGACGTGACTTGACATCTGATTTTTAGGGATGGAGATTGTCATACGATATCTATTAGGTGTTTGACTAATTTTAAAATGAAATTAAGCCTCTCAGATACAGAGTCTCAATATACATACTAGTACAGTACATGAACTACATTGCCATTTTGCTGATAAATCACACAATTTCTTATTTGCCAGTGATCATTTTTTTTAGCTTTTTTTGCTTTTCTCCTTACGCCAGGAGAAAAGCTATAACAAATGGCCATCACTGAGTGCTGTAACTGTGGTTCTTTAAGCTTTAAGCTTTTTGCTGCCAGATTTGTTGGAAAATTTACCCTAAGGCCTTTTCCATAAAGCTGATTAATATTTAACAAGTTAGCCTATTTGTTCACTCAATCAAATGTATTTTTATCAGTCTATTAGTATTTCAAGAACTTATCTTATCTTGTGTGCTAATGACTGCTGATTTGACAGCTGTGATAAGCTTCTGTGGGGAAATAGGAGAGGCACAAAAAGCAGCATTGTTTGAAGTCATGCTTTAATGTCTTTATGTGCAGACTTGATGTCAGTGCACCTATGGAAAGGCAAAGCCAGAAATATCAATTAAACAAATATTAGTAAGAAAGTCATAGCTTTGATCTTCCCGAATACAATAGACCGAGTATATGAAGGCTGCACTCCCTGTCCCTTGAAGACTAATATTTTTATATCTAATTCTGTGCTTTTCCATATTTTTCAGATAGGTTAGATGCAATTCGAAGCAGAGCCCATGTCATTAGTGCAGAATTTGCCAAACTTTTCAAGTAAGTTGAGTCAGAGATAGAGGTAAACAGAGGTTGCTTTCATTGATTTTCTTTCCTTCAGTGCATTGGAGCATTGAGCAGAATAGGGGTAGACTTGATTTTTTATTAAAGGAAAGAAAAATAGAAAACATCTTGTGCTGGTTTATTTCACGGGAAAATTAGATATAAATTGGGGGAAAAACTATCATAAAAAAAACTAATGTTAAGTTGTGTTGGTGTCTGTTATGTATGTCTGTTTCTGTGTGTACATATGGACATTTGATATATATATATATATATATATATATATATGCCACAAGTGGTTGAGTGGATGAAAATGTCTCTGGGGTTGTTTGAACACAGGTATGACAAGAATAAAAAATGTATTGTACACATATTGTAGGAAAGAGTATAGGTTTCATTATGTGTGCATGTATTTGTCTATGTGCCTTACTTTATAAGTATGCCATAGGCATGACAGGGATGGATTGAAGTCTTGTACATGTATGTGTTTATCCCCATGTCAAGAAAGCATACAAGTGAGATCAGTCATCTACAATTTGCCNTTTTTGAGGGAGTTTTCCACACTTAAAATTTGTCCATAAAGGAAAATAATTTTAGATTGTATAATGTAGATGTTATTTGTGATATATAAGATCCCTATACATATAAAATGTTGTGAGTACAATAAAGTCATGATGACTGTCAAGTTTTACGCTAATCATTTGTGTTGGATCTGCATTTTTACATTCCATGTGATCATATAATGATATACTGCTATGTGTGTATGTGTATTTGTATGAATATTTCTATTTTCATTCCACAGGGTGAAATTACCCACAGAAATTGACTCTGTCCAGAAGTGGCTGTCTGAGCTAAGGTGGAACACAGAGTCCGAGTGTATGAGTGTGCTGCAGGGAAAGTCGCTGGTCACAAAACAGAGTCATGATTCCTCCACAGTCTCCAGTGCTAAATCAACCAAAGGTAAGTTTTCTAGGCCTGGAACACAAACCTCTCATGGCCAGTTAGTTCACTTCATGAGGTATTGATTACTGATTTATTGAATCACAGTTTAAGAAAAGTTTAGGTAAAGAACATAATTTGTGAAATGCAAATGTTGCAGCATGCACACGTATGCTTAAATATATTGTCAGTTTACATTATGAGTATAGGTTTTGTTGGTTTTAGTTAATGAGTGATTGTTAATCACACAGACGTGACTTGTCATCTGATTTTTAGGGGTGGGGATTGTCATATGATATCTATTAGATGTTTGACTAATTTTAAAATAAAATTAATCCTCTCAGATACAGAGTCTCAATATACATACTAGTACAGTACATGAACTACATTGCCATTTTGCTGATAAATCACACTATTTCTTATTTGCTAGTGATAATTTTTTAGCTTTTTTTGCTTTTCTCCTTACGCCAGGAGAAAAGCTATAACAGATGGCCATTACTGAGTGCTGTAACTGTGGTTCTTTAAGCTTTAAGCTTTTTGCTGCCAGATTTGTTGGAAAATTTACCCTAAGGCCTTTTCCATAAAGCTGATTAATATTTAACAAGCTAGCCTATTTGTTCACTCAATCAAATGTATTTTTATCAGTCTATTAGTATTTCAAGAACTTATCTTATCTTGTGTGCTAATGACTGCTATTTGACAGCTGTGATAAGCTTCTGTGGGGAAATAGGAGAGGCACAAAAAGCAGCATTGTTTGAAGTCATGCTTTAATGTCTTTATGTGCAGACTTGATGTCAGTGCACCTATGGAAAGGCAAAGCCAGAAATATCAATTAAACAAATATTAGTAAGAAAGTCATAGCTTTGATGTTCCCGAATACAATAGACCGAGTATATGAAGGCTGCACTCCCTGTCCCTTGAAGACTAATATTTTTATATCTAATTCTGTGCTTTTCCATATTTTTCAGATAGGTTAGATGCAATTCGAAGCAGAGCCCATGTCATTAGTGCAGAATTTGCTAAACTTTTCAAGTAAGTTGAGTCAGAGATAGAGGTAAACAGAGGTTGCTTTCATTGATTTTCTTTCCTTCAGTGCATTGGAGCATTGAGCAGAATAGGGGTAGACTTGAATTTTTATTAAAGGAAAGAAAAATAGAAAACATCTTGTGCTGGGTTATTTCACGGGAAAATTAGATATAAATTGGGGGAAAAACTATCATAAAAAAACTAATGTTAAGTTGTGTTGGTGTCTGTTATGTATGTCTGTTTCTGTGTGTACATATGGACATTTGATATATATATATATATATATATATATATATATATATATGCCACAAGTGGTTGAGTGGATGAAAATGTCTCTGGGGTTGTTTGAACACAGGTATGACAAGAATAAAAAATGTATTGTACACATATTGTAGGAAAGAGTATAGGTTTCATTATGTGTGCATGTATTTGTCTATGTGCCTTACTTTATAAGTATGCCATAGGCATGACAGGGATGGATTGAAGTCTTGTACATGTATGTGTTTATCCCCATGTCAAGAAAGCATACAAGTGAGATCAGTCATCTACAATTTGCCTGTATTATTAAATGTCAGTTCTTTGTCTTGTACAACACACAGCCTTATGGCTTGGATAAGAGAAAACAATACATGCATTTAAGAAAAGTAATATTTTTTTATCGTGGATGCATCTTCATCCAGTATTTAATAGAATAACAAAAATAGACATAGAAATTCCACAAAGCTGCATGACAAGAGTATGTATATGCTTGTCAGTATTGGTGTGCAGGTGTGTCAAAGATATGTGAAAAGAGGATGTTGTTTTTTATATTTATATTTATATCATCACATATCTTTAACCTTTCCTTTTAGAAAAATAGAAAAGGAAAGATGGAAACACATCAAAGGTGGTGCCTGTCGTATCACCTCTCAGGTGCGCTCTCTACTCCATGACATCAACACCAGCATACAGGACATGCCGCCATATTTGTTTGAGGTGAGTAGAAAAAAAATATTCAATACATGTGGTGATTGAGATATTAAAATTAAATTGGCGACAGGAATATATCTTGTTTTCTGGCTTTACAAACCTTTGCTTTCTCATTATCTGTAAACGATTTATTTTTACATTTACTTTATGATAAAACATAGTGTGTGTATTAATCAGTATAGTATTTTCAGAAGCTAGTCAGGGTAAGACTTAGTAATAATGCACATGACTGAATAATCCTTCTTTTACCTGCATGTCAAGAAAATACCGGCTTGTTAAAGACTCCATGAGGTAGTGACCTGTATGATTCTTTGCCTGTTAACCAGTATTTTTTTCTGCAGGAAGAAGCTGTGATAATTGAAGAAAGTGCCAAATTAGCTCAATATATAGACAGGTAGGGTTTCTGTGTGATGTATTGTGATATGCACTGTAATGAAGGAAATAGTTGATTTCTCAGTCAATTCAAATTCTCTTCTGAAGTTCCAGTGTAAATGTTCTCTTCCCTTAGGAATACTATTTAAAACCAATGAAAGAAAATTTCTGCCTGAGACATTTTATTGCTGAAGATGAAATAACAGTGCAATTCACTCATTGTTGGTTAACATCAAAGTTAGCAAAAGTTGTAATGACTTTTTGTGTTGTTTTCCAGTCTGGGTGAGATCAATGGTCACAAACCCAATACTCTTCCACTGGTCAATATGTTGACCACTATTGGTCAGTCTTTTAGTGCTGTAGTGGACATGGCCTTAGGATATTTAATTCAGGTAAATAATATATGCAGATTTCTTTTAAACTCAGAGAAATCTTTTACCTTATCAAATCTCTGCTGTTAGAAGCTTAACTAAATACATGAAATAAAGAAGTGAATAGAACATTGTGAGATATCTTATATTGATGCTTGTACATTAATGCTGGAGGTCTATAGAAACAGATCTACTCATTTTAAAAATGAACATGAAAGCATTATATCATTTCATTTTGTTTTCATTGCTAAAATTTTTCACTATTTTAAGCCACCATTGTGATTGATACTGAAGGTAACATTTGTGATTTTCCAGCAAATGATCCAGTCAATTGAGGACGCCACCAGTCCCCATTTCATCAGTGCCTCCCTCAGTCACCTGATCAGCCTGGGTCTGGAAGGAGAACATATGTGCTTTCTAATTGCTAGGGTATGGGGCAGAGTAATATTGATAGAGGTCCTAGCATGCTAGAGATCCAAAACAAATACTATTAACCAAAGTTAACTTCTCATATACTAGAGAAAATGTATTATATATTATGCCATGTTTGATCTGAATGCCTGTTGTGAAAATATGATGTTAATTTATTGATTATTGGTCTTTAGGAGGGAGGAGTGAGAGTTTTGTTTGAAGTTTGTCGCCAGAGCAAGTTTGAATTTGCTCATTCCCAAGCTCTGAGGGCAATAGCCACGGTCTGCTGTGTGTCAGAGAGCATACTGGAACTAGAAAAGGTTGGGAAATTTATAAAAAATATATTTATGATTAAATACCTGTTATTTTAAAATTTGTTGATTTGAATATGAACATTTTGGTTAGTTAAGATTTTTTCTTTTCTTTTTTTTTTCTTGTATTTTTGTGAAAACTCAATTTCATGGAAAAGGTAGTATGGTGAAGTTTCATCAGAAAATTGATGTCAGTGTCCTGATATCTATCTATGTTCTAAGTAAATCACCATCTCCAAGAATCCATTACACAAAATTCCTAGAACTAGATCAACTGTAAATGGCTATGGCTTCCTAGTATTGTATATTTGCCACAAATTACTTTAACATACAAAGTTTGAAAGAATAGGAAAATTATTTTCCTAGAATTTTGTAAGTTAATCAAATCTGCTGCCTGCAATGGTGCAAACCACAAGGGATTCAGCTCAAACAGGTTCTTTCTTTTCAACTGACAGAGTTTATTTCTCTGGGATATGATGATTAATATAGAAAATAAAAAATTGAAAATAAGAAAAAATCTGCTTCATGTGAAATTTGTAATTTGTAGTAATGTTTGACAAAAGTGTTGACTCTCCTCTCCAGGCTGCGGGTGTGGAGTGTTTGACTGACATCTTGTGTAATGAGGGGACTACAGAACACCTGAGGTCTGAGGCAGCAGGGGTGGTGGCACAGATTACATCACCTTGCCTGGATCACAACCAACACATCTCAGGGTTTATAGAAAATATGGAGGATCTCATACAAGCTCTTTTAAGTATGTGTTAATTGAAATTATAACTTGTAACAGTACATAGCAGGTTTTTATGAAAAAAATCTATAGGAATTCGTAGGGCTCATTCCAAATGAATCTGTCTGAAACTAGATCTATAGTTTCCTTGGGAATGAGCCCATATGGGTTGATGTAAGTGTAATTTGATGTGCTGTGCAATGCCTGATCTTGATATATGCCAACTAAAGCAATGCAGTCAAATGAACTGTCAAATGTTACTTTGGACTCTGTCATTTACCACTGCTTTTTTTCCCCCCAGAGTTATGTATGCAGACACATAGTCATGAGGTATTCCTCCTGGCCACTGCTGCAATTGCCAACATCACCTTCATGGACAGCATGGCCTGCGACTCCCTCATGCAGTTTGATGCAGCAAGAATCATGATAGAGGCTTGTCAAGTCAATAAAGCGGAATCCATGTTTGCCAAAGATCAGGTAAGGCTGAAGGGTGAATCTTTGAAATAATTGTTTTGTGTTGTTTGATTTGAAAGCAAGAATGATTTCCAGAGCAGCCAGATTAGTGAAAATATATATTGGTGTGGTGAATATTTTAGGCATGAATTCAATTCAATATTTCTTTTTGGTTGAAGCAATCAAGGTTATCATTTTAGTGCTATGAGAATTAGCTGGCATGGTTTATGCTTAACAGCAGTTCCCAGCTCTAAACTTACTGTTTCAGTGATAATTCTAAAAATGAGATATGAGATGCAATAGTAATAATATGTTGTCTTTTTTTGTTGTTAGGTTGCCACTATTCTAGCCAATATGGCAGTCCTAGAAAACTGCAGTGCAGAAATAACCGAGAACAATGGAATGGAGTTACTTCTGCACTTTCTACACCAAAGACCGTCTCCCCAGGCAGCAGAGGCAGAGAGATCAGCATGTGAGAGAGTTCATCAGAAGGCAGCAATTGCTCTGACAAGACTGAGTAAAGATGCAGAGAATGCTCATATTATTGTAGAATTGGGTGGTGAGCATCTGAAAAATTGATTAAATGGGTGTTTTTGTTGAAATCCTTTACTTCTTTTTAGTAGCATATAGACAATTTTATTGTGATTTCCATTATGTTTTATGTGAGCACAGTTGGTATGGTTAGTAGTAAGGTTATGCAATGCTTGTTTAGAAGGTGGAATTAATTAATGGTTTGTGTAAGTTAATTTGTCTATATTTGTTTGATTTATAGACCAGGTCATATAATGTTCTAATTTGTAACTAGAACTTATTATATTAGTAACATGCTTCATAAATGTCATATCTTTTCTGTTAGGTATCCCACGTCTGGTCCAACTATGCAGAAACATTACTGAAAGAAACAACAGTGATGGGGTGCTCATTGCATGCTTGGTGAGTAAAGCTTAAGTTTGATATTACTATCAATTTTATTGTTGTTATTATAGTTGTTGTGGTAGTTTGTTATTGTACTTAACATCTACTGAATTTTAATCTTGCAAGAACTGTTTTGTGCAGTCATATACCAGAACAGACTTTATTTTCTGACGATTATTTTTTTGTTCTTTTCAGTAAAACCAATAGCAGTTCAGATTTTGTTGTGTACTCCAGTACACCATTTCATTGGCAGTTAATATTTGAAACAGATATGAAAATTAACTACATCCAATTCATTTAATTGTTCTTTTGCAGGCTGCCCTCAGAAAAATAGCCACAGTCTGTGGGGTCCAGGAATTCTCAGCAGCAGACATACAGCAGTTAATCAAACCAACTCTAGTGGACTCCTACCTCATCTGCTCACAACTTGAGGAGAGTTTTGTATGACCTCTGACCCCTGAGAGAAAAATGGTATGATCTCTTGTTACTGGGAGAGTTCCGTTTGGTTGATTTACAACCTCTGGAGGAGAACATTGGCTGATCAATGACTTCCAGAGGTTTTTTCAGGTACCTTGTACCACAATACAAGATTAGTTAATTATTCCAGAGACTTGGCCTATAATTTAGGTCCCTGAACAGGCCATGATGATGTTAAATTCCCACAGCATTACACGTAAATCTTTTGCATTGCCACAATCAAGTATTACATAGTACACGCATTTTATATTTGAAATAAATGGGTTGATAGGAATCCTGCACAGTGGAAATGGTTGTGAATATCTCATAGTGCCCTGTGTACAAGACTTGATGGGGGGGGGGGGGGGGGGGCTTTTCTTTTTGGATATATTTGTTTACTGCAGGTCAGTAGTATATAGTGACAACACTAGATTTCATCCTGGTGAGACTGATTTTCCGTTATATACCAAAGATATATGATCGTGGTGAAATATGGAATTGGTAGTTTTTTTTAGTAGACTTGTTAGATGGATGTAATCATTTTACTTTTGCACTTTATTCAATGAGTCAATTTTCAATACCTCTAAAAACTGAGAGAAAAACTTAACAAATAGTACATAGCATTGTCACTGGAACAAGTCAGTTTTGGAGGATTTCGTTAGCTGTTTATGTGTATGGTATTCCTTAATCATTATGTACATGCTTCCATCTCTTATTAAAGTTCAGCATATCAAAAGTGGGTTGGTTAATATGTTGTGCTCTGCCCAAGGTTTTAAGGCTTCAGCTGTAGTAGTCTGCCTGCTACATTAGAAATGGTAGTATTTATTATTTCCCTATACACATATTTTTTTAAGCTGGAAGAAAAGACGGATCTGATCATAGTTGTTGAAATTAAGCAGGTTTTAATCTGTAAATGATGTGATATGTTTATGTAAAATAGATTAATTTAATGTTCTTTGTATTATACAATAGTATATCAATTGAGTTACAATAGGATCATATCTTCCACTGTGCCAAATTTGTCTGTGAATACAGATTCTGTTAATATGTGATTTGGGTAGGGTAGGGAATTATTGGAATTAGTGTTTTATTTCACTCATTCTTGTGAAATCATACATCACATGTACAGAGTGTGATTTTTCATATGTATTCTTAATCATTTTTCTGCACTTCCTCTTTTACTGGTTTCCCGCTAAATATTATTTCTTCAGTTTTCACTTAACCTGCAAAACAATCAGAAATAAATTACTTTTCTATAAAGAAGATGCATGTTATTAATTTTTCATCAAATGAAGTTCCAAGATTATGAAAGTGCAGTATGTCGCCTTGTCACTCATCTGTTAATTTAACTTTCTTGTCAGGTGTTGGGTGGTATGGTCTTCAACATCTCCTCCTGCAGTGACATAATCTATGTAGGATGTTAGTAATGTTAATGATTTCTTGAACTTTAGCCAACAATTTAAGAAAGCTAATTTATAGCAATATTGTCAAGGAAATCCCCAATTTTTGGGGCTTGAAATTACCAAGAATTTAAGTAATTGTCACCTGAAAAAGGCAACTTGGCTAAAATGACCAATTTAAGCACACGTTGCAGACTTCAGCTCCCTCTAGTGCTGTTATGGCCTATTGGTTTTTGAGGAGGATCACCTTGATATGAATTCATATAGTTACTGCATTATCAAACCAAACAAGTTGTGGAGGAAATAAAAGCCACCACAGAAGTCTCTTCAAACACAGTGCCAAGTCTATTGATACCACATAGAATATACTGGTAATGTTCTATTAAATTTTTCCATTTATTTAAAGAAAATTTTAATCTTTAATTAAAATCATTTCATTGCTCTTTCAAAGGAAAAAATTAATCCTAAATCTTACATCTTGCGCAATTAAAGATTTTTTTTTAGCATTTTCATGCAGCCATTAAAAAAAAGCTGCTAAAAGTACACCTAGCAAGTCTTTCCAACAAAATTGTACATTTATGTGGGATGAGACTATCATTATAACAATCACCTTGTTAAAAATTATATCCATAATTACAGTTAGTTAAAGCAAAATCATTCATAAAAATATATATCATATCTAACATGATAATATTTCCATACTAGCGTCTGCTAGTTGCCTCTCCTTTTCCATATCTTTAATACTGTCATTTCTGCCCACAGATTTGATTGATCTTCTACTTTCACATTTAAATCAAGAAAAAGAATCAAAATCCACTTTGTTTCAATATCTAATGACAATTGCTACACAGATTGGAATATTTCACTAAGCTGACATGCTTCTTTGAAACATATCTTCTCCAAACTGGATCAGTAATGTGTAATTTGCATTGGCATTCAGTACCATATTGTCAGAATGAGACATATCATATCACATGAATCTGGGATATCCTGTTATTTTAATTTTTCACTTTCAAAGCACAGTCCCAATGAAGTTTTAAAGGTTTGCCTGGGCCATTCCTCCCATGCTCTAGAAAGAAGGAAAGAAAGAAAAGTCATTCATAATAAACATATCACAAATTCACAACGTATCAAATGCATATATATCTGACAATGTATCACAATTATTCATGTAAGGTGCAAGCAATTTCACCATGACTATGTCAATTTTGAAGTGTTTTTTATAATAAAATAAGAACTACATTTTTTGTTTTTAAAAGAACACTAAGAAATTTTTAAGGATGAGTTTGGGGCCAAACACTGTAAATATATGCACTAAGCATGGTCTATCTGGCCAAGGTGAAGAATAACCAGTACATCAATATTATAACAAACTCACCACTTTCTTAGCCTTGAACTGGTCCAGCAATTCCTGGATCCTACGACCATATTCTGGGTCACACTGTCCAAAATTCTTGACTGCACGTTGCTGGATGAACTCCTGGGCATCCTTCAGGTGGTTAGCAATGTTCTCCACAAGTCTTGTACGCTCATCTGGCTTTAGCACCTGCAAAAGAGGCAGTTAGATGTTCAGTACATAGTGTATAGAAGAATCACTTCAAAAGAAATATGTTCGTTTTTTAAGTCCATGCAAACAGGATTAAAGTGCGAGCAAGTGAATTCTAGACTGAAATACTACTCCCTGTGAGTTCTATTAAATAAAAAAATACTTGTAAAAGCTTTGTCAGTAAGAGCCATGGCATTTATTTTCTTTAATTTGCTATTTCAAATAATCTTTAACAGTCACTCTTAACAACCCACATTGCGCCAGAATAATCCGACTTGGCTGAAGTTGTCATCATCCCTTGTGTTGTAGCGTTTGACATCCCCAGTGGTCTGGAACACACTCTCCAGATGTCTCTTGTCATCCAATGGGCCATTGAAACTGTTAGGGAAATAGTTGGGGGCTCCCTCTGAAAATAGGAAATACTCTTTTAATAGATGCTAAGGGGTTTTTATTTTAATAACAATGCTTGTAACATTTATTTCAGGCAATATTGACCTTAGTTAACATTAACATCATAACTTTCTAAATAACATTGTTTCATTACCTTATAATTATACTAATAATATTTAGATTATGTAATCCAGTAAAAACCAGGGTTTGAAATTGTCACCTAATTGTATATCTGCAGTCATTTACGTCACTGTTAGGCATACTACCTTTCAAATATTCCTGTCAAACTGATCACTTAAGACTGTTTTTCATCTATATTTCACTAACACAGAGCATGGTGGCAATTTATGAGACAAAAATAATACATCAGAGAAGATAGCAAATTGGACCAATAAATAATTGTGCTTGTTGTCACACCTAACACACTGGCAATTATAAGTTCTCACCTTGGTTGTCAGTGACACACTGGGGTCCATCCCTCTGGTAGTTCTTCACTCTGGTATTGAAGGGGCAGTTGACAGGAATCTGTAGGTAGTTGGTGCCCAAACGATGGCGATGTGTATCAGAGTAAGAGAACAAACGACCCTGAAGCAGTTTGTCAATAATTTATTAATGTTATTCAACAGACACTGATAAGTACCAGGTGCACCTGATGGGTCAAATTGGTAAATATTGACAAAACTAAACCTTGAAGGTAACAAAGTTGTATCCTGCACATATCATAACAACAGACATTCACAACTTTTAAAAACACTGTTATCTCAGCATATAAACCTTGAACTTAAGTAAAACTTAAACTGCAAACTGCAGCTTAAATATAAACAGCAAATAACTAATAAAACATACATTTATAACTTCAGCCATTCTGAAACATAATAATTTCCTTACAAACAAATTGTAAAAGTGATAAATTTTATGAAGCATAATAGAATATTTACACTCAGCATTGCTTAATTTTCTTGCAAAAAGTTTATAAGTAACACATTATAACTATATAAAGCCACAAAGAATATTTACAAACAACATTGCTTAGCACACCGAGGCATTATATCATGCTTAAAATTCTTCTCACCTGTAACATTTTGTCTGGGCTGGCCTCAATGCCTGGCACAAGGTGAGCTGGGGAGAAGGCAATCTGTTCCACCTCAGCAAAGTAGTTCTTAGGGTTACGGTTCAACACCATCCTGCCCACGGGAATCAGGGGGAACTCTCCCTGGGGCCACACCTTGGAAATGGAAATAAAATTGGGATAGAAGTTGTCAAAAGAATGATCTTAAATTACTTCTCTTTTAATGTTGTCACACAGCACATTACAATATGTGTTAAAAATTTAAAATTAAATAAATCTTTTGAAATAGGTGAAAAAGAGAATCTGTTCAAGAGAAAAAGTGCATGTGCATGTGATTATTCAGGAATGTCAAAACCATGCATATCTTTTACACACTCAAAACTTCCTCGCAGCACACTTCTTAAATCTGATTAAGCTTATTTACTAGCAAATATACCTTGGTTAAATCAAATGGATTCCATCTGAACTTCTCGGCCTCTTCAAATGTCATCACCTGTATGTACCAGGTCCAGGATGGGTAGTTCCCAGCAGCAATGTTATTGTACAAGTCACGGATGGCGTAGTCTGGATCACTACCAGCCAGCTCTCCTGCCTGGTCTGCCATCAGACACTTGATGCCCTGGTCCNTCTACTAGCCAATATACCTTGGTTAAATCAAATGGATTCCATCTGAACTTCTCGGCCTCTTCAAATGTCATCACCTGTATGTACCAGGTCCAGGATGGGTAGTTCCCAGCAGCAATGTTATTGTACAAGTCACGGATGGCGTAGTCTGGATCACTACCAGCCAGCTCTCCTGCCTGGTCTGCCATCAGACACTTGATGCCCTGGTCCGTCTAAAAGGCAGTTATCATTTAAGTGAAATTGTAGTTATAAATGTGATATATCTTACATAGTCCATTTTGTGAAATTCAGAGAAATTTGTTTGCTATATATGTAAATAAATGAATAGAGAAATGGACAGAAGAAATTGTCAGACTTCATCATTGAAAACATTATGTTTGGAAAGAAAACACCTTTACTATAAGTCACTGGTGCAAGCTGTGGAGCACTTCAATGGAAATATTTTCAAATTCTAACTCTCTTCAAATTAATCGAAATACATTCAGCACCGTGCACAAAATGTCAAACTGTACTGAAAACAATCTGGACTCACAATATGAATTAATAAGATTTGTATAAATAAAGTATACCCCTCTCACCTTATAATGGAACTTGCAGTACACAGCCTCACCATCCTTGTTCACTAGTTTGAAGGTGTGGCTGCCATAGCCGTTCATCTGACGGTAGCCGTCTGGCGTACCTCTGTCAGAGAACAGGAAGGACACCTGGTGAGTGGATTCTGGGCGCAGAGTTATGAAATCCCAGAACATGTCTGGGTCCTGGAATAATGGTTGCTTAACTTAACATGTGCAATAATATGGTGCCAGTGCCTAATTCCTATATATTTACATTAACATTAAAATATCAAAGAGAAAATAATGGGTGCCAACTTCTGGTTTTCAAATCTATGATGCATTTTTTAAAAACATACATTTTCTCATTTTGCATCCAAGCTCTGATGACAGTATTTGTCAAAAAAGTTAAATATTTTCTATCCAGTTGTCCAACAATTAATGCATTCAGTCACGTTTCAGGTAAAACACATAACCTTCGTTAAACACAACAGGTCAAGTTCAAGAAGCATGTTTACCATGATAAACAGAACACTCAATTAACTGAAAATGAAGTTGGTAGTGATTTGGTAAATTAAGTGCTTTTATGTATATAACAAATGGCAAGCAAAGAATTCATGTCACACCATACAACACAATAGCAGGCATAAATATTGTATCTAACCAACGAAATAATGCTCTGGCACTGCAAAAATCAATAATTTTATCTATTCCTCTGACTGGTAAACATCTATTTGATTTTATGGACATGAATATATGACATGGCATGGCTAGACCTCAAGTTGCATAATTAACAATACCTGGGATAAACACTGTATCTAACCACCCCAATAATGACAACTGCATGCTTATTGCTTAATTCAATAATGTTATCTTTTCCAGTCAAGTAAACATCCAAGTGGGGTTATTTTTCATTTAAAGTTTCAAACTTCATTGTACACTGTGACAAGGAAAGAAAAAATCAAATCTGAGACATGCTGTTTGAATGTTTCTTCTTTTTTAAAACATGGATTATTTAACACTTAAATACTGTAATTATTATAAAGTCAGTATTTAATTCTCAAAGTGGACTAATTTAATGTCTGTTAAGAAATTTAAAATGAGAAACGGTTTCTCAAGTTGTTCAGAAGACTGAACCGTCTACCTTGCAATGTGTAACTGGGTTCCTCTTCTGCGTATGGATAAAACTTGGGAACTGAAACATATATACATCTGATTAGAAATACATACAAAAATAGCAGTACTTAAGATAAAATTAAATGAGATATCTTATCCAGAAAACTTACTTAGAATTGACTGGGCAAATAAATAACCCGATTTCTCACATGATGAAACACATTTAATGTATTAACAAAAAGCACACACCCACAACTACATAACAAGCATTACTATTAAAGATTTAAGACTATTTCAAACAAAAAATAACATATAAACAGAATTCACATCAATACAGCAAATGAATTAAACTCACAAAGATGGGGTCCCTGATGAAAAAGATAGGTGTGTTATTCCCCACACAGTCCCAGTTGCCTTCATCTGTGTACATCTTGACAGCGAAGCCACGAGGATCGCGAGCAGTGTCTGCAGAGCCACTTTCACCACCAACAGTTGAGAAACGCACAGCAACTGGTGTTCTCTTGCCTATGTGCTCAAACACTTTAGCTTTGCAGTATTTGGAAATGTCGTGTGTAACTTCAAAGAAGCCAAATGCACCTGAAATGTAGAATAATATATGTATGTGAATTAAATATATATATAGTTCAGATTTCATTGCATGTTACAGACAGAATGAAGATTGATCACATAATTGTCTTATCTAAAAAATTCTTGTTAGGAAAAAATTAAAAAACGACTCATGCTAACAATCATCAACTATTTAGTATTCTCCCATCACCTACTAACTTAGATTTTATAAAGCATGATGTGACATGAAATTAAGTTAGATTTCTCCTACACAAAAGAATTAAAATATGAAATTTACTGAATATGTAGATTTGTACCTACTGTGTAATTGTAAAAGCATTATGTTTATCCCATCATTTCAAGATAACAATACAGTTTCTTACCTGCCCCTTTGGCATGTACCACTCTCTCTGGGATCCTCTCCCTCTGGAAGTGTGCCATCTCATCCATAAAGACAAAGTCCTGCATAAGCAGAGGCCCCTCTGGGGCCAGCAGTCATACTGGCTAACTTTTCCCCTATTGGGGCCCCAGTACTAGTGGTCAGAGAACCTGGTGGGTTCTGAAATAACAAATTTTCAAAATCCAATTAAATTATTTTTTTCAACTCATCAGATTTTTTCATTTTTTTTAAAGGTGAAAAAATTCATTACTAGAGAATCAGAGAGGGGTTATGTCCTCCTGAGCAATGAGACATGATGAGGTCCAACTCCATGGTTCTAAGTCACATCTAAGGAACTTTCAGTGTATATGCTGGTGGTACAGATCCAAAAAATCTATTCAATGACGCAGTTTGGAGATTTACTAACTAATTGTACCTCAACTATCAATAATATATGTATACTAGTATATACACTGTCATTACAAAATTGAAAGCTAAAATAATTGTTTTTACATAGGCTAACTGATGATAGTTTGTACATAAAACTACCTCTCTAAGCCTAGCTCGATATGCTCATTCATGCTCACTCTAGGTATTAAACCAACATTTTTTTATGCAAGTCAGGATAAGAAGACAAATGGTAAACATGGAAATACACCCACATTGTTATTTCAGGTAAGGCCACACTTTTTTATTTTTATGGAAGACATCCTGCGCGCACACCGATTTTCGCCCGTTCTCCGAAAAAAAAAAAAAAAATCCCCCCCCAGCCCCCATATGTCGGTTGTTGCAAACATCGTTATTGAATTTGCCAGGAAATGAGCTTTCTGCGCATGCGTATTATCGCCACACGGAAATGTGGCCGCTTTGTCGTCAAATTCATCTCTAGGATTACTTTCAAATTACACGACAATTAAAGTCATAAAGAGAACGGGTGCTGTCGTTTTGGATTGGTATGCCATTGATATTGGGCATGGAGATATCACCTTTTTACAATTGTGCAAAAGGCTGGTCGCTTCCAACGATTATCGCCCGAAAAATTTTAGTGACATTCTGTACAAAGCAGCACATAGGCTACCAGGTTTTCTGTAGCGAAAAAAGGGTCGACAAGGGCGTCGAGGTATTTGGTGGGCTGAAGGTCGGACAGGCCACCTGACAGTTTGGCTGTGTGAGTCAAAGTAGACAAAATGGCATCGTCCGAAATGACCTTTAATAGANCCTGCGCGCGCACCGATTTTCGCCCGTTCTCCGAAAAAAAAAAAAAAATCCCCCCCCCCCAGCCCCCATATGTCGGTTGTTGCAAACGTCGTTATTGAATTTGCCAGGAAATGAGCTTTCTGCGCATGCGTATTATCGCCACATGGAAATGTGGCCGCTTTGTCGTCAAATTCATCTCTAGGATTACTTTCAAATTACACGACAATTAAAGTCATAAAGAGAACGGGTGCTGTCGTTTTGGATTGGTATGCCATTGATATTGGGCATGGAGATATCACCTTTTTACAATTGTGCAAAAGGCTGGTCGCTGCCAACGATTATCGCCCGAAAAATTTTAGTGACATTCTGTACAAAGCAGCACATAGGCTACCAGGTTTTCTGTAGCGAAAAAAGGGTCGACAAGGGCGTCGAGGTATTTGGTGGGCTGAAGGTCGGACAGGCCACCTGACAGTTTGGCTGTGTGAGTCGAAGTAGACAAAATGGCATCGTCCGAAATGACCTTTAATAGATTTGGTGGTATTAAGCATATCTTTCCATCATTTTTTAAACATTTCTGTGAAGTGTTCAAAATGCTTTAATATTTTGTGAATACAAATAAAGACACACTGTTTGTTTGATATTTGTTTTATTGATTGCTATACCAACAAAATGCATGAAATAACCTTAATAGATTTTGTAATAAGAAGTATATCTATTCATGACTTTTTTTTTTACATTTCTACATAGTATTCACAATGCTTTACTATTCTGAGAGCATGGATAAAGACATATTGTTAGTTTGATACGTGTTTCTGTGGTAAAATTTGTGTTTCCAGCTGTGTACTGACAGCATTCCTTTACTTAAGCAGTATTTTTTTTTGGACTGTTTTTTTTTTTCGCCCTCTCGCACCGATTTTGGGGTACCCAGAGGATGTCATCCATAAAAATAAAAAAGTGTGGCCTAATTTAATGTAATACAGAAAATTGTGAATTTTGTCATTGGATTTGCAATTGTGAACCTGTAAAAGCAGTGACATTTACATAAGTACAAAAGTCATTTGATACTTGGTGATTGTTGATATATGCGACACTTCATGCTTCTACAAAGATTGGAATTGATAAGGTTTACGTAACAAATAAGCTTTTCCTTTTCTTCCCCTGTCAGATTACCCAAAATGAAATAGCTGGCAATGTTAAAACAAAGGATGGTAATTTGAATATCACTTAAAAATGATAAATTTCTCTTGTTTTAGCCAGGGCAGCTAGGACAAGAAGACAATTTAGCGAGTACTGTATCACGAACTCACTCTTGACTTCAAGCAAAATCCTCTGAAGGTATGCAAAAGTCAAAATAATTCAGGGACAAGTGGTGTAAAAAGTATTTCGATAAGAGTAGGCGTGACAAATTAATAACGATCCACTCCAAAATTACATGCTCTGACAGCATGCCTGTTTAAACACAGTTGTAGATATCAAACTCCCAGTCTAATAAAAACGTCCTTCGCAGTTTGAGAATGCAACACCTTAAAGGCTGCATGGTACTGTAAATATGGTATGACTTAATGGAAAAATCAATTCCCCCGATGCCAATGCCTGTATTCCTGTAACAAGGAATTTCCTGTGCAGCCTTAAATGTGCATTAAAGCAGATATTTAGTGACAGGCGACGGCATCTTCATGAGCAGCCTACAAAAAAGTAGCTCAAGGCCACTGGCCGAGTACAATATTTTTTTACATTTGTGCGCTGAAGTAGCTAAGTACAGATAATATTTTCACCCAATTTTCACCTACCTCGTTGGATTGCTTGAATGCTTCCATTTGGTTGGCAACTTTGTCACGGTTTGCCATTTTTGATGATTAAGAAAGTGACTTGTCTGACTGCTGAAGACTTTCTCAAGTTGCCTGATCAAAGTTCTCGCTATGTAAGTACCCGTGTTGCAAAACAGGACACCTGCCTTACGGACTAATTGGGTCATCGCGATACGATTGGTTCATTATCACATGCGACTTTACACACATGTTTGAACACTGGGAACTTTGTTTCACTGGCCTGAGTTTTTTTAAAGTTAATTCATAGAATTGAATTATGTTATTTAAAGAAAAATATGCAAATAAATAAATAAGTAAAAATACAAAGCAAACATTTTTTCAAGAGTTCTCCAAAGTGTGACAGCATAAACGAGAACGAGACTTTTTTGTGGAGAAGCTACCAAACAACACATGCTTCAAACTGTGTAAATCAGCGGGGCTTTGGAATTTTTAGAAGGCGATAATAACTGTTACATCTAGCTATATATGATGGAACATACAGAGGTACACCCAAGATGTTGTTCTTACCCACTACTGCTACACAACCAGCAAAAATGTTCATTCAACAAAGGCATTGTTCCCTTTTCAATAATGTTGTGTTGCTTGAATGATAATATTTTGTGGTTTCATTTTCAGAATTCTGCCCAAGGATTTCAGTTTCTTGAAAAACAAGGTGATCTTTTTAGCTGTGAGGAGACCAGCTCGTTGGCCCATTGCATCAGTGCAGATGTTAAGATGGGGAAAGGGATTGCAGTGATATTTAAAAGAAAATTTCAGGGAGAAGAGGAAATTAAAAGACAAGGTTTCTCAGGCATTTCATAAAAATTTGTATTTGTAAAAATGCTTGAAATTAGATATTGGCATTGTCATGATTAATGTTGTCTAATGATAGATAACAAACTGTCAAAATTTGATCATGATAATAAGGTGAATCTGTTGATAGATATTGAATGCTAAATTAATTGACATTGTCATGAATAATGTCCAATGAGAGAAGTCAAACTGTCAAAAATTAATCATGATGAGGTGAATGTTAGGACTAGACAAACATAAATTGTCAATTTAAATAGAGAATGCACAGCAAATCATTTTAAATTAGAAAAATACCAACTTTGAGAAATTAGTCAAGTTATTAAATTACTTTCAATTTCAGGACAGACACCTGGAGGGCTAGCAGTGTTGAAAAGGGGCAAGCGATTTGTATACTATTTGGTTACGAAGGAAAAATACTGGAACAAACCTACATATGATACCTTACGATCTAGTCTTATCAACATGAGGATGCACTGCACAGAGAATAAAGTCAAAGAACTCTGCATGCCCAAGATAGGCTGTGGTTTAGATGGATTGCAGTGGCCAAGAGTTAAAGAGATAATCAAGGAAGTATTTGATGATTCTGACATGAAACTCACAGTGTACACTTTGTAATAAAGGGGCTGTGTCATAGAAAAGGATGTGTATTTGTAATAATTGCAGGTCTTATGGTGCAAGGATGATTTGTTACTTAAGAGTTTTTGCAGAGAAACTTGTCCTTTGCTTGTTCTTTTGAATTACACAGTTATAATTTATTTAAGAAGTAGTATAAAACAGTTATAAACAAACATCTATTAAAACAACTGAAAATGGAATGGTTTTTGGTTACTTTATTTGACTTGTTATCTGAGAAGTGATTCAAATATACATATTCTTCCATACTAAAAGTCCAGGTGACATTCATTTGTCTAGACTTTGCAAACTTCAAAGTACACCAGTTGTGCCCAAAATACAATATGCCAGTCCCAGTAGAAATATAAACATAACACCTGTCATCATTAGTTTCTAGATTTTCCACAAGCTGGCACTGTCATTTTTAATGTATGCACAAGATCATTTTGCTGTCCAACATAAACTTGCTTTCGTAAATGTTCCCCATGACAAAGTCTTTATATTTCTCTGATAGAGTTATGTGAGGATGTCATGAGCCTTGTTTTCTACCAATACCTCCATTGAAGTCACATCTTGGCACCACTGGTCGAGTTTAGTTTTCATAGTGGAGATCTGGAAGAAAAAGAAAAAAAAAACACCCTTGAAACATATATGCATGTATAGCAAAGTCTCATGAGACTTTTCTGTCGGTCCCACTTAACTGTTCTTGTTCATCTATAAAACGAGCATCTTCAAATGTGTATGATGGGAGTAAAATGTATGCTTGTATATTTCTTCATTTACTGAAGCTGAATAATTCTGCAACTATTGTTTTCAATTTCTAACTTTTAATATCCCATGTCTATGCATAGTGCTATGCAGATACCTCGGAGAAAAACCCACCTGGTCTACATCTAGTACTCTAGGTTGGACCCAGGTCATGTGCACTTTCTGTTCTACCTGGTCTATGGACCCCTTAACCAATCCAAGGGACAGTGCCTTCATGACCAACAGCTCAACCTGAAACATTATTCATAAGTCATTGGATATCACCACAGTTCAGCTAATGTGTTGCTCAGTACATATGATTTCCAATATTCAATACATGCTGTCCATCACTCCTGCAACGTAATGGCAAAAATCTTGCACATGTTCATTTGTCACAGGCTGGCACTTTTCTAGACATGCCAACTTAAGTTATAGTTTATCAATTCTAATAGCAGAATTTAATGATAGTGGAATTTTGAGAAATTCATTAGGAACATTCCAGTTCATGAAACCGTGTCCCAGAACTGCAAGGTGACTTTTACCTCAGTAAGTGGTAGTTTGGTTTCATTTGCAATCTCATCAAATGTCAACTGTCTGTGATTGGCAGGTCTCTTGAATGTCATCTGAAAAAGGCAAAGGTAGATCAGAAAAACAAATACATTTATTCCTTCTGACCAGGACAGATAACATGATTAATATCATGAACAATGAATTATATCACCACTGTAAGTTACAAAATGTTAATTGTTTTGACACATTCAGTAAACCAGAAAGATGGCATGTGTGTAAAAATTGATATATTTAGTACTAAGAATTTTGAATTTTGAATACCTCCATGAGACACAGCAGACAAATCTTTTGTCTTAGAGAGATCTCTTTTGCAGCTAAATCAGGCTGAAAAACATAAAGGAGAGAGAAATCAGAACACATTGCATGCATGCACTAAGCCATGTGTCAAGGTTTCAAAACTTTTATAAATAAAAGGAATCATTCCTTTATGGTCTTTTATGTCATTTATGTTGCATATTAACTTCTGAAAACTTGTAAAAAAAATTACCTGCTTAGCCCACTGTGGTTTAAGTGCTTCAAACTTGTTGAGATTGCCTGCATTGAAAGCATACAGAAAGTCTACCAGCCACTGCCTGTCTGGAGTTTTCAGGGAATTCAAGATTGGGTGTGCTAGCTATAAAATATCAATATCAAATATTTGCTAATTGACTATAAATGAGAACAAAATGAAAAATAATCACACTACACCAGTAGTTACAAGATGGTGAATAGTTTTAATTACTTATTGATCACTTTGAACATTGCAACTTAAAATAAATTTAGATAAAAATGTATTTTAAAAATTAAGTAACCAAAGGATAATAACATGGAAGTTTAAAATAAGGAAATTCTCCCTTTCAAATAGTTTCATTAGTATTACCCACCAATTCACCAAAATTGTAGATATTTTCACCAAGTAGTGCTGCCAAGGCCAGGTTAAATGCTCTTTCGGTTTTTAAGTTCTCTAAAAAAAATATACATCAATGATAATTAGATCACATGAGAAAAAGAAAAAAAACTTTACGGAATATAAAAATGATTTAAACATCCAATGATGCAATTATTTGACAATATATTTGATTAAAAACACATAAATCATAAAGCAGAAAGACACTTCATCATGTCTTAGATGCCTAAGAATTCTATATACAATTTGATTAAATTTTGGAAATAGTTTTCAATTGTCAAAGATATTATATAAAAATATGCCATAAAATGATTCAAATGTTCCACTGGATTCAAAATAACATTTTAGATGGAAATAATCCCCAAAGGTTATAATTTTCCATACACATATTGTAGCAAATGGTATTTCTCCTTACCAGGTACATCATCCAGTGTGGTACAGCCTAGATACCTTAGTGCCTCCCTGTAATACTCCGCATGGTTGCCCATCAATTTGTGATAGTTACTGGTTAGGTCATAGAATCTACTGTGTACAGTAGTTATGCCATCAAAGTTGTCAAGAATACCTGTGGCCTCCTCAATTATCTTCTGCAAGTTGAGATTAAATGAAAAGCTCAATGTAAAGTTTATGATGATTTAGTGGTAAATATACGGAGTAATAAAACCTTCAGTTAGTAAAGCTGATATATTTTTGTAAATCTTTGATAAAACACAGGCTTACTCATTATCAACAACAAAAATCCACATTGATTGTCTTACTTTTGCTGCATCCAGATTTCTCTGTTTGATATGGATGTTGCCAACAGCTGTCAGACACAAGGCTACAGCTTCCTCATTACCCTTTACCTGGCAGAGTGAGGGAGAGAAGAATTACGATTCAAAGCATACAACTTGAAAAGAGTTATATAAGTAACAGAAAATAAAAATAAGCATCAAGTAATGTAACATAACTTTCAATATACAAATACATGTGTGGAAAATGAGATTTTTCAGAGTGTAATAAGCAAATGAAACTGACTACTGAAATGGGGATGACTGTGCAACTTACTTTTTCTCTGATCTTTTCTATAAATTGAATAGCCTCTTGTGGATCTGCTCAGAATATAAATTAGAAATATTAATATCAGAAACTGGTATAACATGAAAAAATTATTAAATGTTATCAACTTATCATATGTGTGAATGCATATCAGGTGTCAATCTTTGATTAAAAAAATATTCTTCATTTCATATCACTCTGTACAGAATCAAACTTGTTAAGTAATAAAGACTCATATACCAAATACAAAAAATTCCACATTTTACCTTGAATTCGGTCTACCACATATAGAATAATCTCTACCAATGCCAGGGGGTTTACTCTAAAAATCATAGATAAAAAATTCCTTTAATCACATTAATTTTAAAGTTCAAGAAATGAGCCCAGACTGCAATAAGTGTACTAATCAAATCATCACTAATGAATGCTGACACTTGCAAAAAGCTTCTGAAATCATATACTGTACATATGTACATATTTAAGTTAAAAAAATTACAGAAAAGCAGTTACTGGATTAATTTTACTAATATTGAATTTTTACAGAATATAATATTAAATCTTACCTGTGCTCAAAATCAGCTATAAAGTTCTTGTATATCTAAAATAAAAAGTAAGCAGATGAATAAAAATCCTGAGTGTGAAACTGATAAAGAAATCAATACAATAGTAAACAAACAATTCAGATATTTCTTCACAGCTAATAAATAATGTGGTGAATCCATATTACATAAAGCTTTTCATCAGACTCTTCAAAAACATTGCTAACACTTTGGAGTGGAAATCATACCTGTATTAAAGTGTCTCCTGTTGCCAATGCTGGATTCTTTACAAACTTCAAAACTTTTAATGTCAACTGATGCCAAAGTCTGAAAGCATATTGATATACTCTGTGTAAGTAAAAGTGACTGCCAGGCCCACTGGCAGCAATTTCAAAGGAAGGGTGGATTGTTTTCTGAAAAAGTATACCCTGAAACCTTTGTGTACTTAGATTAAATGTTTATTCAAGGGTCATCCTAAAATGTCCTCTACAGCTCACCACAGCACAATACATAAAAAAAGTTTGTCGCAAGCAAACACAGAAAATGGCCCTTAGCAAGAAAATTGAGGGATATAAAAGCAAAACATTTAACTGGGTAATTAATATTGTTGACATAACTAAACAAATTGGCATGATTTGTTCATCATCATGCTGTCTGCAATAATGACTCTCCTTGGCAATACGGCAGACGCCCCGGGATAAACAAATCAAACTGAATTTGTTAAGTAATATTATTTCAATTTTGCCAGTCATAACTCACTGATGATGGCAGACAAAACATCGGTAGTAAACCATGCAAAAGCAGTTCATATCTCCTTATGTTTATATCTTAACTCACTTTTTTGAGTAAAGGTCTTCTAACTCTGCCCATTCTGTTGCTAATTCTCCGCTGCTCCTTCTTTGTTGTTCCGATAAAAATGTTGTAACACTTGACGACATGCTGCCGGCTTTTCTTTCCCCAATATGGCGGCCCTTATAAATAGCAACAACAAACGACCGATAACAGCATATAGCGGGTTTAATCATGATGAGCCTATCCCTATTTAGAACATGCCATAAGCTCGTGTAACTTGTTAATAATTATTTCATTATTCATTTTTATTATCTATTCATTATTTTCAATCAAACGTCAACTGTATTTTTCAAAACTCCCTACTTGCTTTTATGATTAAAGTATGCTCTTTGTAAAAGCTCCATATGCATATAATTTTTTCACCTTTTCCTGAGAAGAAGGTATAAATCTTAGATTTCTTGATACTTTTCACTGAAAATGAAAATATCCATGCAAGTTTTCCCTTTTATTACAAAATTGAACACATTGTGAATCTGAGATCTAATACAAAAATGTAAATAAAAAATATTTAAATTAAATTTATAAATTACAACAAAGTTAAATCAATAGATCTTTGGCATCAAGTTTGTGAAAAGTAATGTGAGTTGCTATCAAATTCTATTTTTGTATTGTAGAATTGTCAAAAATATTCTGTTCAATTGGTTTTGAAGCATAAGGACAATTGTGCAATTTGTCTCACTTAAAGTTTGAGTCTCTTATCAAAACACCTAATTATATAGAAAAGTTTTATGTCAATTACCAAAATTGCACACTTATATTTGCCTAACAAGTCATTACGGGCTATTAATTTCTGTAGGAAGCATTCACTTTAGGTAACATTTCTACATTTTATTGGCAATTAAAATGATTTCCCTAATCCTTTCAGGCACTACTACTAATCAAACAGTACCTACAGTTTGTACATTTTAATCATTTCCAGATTCTCAGTATAAACAAATACAAATTCCATTGTAAAATTCATTATATCAGCTTTATCAAGTGAAAAAGTAATCCTTCACAATTTTCTCTTTCTCCTCTCCTCCTCAGCATTATCTTCATGTGGAGGCACCAAATATCAAGTTAAGTATGCTTAGTTAGGAGTCTCCACAATTTATATACTTTGTATATTCAGCTACATTGTACACCTTTTAATTTTACCTATATTCCCAATTACTTACTGTTGGTAAAAACATAGGCCTCTAATCAATAAGACCCTGAATATCTTTGGTTATGTCTGATTTTCTTATGTATAACAACTTATCTTACCTGCAATGTAGACTCTATTGAATATGAATCTATAATTTTTTTGTTTATTGTTTTTTTTAAATATATGCCGTTTCTTCATAAAAAGCATTGACATCATGAACAACTACCAGTAGACCTCTTACTTGTGCCATGTTTAGTAAAAGATCCCCAGGTCATTTATACTGTCAAGTATATACCCCGAGCGAGTAGCTTGTGTGGAATGTCTAGAGGTGAAGAGAAATCAAGATCACTACTGGTTGTGATGCAAAGCGATGCATGGGTACAATATATAATGTCCTCTTGATAAAGCACAGTTAGCTATAATCAGTATGAGAATAGCTCCTTTGAAAATCTTTCGAAGCAGAGAGAAGTTCATTTCTGTAGTCCAATAAATCCTGCCAGTCATTTTTAGTTTTGATTAGCTCATTGTTTTTATGTGCTTCATAGTGAAATTGAGGGGTCTTCAGTTCATACCTGGAAAATAGTTATAAATATTTGTCAATGAAATTATTGTTATTCAGCTGCATTTTTATCATTATCTGTGGCCATACTGATTTGTTCATTTAAGAACTCATTCTGTCAATTAGAAAAATTAAGTTTTTAGTGAAAAATTGCAAATATTGTTATTGACAGTTCTCCTTCAATGATCAATCTAATCAATTTTGACTTTGCTGTTAAAGGACCCACCACTTTGGCTTTGGCCCACGAATCCTTTCCAGTTCTTCTTCTCTTTTCAACTCCAACAAGTGTTCCTCCTCCAGTCTCAAACGTTCCATTCTCAGTCTGGCCATCTCTTGTTGGTATGGAGAGGCTAGAAGTACACTAGAAGAACCTGCAATTAAAGCAGATCTTATTTTTAAATATAAATAATTTTACCTGACCAATGTTTTGTAAATTTGTTGTAAAAATACTGTGAACTGAGTTTTCAAGAAAAAAGACAGGGAGGAAAATTGCATTAAACTGAATAACATTTTCTTATATCAAAACTCAAAACCATATAGAAAAATCAACATTTAAAGAATTATATGTGAAATTGTACCTGAGAATAGATAATTCAAATGTGTTGTATCAACAAAAAAAAAAACATTGTTAGGGTAAACCCAAATACCTATTGTTGGAGCCTCAGCTGTCCTAGTGTACATGTTATCAATGCTTGATCTAGTTGCAGTAGGAGGTCTCCATTTAGCTGGGCTTTTTGATTTTTTCTTCTTTTTATACAGACCATCTGTGGGTGTGCTGGGTCTGGGTAGTCCCTTTGGTGGAGGTGACAGGGTCCTGCCAATAGGTACATCAGCCATACCTACCACAGGATCAAGAGGGTCTGATGACTGAAGTGATTTGTACAGACTTGCAGCAGCCCCAAATGTTACTGGAAAATGATCTGTGATAATGTCTCTTGGCCTGGTCGGAATAGGGGAACTTGAACTGTATCTTGGACTTCGTGGGCTTGATCTTGTAAAGCTGTTTGTTGATCTTGCTCTTGGGGAGGCCCACCGATCATTTTCTTCTTTGATTCTTGCAGTTGCTATCTGTTCAGCATTAAGTTTTTTGGCTGCAAGCAAGGCTCCCATGGAACCTGTAGGTCTGTGGACAGGAGAAATTGACCTGGTATTTAAACCTGCCCTTTTCAAGGTTGGGTAATCATGCTCATCTTTTGTCAGATGTAAAGGCTGTGTGAACCACTCTGCTTCTTCCCTTGACTTTGGTCTCCCCGCCAGAGATTCGTCATGATACCCATTCTTTTGCGATCTTTTAATTTCTGCATCATCCTTTTCAATGAGTCTCTGCAACTCCTCATCCACGCTGTCATCACTTTCCTCTCCTTCACTGAAATGCCTCACCTTTTTGAGGTCACTGAAACTAACACTCTTCCTGAGGCTACTGCCTCTACCGCTGCCACTGAGCCTGCTCATGTCGAGATCAAGATCGTCACTGTCTTCCCAGCTGTCCTTGTCTCTGTAGTTGTCACTTCGGTATAAGGAATTTTGACTTAGCCGTCTAGTGGTTGTGGTAAGTTGCGAGTTAGTCAGATATCTTTGTCTCTCTCTGGAAAAAAAGGATACATATTCAGAAAACAAACAATACAATATCTTACAATCATAACACATTATGCTGTACAATGCAAGGGGTCTATTATTAAAATGTAAGGCTAGAAAAAAAAAAACAGATAAGTTGGTTAACAAGTGGTGATGCACTGTAAACATTTTTTTGTTTTGCTTTAAACACTGACAATAATTAAATTTAATACATGTCACAATCATTAAGAAAGAGGAAAGAAACCCAATGTCAGTGTGCAATCCCCTTGCCGTGAGCAGAGACTCGGCGTTTGGATCAAACCTACTACTTGTACATGTACAGTACAGTACTGGTAGCAGGGGGTTATGAAGTGCCAGTACATTTTGAAACTAATTATGTTGCTTATTTATTCATGTAACTGAGTTGCCTATTGATTTGTGGAACTTTGTAGTGAAATGTCTATGTCCATGATTGTACCTTGTTCGTGAAGTTGTATATCAATAACGGAATCTAAATGTAAATCATAGAATCAATACGATAGTGGTGTCATCTTTGTTTTTCTCGCGTGTTTTAGCTAACATGTAGAAAATTCCCGACATAAATAGAGATGCAGTCTTCTTTTACATTTATCGAATAAAATCTTACTGCATAGGTGTTCGTCTCCCGTGTAAAACAAAGTCATCGTCAGGCCGGGTATAATCCATTCCACCAACTGGAAAGTATGTTTGGCTTCATTGGAAACGACGCACCTTTTTGTCGAAAGAGGGCAGCAATAACCAAGAGATGCGCAGAATGAAAACATAAGTAATCTTGTTTTGAATGGCGCACCATCTAGCGTTGTAATCAGCAACTAGTGAGACATATTCGCCACTATTCGACACGAGAAACAGAAAGCATGGGAGACTTAGAGAGATTTGATGGCATGCTATTGAGCATGGCTACTCAGTGCGAAGGAGGAGTTACGGAGGTGAAGTTCAAGTGACCGATCTGAATAATGGATTGATGTTTTTACGGTGTTAATATCTGAAATATTTTCATAGAATTATCTAAAAATTTAACGATACTTAAGGAAGTATGCAGTGTGCCCCTCAAAATGTTTTTACACGCAAGTCTTTGATTGAACGATATTTTCTAAATTTAGTTATATATAATATGGTGAGTTTGATCAATGTATCTGCTATACAAATAGATAAGACAGGTTATTTTATGTTGAACAATAATATACTAAATATGTATGCATAATAATAATATACAACTCGATCCCATAATGGAATGGGATCCCATAATACATTGCAATTAAATGAGCTCGATCTACCTAAAATGCACAATATGGCGCAACACAGTGCAATACACTTGAAGAAAATCCAGTTGTAAGTTAACATAGGAAACGGTCATTTGCAAGAAAACGGTATATAAATTAATATAAAAATGAATTATATTAAGTACTAGGTAATTTTAATATTGAAATATCCTTGATCCAAATGTATTAACTAATTGGTACAATTTGTTTAAACAGAGCCTCTTAACTCGAAAGCATCGCGTATTGCAACCGAGCGCAAGCGTCTCGATTTCATAACTCACCCATTCTTGCCCCATATAATACATTGTAGCCTCTATGTGATATCGCTATTCGCAATGCACGATGTTTTTGAGTTACGAAGCCCAGTTCGTCCGCCATATTGCAAAGAACGGCAGATGCTGTATTGTGTTATATTGCACATTTTAGGTAGATCAAAATGAGCTAAAAGTTTCTTGTAAAAACATCAAGGAATCATTAAGTATTAGTAATAAATTTGAATAGCAGAGTTGTGATAATTGAATAATGATTTAGTGCCAACTCTTTCACTGAGTCCTTGAGATTTCACAATGCATTACATAAATGACCACTGTATTTTTCTTTGAAAACCCAAGCTTAATTGAATTGTTCATGTAATGCTACCATATGAATCATGTTTTGGTTATTTTTCAGTTGCTGGATGTGATATTTAGCTTCCTGGCAAGAAAAACTGATTTTTATACTGGTGCAAGTAAAGGAACACCAGAACAGGTAGTGCTGCTGTTATTTGTGGATCATAGAATTAAACCTGCACTATTTGATTTTGTAAACAAGTACTTTGTGGTTGGTATTGAATGTACCTTCTAACATTTTCAATACCATACCTTTGGGAGCAATTCATCATTTTAATTGTATTTTAGAGTTTTGTTATCACTCAGAATAAAATGAAATACCTAGGTACATTCAATTGAATTCTTTGTTTTCCTTTTAATTCATATTCACTGTTAAAATGATTGACTTCCATAACATTCTTAAAGCACTCTTCAAAACCTTGATCTATAATAAACCCATTATTACATAATTTCAGTTGATTCTGGATAAGTTCAGACACTTTGAAAAAGAAGCCCTGAAGAAAGCACAGAAGGAAAAAGAGGATAGAGAAGAGTCTGAAAAGAGAAGAAAAGAGAGACTTGCCAAAAAGGCTGAGAAAGAAAGACTGGAACAAGAACAATTAAAGGAGGAACCCAAAATCAAAGAAATCACAGATGAAGAGGCAGAAAAATTACAAAAAGAAATTGAAAAGGTAACTGTACATGTTATGGTCATTGTATATATATATATTTGATAAGGGTTATTTCTGGTTATTTGGTATTATATAATTATTTTCTGTTCCATTTTGCACAATTGAAAAAATGTGCTGGTTTATTCCGTTGAGACACTTTGTTTTTTTTTTATTGACATGATTTTTTTATTTATATGATTAGGAAAAGACAGGAAATGATGCAGAAGAAAATGGATCAGGGGATGCAGATGAAAAAGAAGAAACAAAGGTAATCAGGCCTACCCAACTACCAGACTTGGCACCTCATGATCCAGAATACACTGGTATATCAGACCACACAGTGTGTGTCAGATCTCATTACAGAGTATCAGCCACCACACCGATTTTCCTGGTGCGCGATGTGATAGCGATGATCCTAAGGGGGGTTGGAAAGTATTGCATCTCATCTAGATTCATGCACTGCTGCAATTTTCCCTGTTTATGCTAAAAATATGACAATACCGCAATTTTTTAACATAAAATTTAGGTTCGAACATAGCCAATGATGTTTTGTAAATAAGAACTTGCAAACTTATATGTTAATTTAGAAAAGTAGACCTAATTTTGATAGCGGAAGCATATTCTGTCAGGGGTTAAATAAAATTATTCAATTTTTTCACCGACTACTGTCTGTCGCCATGTTGTTGTATTCATACGACTCCTACTTGACGAAAACGAGGCGCGATACCCGGATGACAGGTAGGCCTACAAAATTTGTGTTGGGGTATGATACTCTGTAATGCGATCTGACACACACCTTGAAAACGGGTAGTGTGGTATGATGTGGTATGTGGTATGTGGTATGATGCGATCTGACACACACCTTGAAAACGGGTAGTGTGGTATGATATACCGGTTTATTCTGGTTCCGTAGGTGCCGAGTCTGGTAGTTGGGTAGGCCTGGTAATGATTGCAAATTTTTGTTTGTTTGTAACTTGTTCTGTAAAATAATCAGTGATAAACATCTTTGCTTTGCTGAAGACAATTGCGATAAATGTTGGTATTATGTAAATAATTGTGCCTTAAAGAACTATGAAAAAAAATGTCTTTTCTTCCTGCTACTTTTGTGGGAAAACTTTATTTTATCATAAATTGATAAAAGGGGCATGCACATATTATTCCGAAAAAAATTGCATGAGGCCCTGCAGATTTTGCAAGATTTTACGGCACATAGGGGTAATATAACCATCAGTTAGCAAATGTTTTGTGGTTAAAATTTCTTTTCCCTCTGAAATCTTGGAAAACACTATAAAAAGTATAATTGTAATAATAATAACATAATATTGAATTTAATCACATTTTCTTCCACACCATTAATTTCTTTAATGACTTTGTCTCAGTAATTGAAGGCAGTAAGAAAAATATTCGAGTAACAAAGATGATCATTTTTATTTATACATCTCTTGTAAGATTACCTTATCCTAAAATTCCAACATTGTAATAAAATGTCTTTTGTATGTCATAGTCTGATGATGAAGAAGATGAAAAAGACAAAGACAAGATAAAGCCAAACTCCGGCAATGGGGCAGACCTCCCAAATTATAAATGGACACAAACACTGCAAGATGTAGAGGTAATATTTTTAGTCCCCCCCCCCCTCCCTCTGCAAGCAAAAAAAAAAAAAATATATATATATATATATATATATATATATATATATATATATATATATATTGACATCAAAACTTCAGCTATACATGTAGTCTGTGAAGTACGAAGGTTGACACCTGTTGCTGTACAAATTACTGTGCATTAGTAATGCTTTGTTGCCAAACTTGTGAAAACTTCACACATGCATAAAAAGTGTACACCATTAATTTATTCAAATTGATGCATATGAAATGTATGCATACAAATATACATCATTTAGAGCATTTACAGTATTAATGTCATATTTTATTTTAAAATTTAACAAACGTTCATGTAAGCAGTTTAACATCTTTAATTTCTATTCCTTATATTCAGATTAGAATTCCATTCAAAGTTCCATTCCCAATTAAAGGAAAAGACTGTGTAGTGGTTATTGAGAAAAAGGTATGTTCAACAACTAGTCAGTAACACCAACACTTCCTCGTTTTTTTCCTATTTTTTACATATTTGATTTGGATCTCTCTCAAGTGTACTCTAAAATAACATAAGTTTAATTCAATTCAATTCAATTTATTTCTGTACTGGTACATAGATTGTCATGACCTTGTACAATATGATATACTAATGACGATACAATACAATTAGTGCATTACCATTTCTCTAGTTGGTATTATGTTGCCTAGCCATTTGTGAATGAAAAAATAATCTTTATATAATGAACATACGTACTAGTAAAATTACTCATAAAATATTCAGTGAAGTAATGATGTCATTTTGAGTTATTTTTAGACTTTTGTCTCATTTCTTTTTATTTCATCATAGCACTTAAAAGTGGGTTTAAAAGGTCATCCCCCTGTGATAGATGGTCCTATGTACAATGATGTGAAGAAGGAAGAGTCCACATGGTGCATAGAAGACAAGAAAATTATCATTCTAAATTTGGAAAAGGTAACCTTATTTGTAAAGTCCAGGAGAAGTTTTTTTATGTACAGACACAGATGTGTCTGTACATATTGCCATCACCTGCGTCTGTCGTCGCCGTCGCCGTTGCCGATCATGTCGCCGTGCACTTTCAGCGTTAACACCATAAGTGGAAGACAGTTTTACTTTTTGGCTTTATATTTACAGAGCTGATGAATATTCATAAAACGCAGGTCAAGTTCGAAAATCAGCATGATCGGGCCATTATTGTAGAATTTATGCTGTTTTTTCACTTTTCAGCATATATGCAACACTGTTAACACATTTCAAGGAAAACCGATAGGCCTGTTGTCATGAAACTCACAGGAGTAATCAATCTTACTAAAACGCAGGTCAAGTTCGAAAATCAGCATAATCGGGCCATTATTTTATAAGTTATGCTGTTTTTTCACATTTCCTCAGATTCAATTCTTAGGCATGTTAACAGTCTCATTATTTAACTAATAAGATACGTAAAAGTGTTTGTTTGACATTTCCTGCATCTTTACAACATTGTTAGTTGATTTTGTAAAAATGATGGTAAACTTGTTATCGTGTATTGTGTAATAAAGTTTCAAAAATGGAAATAAACTCATATCATTGCAGTTTGTAAGATTCAATCATTCACTATGTTCAGAAACTCAGAATGGAGGAAATTGGACATTTAACACTGTTCTATTGATATTTTTCCCATCTCATCAATTTTCTTAGTTGATCATATAAAAATGGCAGTAAACTGTTAATTTTGTTTTATGTTAAAAAAGTGTTAAAAATGGAAAAAAAAAACATTTCAGAACAGTGCTGTCTTGTTTACATTTTGGCATTTTCAAGTTGTGACTTTGAAGTTCCATGGGCCTGAAGACCTTTGCTAGTCACATTTTCTGAATATCCATAATACTAATATTTTATTATTAAAAATTGATGGTCATTATGCTGTTAAACGTTATGTAATATTGCATCAAAATTTGGAAAAAAAATATTTTGGGCACTGCTCCCATGATGACCATTTAAGAAAAATCATGTCACTTACTGTTCTCAAACTTACAGGAAAGAAACATGGGACTAAAATACAGCTTCAGTAGGCAATGCAGTCTGTTTGGTAATTCTTTCTGCTAGTTAAACAGTTTTTTTTTGTGAAAATTTAATTTTTCACATATTGGCATTTTCAAGGTGTGACTTTGAAGTTCCATGGGCTTGAAGACCCATGCTAGTCACATTTTCTGAAAATCCATGATACGCATATTTTATTATTAAAAATTGACGGTCATTATGCTGTTAACCATTATGTAATATTGCATCAGAATAGAAGAAAACACAATTTTGGGTGCTGCTGCCATGATGACCATTATGGGAAAACCATGTTACTGATGATTGCCAAACGTTCAAAAAAGAAATACAGGACTAAAATGCAGCCTGAGTTGGAAAAGCAGTCTAATTGGCTTCTTTTTCTGGAAGTTATACATTTTCAAAGTGTGAACTTGAACTGCCATGGGCCTGAAGCCTTATGCTTGTTACACATTTTACTTACATTGGTATTACCTGTTGAGCATAATTAAAATTTGATGTTGAATTTGCAGTTTAACATAATGTACTTTTGCATCAGAATTGACAGTAGCCTATTTTGTGCATAGTTATTTCCTGCTTTTTGTCTGTACATTTGACAGCTTTGCTGCCTTGTTAAATCTATAATATTATTTTAAAATATAATATTATGTAAATAAACTTATCCTTAGACTGTTTTATATTTATTAACTCCTAAAAAAGTCAAGATTAAAATGGAAACTCACTCTGGTGTGTATAATAGGAAATCACAAAAAGGAATACATATATACACAGTAAGTTGCTTTCTTTGCCAGGTCAACCAGATGGAGTGGTGGTCAAGAGTGGTCACCACAGACCCAGAAATCAACACAAAGAAAGTGCAGCCAGAAAATTCCAAGGTTTGTTCATTTTCCCCCTCTTAATATTAGTACAGCAAGAATGACCTCTACTCAGTGATATTTTCAGATATTTAACTACGGATTAGTAAGGTGCTGTGTGGTAGTATTTTTTTAGAAAGACATCAATTATTATTTTGAAAATTTGAAGTTATTAAGAATATCACAAAATAGATATTAAAAGGTGGTACAGCCACTGGAATTAATGTAGCAAGTAAACTTTTTTTTGTAGCTGTCTGACTTGGATGGGGAAACGAGATCACTGGTAGAAAAAATGATGTATGATCAAAGACAAAAAGAGATGGGCTTACCAACATCAGATGAACAAAAGAAACAAGATGTGTTGAGCAAGTATGTGAATGTTTAAAAGAACAAGTTAACTAATCAAATCATAGTAATTCCTTTACCATTTTTTACTTTGTGAGTGATAAACATTGGTAACTGATCAAGTTCCCTATTGTATTGTGTTATGGCACTTATGGGTCATGTCTAGGTTATTGTGCGGCACGCGTTTCAAAACTTACACAATTTCTTTTTGTGCTCCTTAGAAATTATTCAGTACAGTTTTACCACATGATATCATAATGTTCATTTTATTCATATATGCAAAGCAGTATATTTACATTTTTGTTTTATTTCAGATTTATGAAGCAGCATCCAGAAATGGATTTCTCCAAGTGCAAGTTTTCATAAAAAATGAGAATTGAAGAACAGCACACCAAAAGAAACATTTACAAATTCACAGCATCAACATTGTGGTTAAAGATTTTGGATGGAGTGACATGGGATGGTATAAATCCCAAAGAGAAATTTCATGTGAACAGACTTTTAAAAATTGGACAAGACTTTATTAATTTTTCCGTAAAAGTAATTTGTAAAAGAAAGATATTGCAAGCTTTATCAATAAAGATGTGAAGTTTTGATAGCGTTACTTATTCTGTTTACCAGTAAAAAAAGTAAAAACCACAAAAGACTGGATATCAATTTATTCCTTAGAAGATGAACATCTTCATGCTTTGTACAAATTAAGCGCAGTTAAGTTTTCTAGTTGTGCCGAGATAAATTGCAACCTTTGAAGTTCTCATGTTTTTTCAAGTGCCTTTGTTCTTGTAGTTATGACCTCAAAACTGCAAACTGCTTCAGAATTTAGTTACTAACTTACACAACTGCAATTTTCTTTGAGTACAGACCTTTGTAAATCACTTTAAATAAATACTTGTAAAATCTGTGCAGAATGTTTCCTTGTAATACACAATACAAAGTGCTAAAATGCGTAAAGTTATCAACTGTAATTGCAACCGATATCTACAGCCACAGCAAAGTCTTTACAAGGTCCCTAAATCGTACACCTAATAAAGTTGTGGACAAATCCAACAAAATATGCAACTCTGTGTAAGACTGATTACTTGTATGTAAAAGAACATGTGCATTCAAGATGTTACATGATTCAATTCAATACAAAAACAAAACTAATAAAATATATTAAATCATCTTATTTGATTTTCTGAATTTGCTGTTTTTAATTTTGGAATTGACAATCCAAAATGGATTACTGGTAATGGAACAATCTCGCAATTCAATTACAGGTTTTATGGCAAAAAGCCCAATCAATCATTTCACCCACCGAACTACTTTTTCTTTGTCAAACACGCTGAGAGCAATTCTTCTGCCTACACCAATCAATCATTTTCCCTTGGCTTTGGCACACCAGCCACTTAACACCTTACATGTACTGACATATTGCCTTGTTCTATTACAATTTTAAAAAACTACTGTTTATTACATAATTATATTGCACTTTATTATATCAAGAAATGGAAAGTGAAAATTCTTTTTACCACAGAATGAACAACTTTCCTGCCTAATACTGTATAATATTTATTGGATATTTTGATTTTAAAATCCCTAGATGTATTTTTCAACTGGATGTTACAAAGTAGGTAAATAGTTTTTAAAATACAACCTTGGAAAGTTTTCAAAATTAAAACATTATTTAATATCATTTTGTATTGGTTATTTCAAGTACAAATATTAATATTCAACTACTAGTAAAACTAATAATATCATTAAAATTATATCCATATTTTACACCAATGATCAAACCATCAAATTTGTTAAAAATGCACAGTGGTGATTTAAAAAAATTCATAACTCCCTCCAGATTTTTTTCTGGAACAGAACAAAATTCTAAACATCTCATCTTATTCGTATATATACACATAACCTGTGTACAGAACACCATATAAAATTCCTGGAGAACCTTCAAAATGGTCATTCAAATTCTTCAATTTACAGACAGTACTCTTATTCTCTGCAACAATGTGATGTCCTTGTTTAAAATTTGGGATCAAACCAATGACCTTTGACAAAAGAGGGGTCACAGTGCTTCATTTGTCCCCCCTGCCCATAATGAGACTTTTCTGATATTATATTTTGATTTGCTGACCTTGATACACTAATTTCACAGCCTATTATTCTTTTTAGCATGTCAAGAGAAATTCAAGTCAGCTTTTCAAAAAGATTTTAGTTTAAGAAATGTGTTTACTGTTTAAACATTCTGGATAGTATCAAGAAATCTGCTGATTTTGTGATATGCATAGCCTAGCAATGTTGATAATTCAAATTCCACTTTAAAATAGTCACATTTATGCAGTCAGATTACAAGTAGCCTAGCCATAAGTCTGAGCAATTCACTTTTTTAAAATATTTAAATAATCTGGATTCATTACTACCCAAATAGGCATGCCATAACAAGGCACAATCAATGTCCCACACAGTGACCCAGAATAAAAAGCCACAACAGTCAATCACTACAATAAAGGGAACTGGCTTTGAATATCTATTTCCACTGGGCTTCTCATTTCTGCCCCCTTGGGAGATGATGATCGTGAAGTGTGTGGAGACTGCTCTCTGGACGTTTGTTTAGAAGACCGAGGTGACCGTTGAGTTTGTAGTTTGGATTTGCTTCTTTTTTTGTCCTTCGGTTCACTACCAAACAGGAACTTGAAGCTGCAATATGAAAGAAAATGCTGTTTAATATATATTAAACAAACATCTTATTGCATACAAGTGAGATTTATCTCCTGGCTAAGACTTTCTCAGGTCTAAAGATTTCCTTGAGTTCAAATTACTCTTATGATCAGTACATTAAATTATGGACATCTGCAAAATATAGGAATTAAATGAGTGCACTGATTTTCAAATTAATCCTTCTCTCCCATATGTCAAACTTTAAACAAAAAAAATCCCTACATTAAACAAAATCCTAATATTTAATATGGTTTAATAATTTGTCAGTAGTACAATCTTTTTTAGAATAGCAATGTGCATTAGATAAAAATATGGAAGTAGAGAGGTAAGGAAATGGACAAAAACTGCTTTCACTACAGGAATAGCTACACAAAGCATTTCCATCTTAAATTTCAATACAATACTTTAAAATTCATCTTTTGTATAAAAGTTCCAACAACACACATACTTTGGAAAGCTAACATTCAAGTGCAACTGATAAAATATGAAAAAAAAATGGAAAAAAAAAGTACATGCAAGTAATGTAAAAAAGAAATATTGACTACAAAAATGTGCAGGATCACAGAAAACAAATTTGTACATGACATCAAGCAAACTTTGCCTTCTCAATCAGTAAATTTCTCCATGATGCTATGAAACCTGTAATGGCAACAAAATAGAAGGTAGTCCAGTATTAGAATGTTGTTCTACATGGCAGCTGAGATTATAGTCATGCAATTCACAGAAGCACATATGGACATCACAGACATGTTCATTACTCATTACTGAATCAGGATTAACATAAACCATGAGTACCTGCCATCACAGTAGCACATGCATCAAAATTCATCATTTCATGAAAATAAAATAAAAGACAGCGGGTTTATCAGTGAAAGACATCTTTTGCACATACAAGATGCATGATATTTTTGGGCATCTGAAACACAAAGCTGAAACATTCAGATAAATATGAGATCACCTTCATTAGTCTATATTTTCTACTGGTTCCAGTCTCTCCAACAGACGTCGGAAGCTAGGTGAAGATGGATCAGATACAAATTAGGTTGTCAATCACAATAATATCATTTATGGGCCAGACCTTTTTTAAGCTGCTGGTAAAAAAGCTGGCAAAAATATTGATTTTTGCTATTACACTGTAAATCAGAATTTTCTCAATTCTAAAAGAGAGAGAATACATGGTTCTCTCCAATGAAGTGGGTGCCCCATTTGTTATCACTAAAACACTGCAAACCTCCAAGTAAGTAAAATAAATGCATTCTCTCTAAATTTGATTTGTGGTGCTCAGAAAATGCATATATACATATTTTATTGGCACTTAATAGATTCAATTAGTAATTATACCACATAAAAAATCTATGTATTAGTATCTATATGTATACGGACAGGTTTAAACCACTTTTGATTTTGTCAAGGACCCTATTACAGATCTTGCAGAAGAAATATAAAGAGATGAATGGAAACACGGAAAACATGTTGTCAGTATCTCAATGTGTGCAATGTGAAATTAACACTTTAGGAAAAGTGTCAGAGAGTACAGGCTCGTTAGTATGTGAATAGCATAGTGGTGTTACTGAAATGTCCTGTAGAGTACTTACAATTTTCTAATACCAGATTCCTTATAATCAGGATAAAGCTTTTCAAAGGGCTCTTTATTAATTGGTCCTTGTACTGGAGGGGGACTTTCATCACCATCAGCATCGTCTTCCTCTCTGAAAAAAATGGGAAAAATTTATAGGCAAATATTTAAAGTCTCAACGGTCAAATGTGCATATCCAATTCAAGTAGACTTCAAATTTAGACAAAAATATTTCAGCATAGTCAGGTTCACATAAACATTGCATGTGAACAGGCAGTTCAGATCCATTATCAGCAAGAAGATGATTGCATGATGGACTACTCATAAAGCCTTTTCTGCCAGAGTTAAATGAACCACAGGAAATTTCTGAAATACAGAGCCCTTATAACAACAACCAAGAACATGCAAAGATTTGAGTGCTTCAATCCAACCTACAAGGACTTGCTATCAGAAGCACATCAGGGTTTTTGAGCTGGCAATTTTAGTCTGTTCAATACATTTGTTTTCTGTGGGTTTTCAGACTTTTCTGGATTATTAAGTTATTGGTATGGTGCAGAAGAAGATAACTGGATAGTAACTCAGACAGTGACTCATTTTCCACATAAATCATCCCAGGAAATATATTTAGTCACAATGCATTCTATAATACAATAAGAAGGTACAGTAAAGCAACCTATTCCAACATCACAAAAAATGTTTACATTAAAATGCAAATCGATTTTAAACTAATTACCTTAGAAAGCCAATACACAACTAAGCTCAATGTATACAAACATTAGAGACAAACAATAATAATTTCAATCAAAATGTTGAATATTATATGCATTGATTTACATTTGAAGTAAATTGTGCACTCATTTTTTCATTTCATTAGATCTTAGTATCAGCATTTTGAAGGTGTTAACACCAAGGAAAGGATACATAAATTGATCTTGAACTGTTCTGCCTAAACAAGTTAGCTCTTACTTTGGTTTGTAGTGGCCCAACTCCTCTTCCACTTCAATGAGCCTTGTTTTCAGCTCATTTCTCTCCAATAGCACTTCTCTGAGCTCAGACAGTGTAAAGCGAGGACGATTGGGGTCCTTCAGGTCAATCACCATCTTACCAATCATCTGTAACTTCTGTTCCAAGCTTTCAACCTCATCATCATCAGGGGTCTACAGTGCAGATGTTTAGATTCAATCATAATAATAAAATTTAACATCTTTCAAAAGTTCATTAAAAATCAATTCTATCAATCAATGGAACTCAAAAAATGAATTTCTGAAATTTGTTAAATCATACTCCACAATAACAAAAAATGCACTTTTTATTTTAAAAAAGTATACAACAAAAACGAATGATGCAGCATACATGATAGGTGTGTATTCCTGAAGATTGAACTATAAACTTGAATAAGAATCGGATACTGCTTGTGTCATCCCTTATAATTTGGAGATGAAAATACCAGGGTGTAAAACAGAATCTTTATCACATTATCACTCAGTTTTTTTTAATTAGAACCTTTATCACATTATCATAAAGTTCTTTGAAAAATTCTTAAGCTAATATAATAATTATTTGTACTTGTGGAGGGGGTGCAGCATGATGCTCTACTTCTTGTTGTTTTAGCATTTCTTGTATCTTATGAATCTGTTGTTCTTTGTCCTGCAATTGTACTTGAAGGTCGGATTTCTCCTCTATAAGGTGTTTAGCTTGCTTTGTTGTGTGGTTGGTCTTTCTCCGTAGGTCTGTATTCACTTTAGCCATTCTTTCCAGTTGTGCTTGAAGCTGAAATAGATACATTAAAATTAGAATGTACCCACTACTTAATGTGAACAACTGATGACTCAGATGCTCCTTGACAATGTGCTAACATTAATGCCAGAGAAAGATAAATTTACATTCCTGAGAAGCAAGTTCTATTAATGTTAAAATGTTAAAATATAAAAGAATACTGAAAATTTAAATCTTTAAATAAGGCAGTAAACATTAAATTTTGTGACCAATTATCTTCATAATATTATACTATAAGAGGGAAGGAAGATCATTCCTCACTTTAGTTTTTTTTAATACAGCTTACCAAAAAGATTAAATTCATCTTAAAACTCCATCCAGTGTAAATAAAAATTACCTGTACTTCAATACTCTTTTTTTTTATAAATACAGTATACTTTGCCACAGAGGCCAAGTAAACAGGAAGCTACTGGTACATGCCAAACTGCATTTCCATAATCAATGTTATTGTGAAAATATTTCATCAAACAAATGAGGAAATGCAGTCTATGATCAAGAAGTAAAAAAAAAAATGTACTTGCAATCAACAGATTTAAAAAAACAGATAATTCACTTTTTCTCCACAGCCAACATAATCACTGAGCTGCCTATCTAGGGATTAATTAAGGCTCACCTGAGAGCAGCATTTAGTTTCAAAGAAGCATTTTTGGAACAAAGTCAGTAACCAATTCAAAATTTTGTGCCAGACAATACAGTTCATAACCTAATTTGACAAAAATAAACCGTAACGCCATTGAACTGCACTTACAATAAAATTATAGACTATTTAATAAATTGAACTTAAAAAGAAGATAAGTATAAAGGTCTAGTAAAATGGCAATTTAAATGCTCTGATACATGTTCAATAACATATGCTGGAAAATGTGTAAAAAGTGAAAAATATAAACTAATTTCACACTTATCAGCACACAGACACACACAGACACACACACACACTCACACAAAGGTACACACATTTCTTTTTCTTTTCTCTTTGTTTTTGTGCAAGGCTTATTCAAGGAATGACAGTTAAATTCCACATTTTGAAGGTCAGGGCAGGCACAGAAGAGAACATATGGCATGGCAGCTTTACTGCCACCTAAGTATTCCCAAGTACAACAGGAATCAATAAATTCTGGAACAACAATCCATGGAAACCTTCCAACCCTTCACTGTGGCTAGAAGCACTTATTGCAAAGAATAAATCACCCGGCATTTGTTTGAATCCTGAAGATAAAAGTCAATGAACGAACTCATCAGAAGTTCTGTGGGTAATGTTATAGTTTACAGTTAGAGTACTACTTGTATACTTAGTAGCTTTCTGCTACACAGTGCTTCATTTTCAGACTATAATTTTTCAAAGAGGTGCAGATGGGAAGAAATGTGATCCTTGCATGGCACATCTCTTTCTTAATGGGTTAATCATATTATATATAAGAGAATCCAAGATGGTCATTAATTTTGAGTGAAAAATTAACTGAGTGAAAAATGCTACAATGAAGCTAAGCTATTCTATGAACTTAAATTTGATTAATTTACAAATCCAGCAATTATCTGAACCATCTCAACTGTTCTTTTCATCCTTAATGCTGGTGAATAAAACACAAGTACAAATGGATTGTTAATTGGTATGTGATGATAATGTTACTTTTTTTCAATATCTTTAGACAAGTTGAAATTAGTATCTATATGATGTACACATACTCTCATAAACCTTTGTCCATTATTTAAATTTTTTATCTTATTCTTTCAAATGCTTGAAATGATATGGCATGAGAATGGCAATTTTCTTATATGATATAAAACATGTATCTGGCCATCTTGTTGACTGATGCAGAAAAAAAGTATTTGTTAACTGTTAAATAGAAAAGCAATGTCCTCTTCCCAGTACTAGCACTTCCTTTACTCAGGGGTCTCTTGGCTTTATTTCAATTACAAAGACTAATATCGATAAAAATCCTCTTGACAGCTAAAAATAATTGGATCAAAGCAAATGGAAAAAGGGTGTGGGAACAAACAGTTGAGTAGAAAATTAATGCTCCTTTGTAATATTACTTGCAATACTGATTAAGGAGAATCTTAAATTATTGGTGATTTGTAAATCAGACAATCTGACATATAATAAACAGTGATCTGTTCTTTCTTACTGCATAATATCAAGGAATGAAGTGATGGGGATCTGAAACTATGACAAATGATACCGACCCCCCATTTTTTTCGCAAGTTTAATCCACATTTCTGCTTGGTACTTTATATTAAATCTGAACTAAAAAGAAGGTATTAAGTACAAAGCTTAGAATGAAGAAAATGTTGGTAAGGAATGGCAAGTTACAAGACATCTTGCAAATGACATTCTCTTGTTTTGCAGCAGAGAACCCCTCTAAATATGATGTGGTATACACTTTACCCAGTTTGATGAAAGAAAACAACTGATACATATTGATATCTATGCACTGCTTTATCTCTACACTGGTACATACTGCTTCAATATCCACAGTCTTCTGTTTGTTCACTCTATCTAAAGCCCTGAGTTGATCTCTTTGCTTATCAACTGTCTCCTTTAACTTGGTCATAATACGGATTTCTTCCTCTTCTGTTTCTGAAATGGAAAAAAAAGATACATTCAGTACCAAAAAATAAGAGTTAATTGAAATATAATTAAAGTGATTTAGATGTATAAATGCAACGCATCCATCCACACATACATGCACATTTTTTTCTTTGCTCCATCACTCTTTGGCATTTTTGTACAGGCACAATACAGCATTTCAACTTGTTTATTATTGTTCACTGGAAACTTCACTGTGCGGCTCTATTGCTTTATTATCAGCTGTATCCTGTCATGCCTGTACATCATACCTTTGAATCATTTCATTTATTAAAAAAAAGTCTATCATAAACTGCCAATACATTTCCTTGCAGCTGTCAAGTCATTATCACATTATAATGGTCTTATCCTGGATTTCACTGATCCCATTTCAACAAAATCTGAACCATTTTTCCCATTATTACATTATAACAGTCTCATTCTTAATTTCCCTATTCATTTCAATCAAACTCAACCTCTCTTTCGTAAAAAAAAAAAAAATTAGATGTTTTTTTTAAAATTATGATCACCACTGTGACCTTAATTTCCCCCGTTACATATCTTTTCTTCAGGACAAAAAACATTTTTGTAAAATACATTCATTTTTGGATTTTTGCCTTCAGCTTTGACCTGGCACAGAGCTATAATTCCGCAAACTTAATTAATGTGTCCTAAGTTCCCAATTCCCTATCTTCTTTGCCATCAAACACCGTAGGCAGGATAAGTCTACTGGGATACATACTCACAGGATTCCAATCAATGCAAGTATTGATGAGGGCAGAAATTACATAGCAAATTGACATAATCATGTGTAATGGAAAACCCAGCCATTCTTCAAAACCGATCATTCTTGAACTCATCAAATATTTTTCTGTTTCAATGAGCATCATCTTTGAGTACACCAAACACTTATTTTTTTCTGATCAATACACTGGTTTCCCATTTCGATAATTTAGTGAAGCATAACAAGAATATTACAGCAAAGTGTCCAATAAAATGCTGCTAATGTGGTATTATGATCTTATGTAAGTATCAATAATTTGCACAATTACATCAACTAGGTACCACATACCATTACTGATATCCTATTAATGTTAATACTCTATTTATATCTTGCTGTTCAACATGATGTACAAATCTGTAAAGCAAAGGTTGTGTTCTATAGCAGGAGAGCAAAGATGATCCTGGGAAAAACAGCATCCAAACCTCCTATCTGGCCCACTAATTTTGTAGCCAATCAATCTGTCATTCAATGAGTGGCTAAAGGAACTGATGGACAGCTCTCTTACATTTTGCCAACAAATTCAAGAAAAAGTACAATTTAATGAATAGCACAATTTATAGACTCTTAAAGACATTGTGTATTACCACATAATAAGAAAAATTCCATGAAAAGAAAATGGAAGGGACACATATTAAATTCATGATCAATTATACAGTCAATTAACTGCAATAATGATTGCAGTGCTATTGCTCCCCTAGAGAATCTGTTATTATACCTTTTCTATGCTAAGCTATAAATAATCAGTGCAAGTAGACAAGCTATCAAACCTATCCCTTATGTCCATACATGTGAATTACATACGCAGCAATTGCATAGTGGGTGTACTTCATGACATAATGGAGCACCCAGTGGACCAATTTGATATGGATTTAATCTCAGTTTTATTGAGCTGCAATGCCACCACTTTTCTGATATGGCTTTTATTCATGATGAATTTTTTAGTATACCATTGGTGCCATGGACAGCCAGCCTGAGATGTGGAATATTTATTGTGAATGGGTTTAATAAGAATATAATAGCTCTGTAAATGTTGAGTATTCTGAAACACTAGGCCATAGACAGAATTATGGCACATACATTTTGTATCAAATATAGCATCCAAATCATGGAGGTTATAATTCTGATTCTTGTTTGATAAATTTCTCAGTTAATATCTTCAAATAATCAAATTGTACCAAACAGATGTTTTCTTAACAATCATCAGTCTATAACTCTCATTTAACCAGTGCAATGCTGTTTCTGAAATTTCATAAGAAGCATCTCTTCCAATTAATTTAAATCAATATTTTCTTTGTCTGAAGAAATTCCACAATAATTTGCTTCTGCAGCAGCAGTGAAGACCTATAGACAAACAAGTTCCGTGAGGCCACATTCTCAGCCATGTGCTTTTGTGAAAACCCTTGAAAATCCATACCGTGAATGCAATCATGCTGTTGCTATGATTCTGAAGATTTATATTATGGATAATCCTCAACCAATAATAAGGCTGGAACAAGAATGGAGATCACTAAAGAACAGGGGTCCTTTTTTGCTTCAGCATGTCTTTAACTCAGCATGTAACTGTTCAATATATGCCCATGCATGTCACATGGGGGGGGGGGGGGGGGGGGGAATACTTAACAACCAGGAAGTGACAACTTAGAAATTTATGATATTACAGGTTTTAATATGAATCTGATTTTTACTGAAATTTGACAGATCTGCCTTGAGTGACAATCCTAACTGTAAAGGATATAATATCTTCAAAACGGACTTTTGTAAAATGATCAAAGTGCAATTCAGAGGTACTTACATGGTCACAAAAACCTCTTAACGCGAAGTAATGAGCTTTGTTTGAACTACCACACGTATCCAAAAATGGGCCCATGTAGACAAACTTATAAATAATTACTTCTTGTTTTCCTGAATTTGCTTATACATTCATAAGTGAGAGTGAGAGAGGGGGTGGCAAATTAAAAGATCAAAACATTTTAACTAAACTACTGATTTATTGTTCACAAAATGCCAAGCATTTACGCAAGGAACAAACAATAAAATACAGATCTTTTCCTCTTGACCATTGGGTGAATTTTACAAGATAGATGCACTGCCAATTTACAGACCCACAGAGGCTAAATCCCTCATTATTACCATACATGATGATGAGAGTCAATAGCACAGTGTATAGTGTTATATTACTAAGACTGAGTCAGGCATTTTCAAAACAATATTGATTGGTTCAATTATTCAGTAGAAGACTACAGATGAATACTGTTGACTTGCACTGTAGATGTAATGAGAACTAGTATGTGCTTCATGTGGATGGTTTACACGCACATACAGGTACATACATGATGGGCACTGATGAGAAAGACAAGGAAAATTAACTGCAGTTGTGACAGGTGTATAAAATGCCTGCATACATTGTTTCAACAGTGGACATCTCAAAGCAGCTGACCACACTAAATACTGTTTTCTATCTTCACTTGTAGTTGTGAACAGAAGAGGTTCCAAATAGAATTACTTATATATTCTGAAGGACAACATAATTTTTTAGCTTTTCCTCACAAAATCCTGGTTCTGTTCTACTCTCTCTCAGCCTTCCCTCTACCTAATTTATACCAATTGTATGCTTGGTTCAAACTTCTGAAGCCATACTTATATATATATTCAAGCTTTCATTATACAAAGTATTCAAAAAGGCCATTCATAAATTCCTGCACAATCCAACTACTATGCCACATGTCAAATATTGTCAAGCACTAATTGTAAAGTTAAATGAAGAAGAATTCTATTGTTCACCACATTAGAAATTACAATTTAAGACAGTTTCTTGTAGATAATAAGGACTGTTTTTTTTTTCTTGATGTGGCCTGTTTTGCTTCTTACACAGTGATAATCATAAATCTGTCAAATGTCAAGATGGCCTGATGCTACTGTGCTCATGATTAAAACCAATACAATAATTGCTCTTTGTGCTGAATCTTAAGTTCATTCTCATTAAGGTTTCTAATTCCGTCTGGTACGTGACTAAAAATTCAATGAATCAATCAAACCGATTTCTCTATTTTATCACATAAAAAATGTTTGGGCTAACATATACTTATAAGCATATGTTGTAGTGGGTTGAAGTTAGCATCAGTTTACACCATACTGTCCTGTTTATCCTCACAGGTGTTCCATCAAATTGAATACTCCTCTTGTTTTCTATTTATTTGAAATGTGCTTTAAAAAATAGAAATGGCTCATATCTAAAAAAACACTTAAAAATGGCATCCATTGATTTATGTGCAATGTTTCACATCTGTATCAATGCATTGTTTTCCATGAAAGAGATTGCCATTGAATCTAATTGATGTCTCTTATCCTACAAAGCTAATAAATCAATCAAACCCATATGTCAGATTAACACTTAATAAGAGCAACCGAATCATAATGTTAAAATACTAAAAGCAATCGCATGTTGTGTTCAAAAGGCGCACTTTTCACCGAGGGTTTTTTTATTCACTGCTTCCTAATGGATTTTCCCACATCTATTTTCTTTGTAAGTTTCTGCTTTATTTTTAAATGTCCTGAAATAATCTTATTTGATCCTCTAAACTTAGAAAATAACAGTTCAATATCTGTTTTAATCAGACAGGTAACATAAAACCGAGACTAAAAATCAATAAAAAAAACTCTTAAACCAAATCTAAAAGACAGAACACAAGGAGCTTTAAATCAATTTGAAAATGTCTGAGATGTGCTTCTTCCAACCTACTTGGTGCTTATAACCACAAAACAAGAAAATGATGCAGCAATTGGTACAGAATATTTTTTCAAGAGCTTAATATGCCTCCTCTTAGTCATCTTAGCCATTTGGGGTTATAAACTACAATAAACTCTCAGACACTACATCAGCTTTTTTATCTGCCAAATAGTTGCTATTCAGATGTCTAGCCCAATAAACTAGTACAGAAAATTCCCTTTGGACATACAGAATAAAAGCAAAAAACAAAATTAAATTTTTTCATACTCACCTGTAAAGAAATCACTTTCAGGGTGGATAAGACATTCACTAACAATAAAAAGTGATCCTTTAATAAGCTTGAAAGTTATAATTAAAAAAATTAGTTTTATAAAATTTAATTTAAAAAACATTTTTAATTGAACTCTTACTTCTTTCAGCCTCTTTTCTTTCTTCCTTCTTCTCCACTTTCTTTTCCTCTAACATGGTATGCAGCCGTCTGTTCTCTTCCTGGAGTTTAGCTACTGTTTGCAAGAGATCTTTGGCATCATTCTTCCAAGTATCTTCAATTTGTTCCAATTCCTGAAATCATTTACAAAAATAGGAAAAAAACCCTAGAAATGCAATGAAAAAAGATTATATATGTAACTTTTTAAGTGACTGAATTTGAATAAAAAATAATCACGATAAAAAAGGCAACACGATCCACAAAATACTCAACCTATAGAATTTCCATTTATCAATGGTGAACAAGACTGTCCCTTAGTGTGATTTTTGAATTTTAATTTGGTTATTAGTATCTATACAAGAAAGACAATGTTGAACATATTTTGTAAAAAATGATTTATCCATCATACCTCAAAAGTATTAAAAGAAACCAAGTGTATTTTATGAAGTTGACTTTCAGATGAGTGAGTCACCTCAAATAGTAATATTTGAAAAAAGCAAACTTACTTATTTCAAAGTCTACAAATTGTTTTCATTATACTGAAAGTACCTGTTCTGGTTTAAGCTTACTAGTAAACTCAGGCAATATAATAATAATAATAATTAAACAGAAACATTACACAGTCTGAAATTCAAAAGAAGTTAACTTAAAACCTTGAGGTTAAATCCAGAACATTAGTTAAAAAGAATGTTTTGGAAAGCAGGTCATCAATTTACTTCTGACAAAATGGGTCTTTTTTCTAGGGATGCTATCAATTTTCAACTCACAGTGAATGCCACAAGTCAAATCACTAGGACAAAATCACCATCCTCACAATTTAAGCAACTGAAAGCTTAGACGAGACAGCTTGCATAATCGAAAAAATATTGAATTTGAGATGTAATCAGCAACGAAGCTAAATACACTCAAGTCCTCCTCTATTGATTTTTAATATGAAATGTTATTTTAGGATGGTGACTGGAAATGACATCCCTAATTGTGATAGTAATGAGTTTTCAGATAATCACATTGCAGAAAATTAGCACAGCTATCTGAATATGCATTATTTCTAAAATGAATACTAAGGAAGGATACTCATATCGATTAATATGTTTTTTTTTTAATGAAATCTTTTCATTTAATCTCCAAACATTTTTTTCATCCAATCTTTCCATCTTAGTAAAATTTTCTTCCACATGAATGTAATCATCTACTGTACATGGAACTAGGATCACTTTGGTATGAACAACTTTACCCACTTCAAAGTATAGAGGGATGAATAATATTTTGAAAAAATGTTTAACAGTCCTTTTCTTTTACTTCAGTTTAAGTTAGCCATCTTTTATATTTGTTGAAATCTTACGTAAGCCTGGTTAAACCATAGCACAAAATAAACAATAATTAATAAACAATAATAAAACTATATATATATATATATATATATATATATATATATATATATATATATAAAATGGTGAATATGAGGCTTGAGTAGAGGGATATATACATATACATAAAACACTTAACATGCCAAATCCATAACTAGTAGGTTACAATGCAATCCAGGTAGTTTATTCACCTAAAGTTGGGACAACCTTTTATGTAGACCTGTTCAGACCTTTCTCTTTCTATTTATTTGACATGTTATATTTATTCAGAATATTAGATAATTATACTAAATACAATGCCATTAGCCAGATCAACAAGATATCATCAGAGGTTGCTAAGCTTCATTTCAACCATGACCTCATTGTTATACCTTTAACTGTCACAGTCTGTGACTGCAGGGGAAATATCTAAGCAGGTAAGTTGCAGAGTGAGATTCCTAACATAGCTTTGCAATCCATTTCATACTCTTAACAGGTTTACCAGTCTCAAGATGTATATGATAACACTATTTTCATTGTACAGATTGTTCAAATCAAAAGATGTTACTTTTGTGACTTATTATGTTCCATACCACTTGAAAAACCCTGAACAAATCTTGTTCAAAGGCAGATGTCTACAATGAATGGACTAATACACTGTATGTTAATTCATATTTTTTCTTAATGATGATTTCCTATGTAAACTACCATAAAAGTTAAATGAAAATCTAATGCTTTTTTTGCAAGATTTTAACAATTCCATTTTACTTGAAAGAAACCTGCTTCCATCTGGATAAAAAGTCATTAATGAATAGATAACAGGGCAAACTTTGGAATGACAGACCCATGCATTACTTTTCTTTAACTATTTTTAAATGGACAAGTATCACTGAGTCAAGACCACATACTCATATAAATGCAAACAAAATCAGTTGCCTAAGATTTTTTCAAACAGACAAATAGACTGCCAACCTCCTTGAGTCAATTTTTCTACAAAAAATATTTTTCTGCATGTTGTTACGCTCATTTCTTAAATTCAGAAAAAAGTGATTTGTGGTCAGTCAATGCAAGAAGAAGTAAACATTTAGATAAAACTGACAGGAAATGATTTCTTTTCCTGATCCGAATGGATCATTCATATATTGCACTGACAAAATACTCTAAAAAAATCAATAAGTGCATGAAATGCAGACTGAACACTCTAAAGAGCTCTTATAAGATGCTACATGCTTTCATGCTTTATTGGGTTTAATAAGACGCTGACACAATGGTTCTTATCAGTGGACAATTTTGTGAGCAGTGTGTGTGTGTGTGTGTGTGTGTGTGTGTGTGTGTGTGTGTGTGTGTGTGTGTGGTTAAAATACCCAGTATCAATGTACTGAGTAGACAAAATAGGAACATCTTAACTGTGCTCATGATATTAATTTGTTGAACGCGGTTATTTCCTTAACAGATATAATTAGGATAACATGGACTTTTTCATATGGTGCAACTGCTAACATGCAGTGAATAACATTATAAACTGACACAGACTAATTATTATTATTATATTTTAAATTTTTTATTTACCTGTTCGTACTTTGCCCTCTCGGCTGCACGCTCCATTTTTTCTGCCTCCATCCTCTGCAACGCCGACCTTAGGTCGGCAAGTTCATTATTTTCCTTTTCATTCTTATTGGCAAGTGCTTCGAGCTGTTCTAAAACTCGAATTACTTTTGGCATCAAATCTGTCACTGCTTCGGTTCCATAATTGTCAATCAAAGCCTCAAATTCTTTTCCGATTGCCGCCGCTGTATCATAAACATCTACTACTGTTATGTTTGCAAGCTCTTCCATGTCCTTTTCTTTGTACGGCATGCTTCCTACAAATGCAGAACCATAGTTTCCAGACACTTTTTAAGATCGATTTCTTGCGACCGCATTTAGGCTTCTGTCACAAGACGATGATTCTAAACATTCACTTCGCACTGTGGATTTTGACGCTTTTCGATTGGCTGAATGGATCTAACGCACCTGAGAGCACATCAGTGAAAATGTCTAGGAATGGGTTTGATTATAGATAATCCAGAACATTCTTAGGATTTATACTCTATTTGGTTTTCCTAAAAGTATCCTTGATTTAACAGATTCCTTTAATTACTTTTCTTTTTTTCGTCAGGTTTATCTTGTACTTGGAGCGCCACCTGGAGCAGTGTTGTTGCTAACTTTCAGCAGAAACGTAAACACGACCACCTGTTAAGTGGTAGATTTCATCGCTGAAGTACTCAGGCCTTTCTCCTAGAGAATACTCAAAGCATTTAAGGTGTCAAAAAAGTAAATGCAGGCAACAGTGTTGTGTTTTACACGCCGGATGTAGGTTGCTAATGCAATCCAATTTCCAAACCAAGATGCAGCAACAAGTGTAGATGGGCACAGAGCGTTAAAAGTCATATCTTACATAGTCAGTTCGTATACAGTATGGTATGTTAAATAAACGACAGAATGGCTTTAACAGGACACATTGACATTGATGTTGTGGTGAGTGTTGTATTTTGTTAATTTTATTCAGCCGTCAGTTTGCTTCTAGAGAATAAACAGTACATGTAATACGCACCCCACCCACACTGTAAACTCTTACAGTTAAGTAATTTATGGGGAGAGTTGAGTTTTCTATTTGTGTAATTGTGGGACAGTACACTCAAAGTTGTGATGCACATGAAAAGAAAGGATTCATACCTTTTCAGGATGAAGATGCCTATTTGCGAGATCTCATACAGGCTGTGGACTACAAAAACCTGAAGAGAGTTCAGTTTTTGATGCCAAGCATCAAGGTAATTGGTTTATACTGGTTTTAAATAATTTAGGTGTCATCCATTTTTATCATAATTCTCACAAGTCTACAAACCTTACAGTGTGTGTGTGTGTGTGTGTGTGTGTGTGTGTGTGTGTGTGTGTGTGGGAGGGGGGGTTAGGGCCCTCTGTACATGTTGATGTCTTTGACTTAAATCACACCACAAACTAAAACACTCTTCTGCACTTTTTTTATATTATAGACCTAACTCTACTCTAGGTAACATGCTACATCCAAGTCCCTCACTGCCTCACGCACAGCTCTACCAAGTAAACAACAAATCAGTCAAATGTCAAATTAAAACACAACAGTACACTTTTGGAAAAAAAAATTGAAATTGATTATCTTCACTTCCAGGGATGTGCTTGCAAAGGTCATCATTTCTAGCTTCATGATGTACTCTCTGAAGTGAGGGGGTGTAATAAGTATATTTTTGTGTTCTAGTACTTGTAAAAATGGTGATAAAAATGGATGACCCCTTAGATAATGCAGTTATAGTTAAATGCACAATACAGTGTAACACAGCACAATATACTGGAAAAAATGACTTCAGACACCAGTAAGACCTGGAAATGGTAAATTGCAAGAAAATAGGATGATATAATTTTAAATGAAAATATATTGCTAAGCACTGGTAATTGACAGCACAGAGAAAATTTACAAATCATTTCAATATGTTAATGTAGTACTGCCATATTGAAAACTTCTGGAAGAGCTACCAAGACATAGCTCTTGTTGAGTTTCCAAATGTGGCGTACAAGCAGTGTATTACACTACAAATGTATATTATTCTGTATTGCACATTATAACGGCACATTTTAATGTAAGTGAAGGGTTTCAAATACAGATGTATAATTTAATTATTTCATATGTCATACAGAGTACATGCTGCAAACATTGAATTAAGATGTTAATATTAATAATAATATAATAATAATAATTCCTTGTACAAAAACAAGTAGAACATTATGCAAATAAAATTATATGTACTCAGCTGTGAGTACCAGTGCTATACCAGTAGCATATTCAGGACATGGATTAGAATCAGACTTTGTTGAGCTTTATCAAAAGTTTAGGTAAAGAAACATGTCTTTAAACACATTCTTTTCAACCTCTGTTTTAGGAACAAATTAAAGAAGTATTCACAGAGGATGATGGTGTGGGTCACTACTTTCAAATAGCCACAGAAGACACCTCTCGCTATGCCTGGGTATTAGGAGAGGCTTTACGTAGAGCAAGCCAGCAGGGCACAGGAGATATCGTGGAATTCTTGCTGGACAGTGGAGCAGATATTAATTCAAAAAATGATGTAAGGAAATGTTGTAACTGTATATTTTATTTTTAAAAAATAATTAAAGATAGTGAAAATAACTAAGACCATAAAAAACATTACCCCCTCCTAAAAAAGAAAAAAACTTAATTGATTTTCTTTAAAATTTCATATAAACTACAAGTAAATGTGGATGTCATCAGCAGTTTCTTTAGTGCCAGTGCACATCATTATTGTTTGATTCAATAACATTATACTTTTAATTTCAGGAAGGGTTTACTGCGCTCATGAAAGCCAGTGAGAGAGGCCAGTTAGATGTAGTACAGATATTGCTGAGAAGAGGGGCTGATGTTAACTTAACAAACAAGGTACCAGCTACATCTATACAACACAACATTCAACCAGATAGCATTTTAATCCAGCGTAATGACTTAGCTGTTAAATATCCAAGACAAGTGTTGATCATTATACATTTTGAATAGCACCTTATCAGTAGGTACAAGTAGTTCAACATAACATAATTTCACCAGCAGTTTGATTTTCAGTATTGGTTGATTCCTTATATACTCCATGCTAGTATCATAGCTATTGTTCTTTCTTTCTTTTTCTTTCTTTCTTTGTGAAATGTTTCATAAATATTTTCCTGAAGTTTATTGATTTAAATGCATCTATCACCCCCTCTATCTCGCACCCCCCTCCCCTCTACACATGCACACAGTAGCTGCTATACTTGATTTTTGCTCTCTCAGGTTGGTTCCAGTGCTCTCCAATGGATATCACGTATTCCAGAAAGATGGCCTGTTGTGAAGATGTTGCTTGAACATAAGGAGACAGATGTCAATCTTGCTGCACATAAGGTATATATTTATTGTTGATATTTGAAGGGGAGCACTGCAAAGACATTGGAATATATTTGATCAGATATTATTTTCTGTGCTATGATTGATTATTGTTATATAAAAGAATTATAATCCATCTCATTGTTTTGAACATCAGGTCACCAATTATCCATGGGAATTTTTTCAATATTGGGCTTCATATGTATTTACAGACTGCTTAGGTCAATGGTAACTTAGTAAACCAAGTGCAAATTTTGAAGCATGTTTATTATCATCTTTTTCATTGACAAGAAATTTTGAAGTTAATTTTTGTTCATATTTTAGCTAGGTAAGACTGCTTTGCATTGTGCAGCAGAGATGGACACACTGGGGAAAACTTTGAGACTACTACTGGATTACAATGCAGACCAAAATGCGAAAGCCAAGGCATGCAATATGTTTGTCAATGAAATAGTTAACATTTGGATAATAGGCACAAAATGAAGCATTAAAAATAATGATGTCTGTGATGGGAGATTTTAGGATAGTGGTTAATTAGTTTGTTGTACGTTGTACCAGTACAAGTAAATGTTGTTTATTGTATGTCACTTTTTAAAAAACTCAACATTCAATTTATTAGATCCTGTCATAAAATCTTGTCAAATTTGATAAATTGTTTTAATATAGTGCTTTGTATTATAGCCAGAACTTAAAGATTTAGAAATATGTATTACCATGACCCCTTGCCTTTTAAGGATGGCCGTACAGCTCTCCATTTTGCAGCAGAAAGAGGACACCATAGGAACATTGTCACATTAATACATTATGGAGCACATCCACATGTGAGGGAAAATCAGGTACTTGTTTAATTTTAACCTGGTATACTGGTAGGTACATGTACATCAGTAACATGTGCCTTGGAAAACATTGCATGTGCACTTAATTGTTACACATTTGTCCAGTGTATACACAATATTTAAGGGCTAAATACCCGGTAGACCTTCATGTACCAAATTCCATCACCTTGTCAAATAGAGGCACAAAAGAAACACAGTATCAAATAGTCCACCAGTTCTTGAATGCCAATACCTTCATTTGCAACTTGACACAACTTCCCATGCATAGCACTTCCCTAGCTTTTCCATGCTATTTTAGTTGGGTTCCACCCCTATGCACCTAGCTGCACAGAATGGAGAAGTCAGAGTTGTTGAGGAGTTATTACTTGGAGGTGCTGATCCTACTATCAAGGATAGGGTAAGCAACTTATTGTTTGAATATTTTATCCCCACCCACCCCTTTTTAATAGCTGAAGGCCAGGCAAAATTGTATTTACAAATAGCTGTCATTTTCTTTTGTATTAATTATGAAATAATTTTAATAAACTGTACTTTGTAATTAAGAACATTTTTATTCCTGAGTAAATTTTAACAATTTTATCCCTTTTCAGTTTGGTAGAACAGCCAAAGATAGAGTGGTAAATTATTCTAAGATTATCAAAGAAAAGAAATTGTACTTTGATGAGTTGATGAGGATTTTTGAAAGTCAGGCACTGATGATTCATTGTCTAGAGGTAAATATGTGCATGGCAAAAGCTAATGATTCAGAACCAGTTTTCTCCTGGTGAGCTTACATTATGATCAGTTGTTGTTCTTAATGATGGAGATAAAGGGAAAACTGCTTAATTTTCCAAGAAAGTTATTACTTTTGTGATATAAAGGTCTAACCCGCATGTTATGTTTTTAACTAAAATAGCTTACTGTTTTACTGAATGGTAATTTATTTCAGAACCAAAAATTCCAACAAGTAATACATGATGTGTGTGAACTCATTCCTGATAGACATTGGATTCATTTATGCACAGACTTATTTCAAGACCAAGAAACTGCTGAGAAAGTCAATAAACAAGTCAAGGACAAAATTTTAGATGGCGGACTGCCCATTATTGCTTATAATGTTCTGAAGGAGTGGACAAAGCAGTGTCCACTTTGGGCCACTTATTGGGTGTTTGACCGTGCACTCAGGGACAACAATTTAGATTATATTGCTGGTAAGAAATGGCCTCTAGTATTTAATAATATATATAGTTATAACATTGTTTCCCTCAATTACACAAAATTTTTTGCCCATCACAGTTATCCCTTTTAATCTTGTTGTTCAATTCTTTCTGACAGTGTATCATCTTATAAAAGCATATTGATACATAATAACAAACTACCCAACTTTTTGGAGTGCCAAGCCTGCCTGAATCAGTCCTCTGTATGTACACTATGGTAACTATTAAAATGTTTTGGGTACCCATAGGCCCCATTCAGAATGAGAAGAACTGAGTGCTAACTGGGCCACGGCTTAAATATGGCACAGTAATAAATCTCACCTCTATTCGACCAGATGCATGGGGAGGAGTGTGATACTTGGATCTTCTATTCTGAATGGCCCCATACTGCTTTTTTTTTTTGCTCTCTGTCTGGACAAATGTTACTGTATTTTTTTGCTTTTCAGATAACATGGTTGAGCAGTTTTGCTACCCCGTGACCCAAAGAAATAAAAAGGTTTTGCCAAAGCCATGGCTGTGATTTTACAGAAAATGGACCTTTTTTTATCAAAGTTTTAGTTTGAAAGTGTTAAAGCAAAGATATTAAAATCAAACATGACCATAAAATGTGACATTAGGATTGTGCAGCTTAATGGATTTCAGACGTTACGGTTCATTTTGATACTAGTTGTAATATGCTACATGTACTTTCCTTAATATCTTTACAATTAAAATGAATAATAAAAAGCCTATTTATTTTTAATAAGATGCATGGATTTTTTTTATCATGTTCAACTATATTATATGATTCGTAAAGTTTTCATTTCTGTGGGTATTTAAGAGTGTCATACTGGTATTTTCCTCTTTGAAAGTTGTTTTCATTTTACTTTTATAAAGGGGGCATTAGACAATTATCAAATGTATGAAATGTATTTTTCTAATCAAGCTACCAAGATTGTGTGCATTTAACTTTTTGAAGGAGTAAGAAGTTAGTAGCATTACAAAATGTATTATATAGATTTTGTGCCTTCATTTTCTTGCAACTTTCAGTTTCTTCAAGAGTGGTATCATGTACATTTTGGTATCCTTGCATGGTCATCTCATATTTATCAAAGAAAAAATGAAATCAGGGACCATATCCACTACCTAATACAGCTATCAACTTAATTTTACCAATTTAGAATTTACCATCAAAAGTAACTGGCATGACCAACCACAGAAAGTGAAGCAGTCTTCAAAAGTCTTAATTTTTTTCAAAAGAAAATTATTTGCACCTAATGGGTTTTATAAAGAGGCTTTATTTTGCTAAACCAAAGTACATGGTTGCTGATTAATATTTGGTAAAACCTAAATGATAATACTTAATTACATTTATATGTATTTTATCCTTTAACTGCATGAAATATGGTGTTCTTTCACTAAATAGAATCATATAAAAATATTCATTTCCTTCCATTTGCCCACAATAAGACTAATCCAGTATGTATCAATAATAAATACTTAGCAACTGCTCTGGTTGGAATCCTTCACCAAGTTAATCATATATATTATACACATATGAATAAATTCTATTTCATACAGTAATGATATTATACTATAATATATAATTACAGTGTATATAATGTATGTATACAAATATGAAGCTCTGAATATGCATAGAGTGATGTTTATACTGTTGTGTATTGCTATAGGCATCCAGAATGAACATAAATTACAGACTAGATTTAAACTAGGCATAAAAAAACTAAAGACTAAAAAAATCATTACACTGCACATAAAATTATTCAAAATAAAAGTTTTCCTTTCAATCTCATGAACTGTGGCACAACTGAGACATCTGAGATAAAAAAACTTTTTTTATTAAAACATACTAGTAATTTCACACACCTTTTGATTGTTCTATAATATGAGATCCAACTGATTATTAAAAAGAATCTTAGAAAAATAGCCAATTGCACTGTCACATGGCAACATTCTGACTAGATAATATCATTTTTCAAGTATGTTCAATAATTGCTTAATCAAACTACCTCAAGTTGTAGTCTTAAATAATTTCCAAAATATATATAATATCATCATTTAATTCTTAAACCTTGAACTGTGTAGCACCATAAATATTGACCTGATAATCTAAAAATCAGAAATTCTTGAGCAACCAAATGCAAATAATTTAATAATTCCAAATTGAACAGAGCAACAAATCTTTTTTAAGTTCAGAATGAACAGATATTTTTCACTGTACATAAAATCATTATATTTCATGAGCAGAAATATTAACTGGCCATTCATTGGCCTAGTTGATTCTAGACTGAAATCTCTATCACCTATGACTGAGTTTGGAAGTGCACTATTTGCATACCTATCACATAGTCAATTGCTCCAAGAAAACATTTGATTCATGGCTCTTAAACTTATAAAATATAAACAAAAACAAAAAAATTTAAAACATAATCAAACAGGACAAGAAATAAAATCTTAATACCTTCTCATTCAAAATATAACATGGAAAATTAAAAACATAACTATATTATCAATGTGATTTGAAACAAATGATAATATGGCGATATGTATTTCTAATATTATATATTAAAAGCCAATTAGATTTAAAAAAATTAATATGGATTCAACTCTTCCAGACAACAATGCTTTTGATCAAGTAAAATGTTGATTGGAAAACAAATTGGGAAAATTCTGAAATAATTTTTAGCATTTTTACTAGATGTTGTAATGTAGTGAGTAGATTTGCAGTATACACCAACAGTATCTAATTGTATACAAAAATGCATGATATAAATGCACAAATTCCATGATATAAATGTTGAACCATATACAAAAAAATTATTTCAAGAAAAATAAATGAGAACTAAATAACAATAAATTAATTTATGATTGTATCTAGACAATTGTGTATAATAGTTCAATTTAAATCAACAACAGAAAATGAACTAACATGATAGTGGCCAACATGGGCAACTTTTCAGCCATGCATAGAGCACCAACTTTGCAATAAGTATTATGACAATTTTTGTTTTAAAATTTACAATGACATTTCAAAATATAAATCTTTAATAATGTATTAAAATATTGTTTTATTTAGATAAACATGGAAGATGTGTTTCTCCTGTATTATATCCTGCCCCACATTAAACTTCACTGGCATCCATATCTACAGCGTCAGGTTGTGTCCATCCTAAAAATTCAAGGTCCAGTTCTCTTGATGTGGTGGAATCAGAGTCGGATATCTCTCCTGAAGCATCTGAGGAAACCTCCATCTCATCTGGATCAACTTTTAAAAGCAATTTAGCTCTTGGCTTTGGAACATTTGTCTCTGCTTCTGAAGGTGATCCATCTACATCCTCTTGATGTGGTCCTAAGAGTGTGTCTCCTTGACCTGACAGCCCAACTTCTGGTGAATGGAACACATCAGATGAAGATGGATCAATCTCTGCACTATGCCATTCCATGGAATCTGATATAGAAGAGTCGGGGGTACTAGCTTCACTACTAGAAGACGGTGACCTCTTGTGAAGTGGAGGGGAAGAATGGACTGGCGATATGGTTTCACTGATTTGGGACGGTGTCCTATGACTGAGAGACAGAGGTTCATCTCTTGGAGGTGGGGTGTGTTCATCTGCTGTTGGTGGTAATGTTTTCTTTGATGATGAATGTTGATCTGTGGAGGATGCTGACTGCCCCTCTCTTGGTTTTGAAACTGAATCTCCTACTGATAATTGCTCATCAACTGGGGATGGTGTTCCATGTACAGGTGACAATGGCTCACCTGCCAAGGGTGACACTGACACTTCTGGTGACATTTGTTCATCTGTTGGGGATGGGGTCCTGGGTTTTGGTGACAACTGTCCGTCCACTTTAGGTGATGTCATATCAAATGGTGACACATTTCTCTCTGATAGCGGTGACTCTAACCCAACTGATGGTAAATGGTCATTTGTTGGTAGTAAATCCGAGGCCAATGACTTGAAATTTTCACCTTCTGGTGTCGATGATAGATTCACCTTTGACATCTCTTTTTCTTCAGGCTGCAATTTTCTTTCTGAAGAATCATTTAGGTCCATTTCTTCTTTTTTTGTCTTGGGTAAATATTCCTCTGATCCAGATTCTGATGAGTGGCAAGATTCCAAATGATCAGACTCCGCTGTACTGACCTTAAAAGGAGATGGAGGTGGTGAAGAACCAAAAAGTAGTGAATCATGTGATTGGTCTACAAATTCCCCCTCTACCTCTGACTCCATATTCTTAGAGGGAATAAACGACACATCTTCTATTGCCACTTCTTCATCCTCTTGCATCAAATTCTCAGCCTGTTTGCCATTATCGATCTTTTTATGCTCTACATTTTCCGCTTCTTCATTTTCCAACCAGTGGGAATAAGGATCACAACTGTCAGCCCCTGATTTCTTTGAAGGTGGTTTATGTCTTCCTTGTATCAAAGAACCTGACCTACTTGGGACTTCCCCAGATTTGCTGGACTCTGTGTCACTTGAAGAATTTGACATCTTCCTTGCATTCTCTGACAAATTCTCGGAGCCAACTGAGGGAGTTTTTCTTCTTTCTCCTTCCAGAAGAGATTCAGACCTATTTGGCACATTTTCTGACTCGTTGATCTCAGTGGTATGCCTTAAAGTCTTATCAGGACTAAATGCAACCTCTTGTGATACAATTGAAGGCATTTTTCTCCTTCCATCTTCCATTAGAGAAGCTGATCTCTTAGGCAAATCTCCATATTTTAAAGATTGCGCCTCTCTTGCAGAACTGGACCTCCCACCAGGTCTGGTAGTATTGACCTCTGACCCAATTGAAGAGGCCTTTCTTTTTCCGTCCGTTAAAAGAGAACTGGATCTACTGGGCAAACCTTCAGATTCAATAAATTCTGTCTCTCTCAAAGAAGTTGACCTCCTTCCTGGACTGTGAGGATGACCCTCGGACCCAGCAGACGATGAATCCCATGGCGGACTATGGCATACATTTTCATAGTCACGATCCAAGTCCTGTGGTGTAATTTTCAATTTAGCAGACTTTCTTCTGGCACTGGACACATCTGAGTGTACCGAAGAGCGATGTGACCTTTTAGAGTGAACTGGTGATATTTCTTCAGAAAATGGTGTCACTTCAGTGAAAGTCACCTCTGGAACAGAAGGTACTTCAACATCATCCTCAGCCAACTCTTCAAAAGCAGGGTTAATGATTCCCTTACCTGGGCCCTCATTGGACGATCCGCCCTCATCTGAAGGGCGTCTGGCACTTGGATCTGAACACAGCGACACATGGCCCTCTTGTACTAGAGTTAACCCTGGTGTTGATTTTCTCACATAGGCAGGATTGGTGAACTTGGCAAATTCCCGACCAAAGCTCATCCTCACAGGGTATTTTTTTCTGTACCAAACAAGGAATCCAACAACACCCACTGCAGTGATGATAAGCAGTGGAACTATCACACCAGCTGCGATGGCCCCCTTGTTATCTCCAGGGGCAGATGCAACAGCTTGAACATGTCCATTTTTGGGTGTGGTGGCTGTTGTTGGTACTGGTTTGGTTGGATAGAAGACAATTGTCTTTGTAACTCTCTGATCAGGTGGGAGAATTTCCAAAGTTGTTCTTTCTATGGGGTTAATCTGCAAATGAATAAGGTAATACATTTTTACAAAGTGACAAAAACCAAAGTAAAATGTTCATAACCACCATTCTTAAAATGGTATCTGCTTTAATATCATCTAACACTGACATCAGGTTATTCTGTCTGAAATCCAAAATTTAGTTTAAGACTGCTAAATAAAGGTAGCTGATACATTTTTTCAATCAATACTGACAATGTACATTTTTTTTAAGTATTGACTATAGGTCTGAAGAGAGTAATGTATTTGTTTTTAAATTTGTTTCATTAATTACCCAAGCTGGTGAAGTTCTTCTCTCTGTAACAACTTTGGTAGTTTCTTTTGGTTGGAAATCAGAGGTCACCATCTCAGTCCATTTTTCTTCTGTCTTCACTGGCACAAAGGGGGTGGTTTCCATGGGAGGTCTGAATGAACCATACTCAATATAAAACCCTCTGGTATCTTTAGTCTCTAATGGCATGCTGTATGAAATGATAACAATGTTTGTTGCACTGGTGATGTTTTCCACTGTCTCTGTTTTCCCATCAAGTCTAGCAAGTCTAGATTCTAATTTTGTTTGCCCATCATAGATGTCTACAAAAACAACTCCTTCCTCAGCATTGGGCAACTGAAAGTACCTAAAGTAAAGCATGATGAGCTCATTTTCCTTCGCTTCTATTTTCCATGTACAGGACTGATGTCCAAGAGTTTGGTTGTCAGGGTAACCCGGACTTGCCACTGCACCTTCACCTCCATGTCGTAACATGGGTTCTAGCTGGCGATCCTGTGGACGGCAAATCCTGCACTCAGGGGTGTGGGGCTGCCACTGGGGCACCCCGTGGTGGACATCCTGACAGGTGAGAAGAGAAGCACCAATAAGATCAAAGGGTGGTAAGCAATGGTACATTACCTGGGAGCCAACGGAATAGTTCAATCCAATGACTACGCCATTTTCAATCTCAGGAGGGGGAGAACAAACGCTACTGTCAAAAGCAACAAATTTGATTTTGAACTGGGATGTGGGAGTGATGGTCTCAGATGCAGATCTGAAAGACACTTGAAAGGCATTAGTGTGTGTGTATAGTTGCAGTGTGCTGCAATCTTCTGTACAAATTGTCTGTATAGAGGTGGTCCGTTGATTTTCAGTTATACTCAAATCATCCATGTTTGATATATGGATTTGAGGAATGGTAATACTAAACCTCTTTTTTTCCCCTGGGACAGTAATGAGCCACATACATAGGCGACCACTTGTATTAAAAGGCATGGGATAGTTTGGAGATACAATAGTTCCCTCCCCCATATTGTACTGTCCTCCACATTTACCAGTACAACTTGGAGAGCCCTGCCAATCATTGAAAAGTCCCATGTTTATGCAGGTTATACTCTGGGGGCCATGTCTCTGAAAGAAAGCATCACACACAAACTGAACAGTTGAGCCTACTTCATAACGCGACTCATCAGCTAGAAGTTGGCCATTTTGAATCATCTTTGGTTTACCACATGTGTTGGTTGGAACGGCCTGATAGCTAAGAATAAAATGACCATCTACCGGGTTTGTTTCTTTATTATCGATCTTCACTGTTACTGTGTTAGTTCTAGATGAAATGGTTCCAAGAGGACTAGTAACACTAATTAAGGCAAGTTCTTCAGCACCATCAAACAGTTTCACTTTCACTTCAGAGTCATTTCCAAATGTCATGTTCCTCAGAGTCACTTTCACAATTTGACTGGGGTGAACATCTATAGTGATCTGACAAGGCCCTGGCAAGAGAGGCCCTGGGTAACCTGGGCTATATATAATTCCACTTGAACGTCTAAGTAGAATGTCCCTGTACGTTTCATTATTTGTGTCCCATATTTTACAATATGTCTTGCATTGGGGTAGGGCCTGACTCCCATAAAGCCATCCTTGTGAAGTGCAGATATTGTTGATATGCATACTGTTTGGCCGTTGGAGGTAAAAACCATCCTTGCACCTGTATTCAATTTGATGTCCCACAGGGTAAGTCATGTTGTTTGGGATATAAAACATGTTTGTTGGAGTTGGTGGACTTCCACAAGCAAAAGGATGGACAAGATTGTACCTCAGCTCAAAGGAATCATACAAATTATTGGACGTGAGCTGAATCAGCACCTGATTGGTTTGGTTGATAAGAAGGTTAGTAAAATGAGATGAAAAGTTTGCCAAAATACCCTCTGAGACTGAGGGCGATTGCATCTGTTCATTTTTCACAGTAAGGAAGGAGCCATTTTCATTTTCAACATGTAAGTTAAACTGAGATGCTGTAATGTTAATTGCATAGCCAATTGGAGCATGTATTGCCCATGTACACTGAACTGGAAATTTGATGCGACTGTCACTATTATTCCCTGATGTCTGATATTGTTGGAAGTTGGGTGATAATATCACTGGTTTTTCATTTGGCACAAGAAAATATCTGACTAGATTTGATTGTCCTTCAACAGTGTCTGTTATTTTACCATTCACACAGGGAATGTAACATTGTGGAATGTCTCTAGTCCAATAAGGTAAACCACTGTCATTGAGTTGACATGATATGTTTGTAGGTCCACTGACTGTGAAACCTGGATCACAGCTGAATTCAACCAGTGACCCAACTCGGAAACTATCCCCTTTTCTGGACCCATTTCTCAAAGGCTCTGGTTGGGGGCAGTATTGTGTACTAACACTGTGGAATGTGATATTAAAACGGCTATTTTCTTGTAGCTGCTGGTTATCTGCTTGGAAATGAATCCATAGTTTGCTGCTGTTCGTGTCTATCACTGTATTATCTTGCACTGTTCCACTGAATTCCCATTCTGCTGTAACATTTCTATTTAATTGTGGATCCACTTTGTATACTCTTAATACATCTCCCCCATCAAGGTCTTGTTTAGAGTCAGTGTTTAATATAACAAGCCTAAGATTAATGCTTTTCCCTCGCTCCACTGTAATTGTCCACTGGCATGTCACACCAAGTGGGTAGGTATTTGGAAATCCAGGAGAGATCAGTTGTCCACTATCACCATTCAGATCTTGACCACATTGATCTGAACTTCTGATAAAGGTCCCGCAGGAGAGAAATAATATGGCACAGAGGTTAAGTGCAGAAGACATGCAAATCCTTAGCATATTGAGATTTTATGTGACTTTACTATTTCTTCATTTTCTTCATGTATGTTCATCAGTAGTGCTTTCTGTGTATGTATAAACTTCAAGTTTACTGTCATACCACAGTACTTGTAAAACTTCAATTAGCACCTTCTGATGTGTATCACCACTGCTAGTCTTGGTGTCCATTCAATAGTAGTGACTCATACACTGCCTAGCATAAGGGCAAGGCCCATAGCCTGGGGATCAAACATATAGTTCACATTTTACTGATGGTGTTCAGCAGCATAATTTATGTCAATTGCATCCAGTTAGTGCTTAGCCAGTAGCAGGGTCAATAAGTTAGACACCTTGCCTTTCCTTCAGGCATGGCTTTTAGAACTGTGGCCTGAAATAAAAAAAAAAAAACAAATTGTAAAAATTTCAAGTAAATGTAAGTTTTCAGGGTTTTCCTCCTATGAGGCTATGCACATATCTTTTATTTGAGATTTTGTCTTCATATCCCTTTAAAATATATTACAATAATATGTGGACTTTTTCCATCTGACAAATTTGATGTAGAAGGTTGCATCACGATGAAAAGTATGCAATATTTAAAAGTAGGATTTGTTTCTAAAATAGACAAAGAAACCCCAGCAATTCAATTTCTGAAAAACTGGATCTTTTTATGCACTTCCTTCGCACTTAAAAAATGAAATAGAACCTAGATTTAATTTTGATTCAGAGCATAACTTTTCCTTATCAAAAGCATGGTTCTTCCTAGCTACCCCCCCCCCCTTTGCCTTCCTGCAAAGTTGAATGACCTACCAGTACTAAAACATGCATGCATATTGTATAGAACCACACATAACATGCACTACATAATGTAAGCGCTGTTATTTATATATATGCATATAAAAAGGTAAGAAAAAGTACTAGCATGTGATTATCCGTGGTATGGTCCTCCTTTCAGTGCTGGTATCAAAATTTTGATATTATTACTCATTATAACTGTACTAGCACCAGGTACGTGCAAATGTTAGAACTACAGTACAGCCATGACAACATGCAGTTACAGTCGCTGGTTACTGAGGGATTTTTTTAAACCCAACACTTTTGCGCGTAGTATGGGTACATACTATTTACTAATGTACAAATACAATGCAGCTGGCATGCACATTCCAACACAATGTCTGCAGGTCAACTTCACCCACAAGGAAATTTCGAATGTAATAGGCTCGGTTTTTTTTTGTTTAAATAAAAAAATTTAAAAGAGCTCAAATAATAAAAACTGTAATGTACCTGGTTATTTACTTCCGCTGTTTGTTGCCACAAAAAGCACCAACTAATGTCAGTGCAAAGCACGGACCCGCACCGCCCCTCAATCACTTCTGTCAACAGGTGGTACTAATTCAAGATAAGCTAAGACTTCAAGGTTAAAATTTTGAAAATAAAAGGTGTACTAGCGAAAGACATAGAAATTATTAGCTATTATTTTTAATGGTCTATCCGTTTTTGGTTCTTGGGAATTATTGTCACACATTAAGACATTGGGCGATATCTTTTGTTTATTAGGGCTGTCTTGGTTGACTTCCCTCTACCCATCTCACTTTGAGGCGGAATATTTTGAATGTCCAAGTCAGTGCTACCTTCGACGGAAACAGTACATCGATTTGTGAGTATGGTATAAATAATATGTGCAAAAACCCCAAATTTATATTAATGCTCTGCAGATTTCATTTAATCCAGATAGGAATTGTTTTGTATCACTATACGGTTTCTACAATGGGGAACTGGAGAGGTACCAGTAGTTATTTCGATAATTTCTATTGACCCATTAGAGCCTGCGTCATCAAAACAAACAGCAGCCATTCTGGAGGGAGACCGGAATCGTCTGCTGCGCATGAACAAGCCATGTCAGTAGTTCATTTTTCGTTTTCTGTATTTCCTTTGATAATTAACCGAGCAAAATGANATATCTTGAAAAAAATGCAAAAAGTGAAATTTCTATCTAAATCCTATCTTGGCATTTATTCGATGATTAAAGCCTGTTTTCACTGACTGATTATTAACGTATATTCAGACATTCCTAGATCATGCCCTTCTCACATTTGATAACAATGTTAATTTTTTTTCAGTTTCAAAAATGGATAAGAAACAGGATTTTTTCACACAACTAAGAAGGCTTGCTGCCACAACTGAGAAAGAGAGAGATGTTCTTCAGGCAATGATAAAGAAGCCCAAAGGAGATAGATGTGGTGATGGAACCTCTGCAGTATTTGTTCTTAAAGAAATGCAGAAAAACGTTAGAGATATAAAGGTAATTTTCAGTTTTGACTGATACTAACCCATTTAATTTTAACCTAATGTTTGATGTTTTCTAATTGGGCATCAACTAAAAAAATACTTTTTAAACTGGATTTATTATTGATTTGCTTCAACATTTAAGCCTCGGTCACACCGGCCGTACGGGCTCTTACGGGCTGTTTGCGTCCAAATTTTGCGCCAAATCTCACATCCCACGCAAGTCCTTCTTACGCAATTTCGAGTTCACAGACAGCCCGTAAGCACGTACGGAGGATGTTGGACATGTCCAAAAGATTCTACAAATAGCCTGCGAACAGCAAGGCCACAAGCGTAACTTGCTCTACTCACACGGAGTTAGCAAGAAAGACGCGCATTGTGCAAGACGCACGTCACGAGCAATGAAGGAGCAAGTGCCCTTTGCGTGTTGAGTAAGGGGCACGCCCTCACAACTAATGAACAAAGTCGAGGGCACACCGGGTATGCGTCGCACGTGCGTCACCCCAACGCCTGGTGTATAAAAGGCGTGCTCACGACGCATGCTCGTGTCTTTACAGTGAACGTCGTCTTTGTAACGTGTACAGCAATTTTCAAAATTTTGCTCAATTTAGTTTCTAATATGCCTCCAAAAGGCTAAAGAAAGAAGCTTACATAGTAGAAAAAAGGGAGGAGGAAGAAGAAAGAAGAGGGGAACAGGAATCAAAACTGACGTACACCGTCAGTACTTCACCACAAACATGTGAGGCAAGTGTGAAGCAAAACTGACGCAAAAGGGCACTACTTTCGCCGTGCGTTGCATTCCCTTCGTAAGTGGTGAGTGTGTGCCACGTATACAAGAAGCAAGACAAACTCAAGAAATGAGTACAATTTCCACGGCCATCGCTTCTTTCAATTAGCGTCCCTGCTTGAAAGGACATCTCATGTGGCCCTTGCGACTCGCAAGGCAGACTTTCCTCTACCTCTACAAACTCCACGGATTCTGCATCACCCAAAAATCGCAGAAGACGTACGATCCTGAAATACGTGCATCCGGTTGTGACCGAGGCTTTAGATAAAGATACAGATTGATGCATATAATGTGGCAAGATACAGTACAACTTCCCAAAAGAATTGTCATTCATGAATTATATATATTTAAAGATCCAAACGCAGTCCACCTACAACAGCCTAAGAGCCAGCAGTTTTAGACATCTTCTCCATGCTTGTCAAGAAGTGATACAGCAACAGCAGCAGAGACTGGGAGAGGTGGAGGCTTATCTGCAGCAGTATGGTTATAATCCTTGTGTGGCACAACAGGGTGAGACTTGAAGTGGGGGTAACAAGATAGATTTCCCAATACCACTGGGTTAATTTTCTGGATTTTTCCCCAAATTTTAATCTATTGGAAAGCTATGGATGTTTGCAAGGCCATTTCGTAGACGTGGTACTTTTCTACCAATTTCTGCAGTTTTTGAATAGATAAAGGTTGCATCTGAGAAATGTCTAGTTTTAGGACCTTGGCTTATTTTCAGTCAATTTCCTGATTAGATTTTTTTTAAATCAGTTACATTTTGGATGAAATAGAGACTCTGGGAATGAGTAAAATATGTACAGCTTACACAAAAAGAAAATAAAAACCTTAGAAGATCACTGGCAGTTCTTATATTGTGACATCTCACATACATGTTTTTGTTTTGTTTTCAGTCTCAGGTGTGAATAGTGGAGAAAAAGAGCATTCAGTGATGGCAGAACAACCAGTGATGACAGAACAAAAAATACCTACTTCTAATGGGGAGAACAATGTATCAGATCATTCTCAAAGTGAAGACACCGAGTATCCTTTAGTAATGAGTAATAGTTACAGGCCCGTAGCCAGCAATTTCAAATGGGGGGTTCGTTTTCTGAAAAAGTGGACCTTTTCCCATGAACCTAGATGTACCTAGATCAAATTTTATCCAAAGTGGACCTTTTCCCAGCAAAAAGGGCGGTTCTTTCGAACCCCACGAACCCCCCCTGGCTACGGGCCTGAGTTATGATGATAAATAATAGTAAATGTATTTTAGTTTATGTGGGCATTCAACAAAGTTAGTTTGATGTGTCATGGGAGTGATTTGTTTAATCTTAATTCTTATCATATATAAGAAAATTTGATGCAGTTTTTTAAGATTTAATAGTATTCAAATCAAATTAAATATTCTTAGTCACTTTATAAATATTAGAAATACAATTGGAAATATGAACTTTTTGACACACTTGTTAAAGAAAGGCAAACATTACTTCACAACATACCATTGTACAGTGAAGCTAATCAGTAAAGTTAAGCAGTCCAACATTTTCTTTAACATTGATATTCAACCCTCTACACCTCCTGAGTCTCACAGACCCAAGCCTCCTAGTTGTGGTGATAAAACTCCCAGTTTGGCAGACTTTGGCCTCAGTGAAGTAACCCTCAATGTTCTGGCTAACATAGGAGATGATGCAGCAAGGGTTGGGCAAAAATTAGGGAATGATATGGTTTTCAAGGTACCAGAGAAGATAAACTATACAAGGTGAAGACAGATGGGTACAGTGTATATATAAGTTAAATATTTTTTGTTGGTATAAAGATAACATCAACAGCACATCCAAGTTGTCTAGCTGAATTTTTTTTTTTTTTGTCTATTTGAGAGGGAAACAGCTTTTGCAATATTTATAACACTTGTGATTTACATCATGTTTTAAAACTAAAAATTCTCTTTGAAGGTATAGTCTGAAAATAAGTACAATCTTTGATCTTCACTTATTGTAATTATCAATTTTTGATGGTCATTATTACAGGAATCCGAAGCAAGAGCTGTTTCCAGAGACCCCAGACCACAAATCAAGGCATCCTGAACAGTTTGTACCCACCCCATTTGACACCCATGGCATCACTGTGACCCCGGGCATACTGCCACATTGTAACATGAATGCCATGACTCCTGAGACTCCCCTTAATAAGAAGGGTAAGCAAGTAGTAGTCAGTTACTTTGAGCCTTTTGTGTGTGTGTGTGTGTGTGTGTGGGGGGGGGGGGTCCACTCTAATCTATATCAAAATTTGATCTTGTTTCTTTTTCATATTTCTTGTTTGTTTAGGTTCAGGTTGCATGTAGAATATCAGTACAAAAAGATGAGACTAAGAAAAAAGAATGATTTTTTTCTGCCATTGCTAATTAATTTAGGTATAAAAGAAAAATAAATAAATGTTACATTTAAGCATACTGTCAAAATATTTGATTCTTGTCAGAGAAAACCCAGCATGGTTTTAATATGTAACTTCTTCTTCTTATCACCCCTCCTCCACCCTCCACAAACAAACATATGCATACTTCTGCACTTACATGCCAAGTCATGGTCTGCATTCCCTTCAAAAAACATCAATCAGTTAAAGTCACCTTGATGATACTGTTACCATCCTTTAAGATTAAGCAAATTTTCTTTTGATGCATTTATTCACCTCATAGTTGTCTAACTAGAGTTGTGTTAGTTTTATGTTATAGGCATCCTCCCTGTAGTTGCCTCCTTTATTCCTTCAAGGTACCAACTATTTAAATGGAGATGCTGAAGACAGTCCGTGTCCACCAATACTTCACACACCAGGAATGAAACAGATCCGGACAAAGCCGTCACTCCCTAAAAGCCCGGTGTTACAATCCTTGAAAACAGGATCAGTGGAAAGCCCAGTTCCACCAGTGCTAAAGACACCAGGGGTTAAACAGATTAAAAAAGGAATGTTTCAGGAAAAAACAAATAGTGACAGTTTGGGAGACATGCAGGTTTGTATTATTTTGTAAAGGGGAAAATGTGAATATTTGACGTGTTTCATTCCTTAGTGTTTTGCACCACTGCAACTTTTTTTCAAATTCTGTATGACTTTTATATGTCTTATTATCTCCAAAGAAAGTGTAAGAAAATCAGCATTTGCATCCCAATTCACTCCAAAATATTGGTTGGAAGGAAAGGACTGAGAGAAGAAAAACCTGGGAATGTGCCAAGCTGCATTTAGTAAAATATATTTAATTCAATAAACCATGACAAGTAGCCATGACAATCTCTTAAAATGTTCTTTGTTGATATATTGTTCATAAGAAAGGCACTGGTGTAGTATTTTATTTCAAGAGTACCAGACAAAGACACTTTTCCTTGACAGAATATAGTAAAAACTACATTGACTCATTAATGTTTCAGGTGCCAAGTGCCCCAGAATTACAAAGCTTGAATCCTGAAGACCTCCCAGAACCAGAAGCCCCAGAACTTACCATGAAGTTTGAAGTAAGTCTTTTATCAGAGCTGACTTATTCTGAGAGGAGAAATTTTCATCACTTTCTTTATTTCATGGAACCACCTTTGAAAAATGAATTTTCATCTTTGCTTTTCCTCAAAGGAAGTGATTATCTCTCTATTCTAGGTCAGTGTCTTTATGGCTTTCCGCTGTCTTAATTGCATTTTCAAGTAGGAAATTTCTTTTGAAAAACCAAGGGTGTTATTTGCACATATTAATATTTTCCTCCTTTTCATCTACACCGGAAAGGATGTGTTACTTTACCCGTTTTTTCTCTGAACTGATTTAACATCTGTTAGATTATGAAATTTTGCATCTTCTGGGGCCCACAATAAGGAAAAAAATTGTTGATTATTTTTTTGTGAGTGTACATCATTTATTCAGAGAGATGACTACATATATAGGAAATATAGCATAGATCTCAAAAATTTTAACAAACTGAAAAACTAATGATTTCACACTCAATATTCAATATGCAATTCACTTGTTCATATCCAATAACCATTCTTTTACTTTAGCATTTTTCCTGGGAAGAAAATTCTTTCCATTTTTAATAATAACAATATTAATAGTAATAATGCTTATTTGTAAGTTAAAGTTGCCTGTTACATTTACGGAACTGTTTTATTTAGAACCAGAAACTTCATATTTAGCATCTTAGCACTGTTCTACTATAATATTTTCAGATGTTTATGTTTAGAAAATTTTTCTTGTGTAGGAATACCAGCAATTCTACGAGGACTTCACCAGGCCTCTTAACCCTCTGACTGCACAGGATGTACAAAAGCTCAGTGCTCCAGTGGCAGATAAGGGATATGACCAGATCCCAACAAGGGACACTGCTTTAGTTCAAATAAAAGCCACAGAGACTGATAAAAATGGTTTTCAACAGGACTGGGACATGCCCCAACCACCAGTGTTATCAATGAAGTACACCTTTAACAGCACTGAGGAATTGCAGGAGAATATTCCACCAAGGGAGAACAGTAACAAGACATGCCCAGGGTAAGTCTTCTGTGAAAACAGGATGGATTTCCAATATCCTTCAAACCAAGGCTGTGTTGAGAATAAAATGTTGCAAGTGGTATCTAATCTAATATTAAGGATTTGGGCTTTAAAAACAAGAGTGCACAAGCAATTCTGAATTCGATTTTGTACATGGTTTCTGACATTTTCACATCCTTTCAGCCAGATGTCAAACATTTTTTTGTAATTTTATAAAATCATCTCTCATTTCAGTATGGCCATGATTTCTGAAGATGAATATGCCTCTCTCCAAGACTACCTTCAGAGGCAGTTGCCCCTAAAACTTATAAACAACACTTTGCAGAAAATAAATGATATCTGTCAGAAAAAGATGAGTGGTAAGTGAATAACTTCATTCACAAAGTATATTCTAGGTTGATTGGATATAAGAGAACTTATTTATGAGCAAATTATTACAGAAAATGGATTTGATAATTATTGTTATTGCACTGATGATGTGCACTCCACTGAAATATATGTGATAAACATTTTATTTACTTCCATTTTCAGCTGGTCATAAGGGACAGATCTACGAGTCTGAGTTAAGAGACAATATTGATCTCGGACCTAAAACCAAATCTATGTTACTATTGCTGGTCAAACTACACAGACTTCAAACACGAGCCAGGAATTCACTTACTGATCCAATTTACGAAATTCTGTGATCAAGTTTACAAATAAAAAAAGACCCACTTTGTAACACTTTTAATACATAAATTGTCATTGAACTGGGGTGCCTATGTGAAATTCCATATAAAGCCATTTGAATTGATTTTTACTGCATGAAGGGCTTCTTTAACAAGCTCGATTCCCTGACATTTTGCTCGAATAATTTGATGTGTTATATTTTAGGGAACAGTCATTAAATATTATTACTGGAAAGTGTTTTAGCGCTGTTTACTTGCTTTAATGTAAAAAGATAGGTTGTCATTATTACTATATATTACTTGTATTGTAAGGTTAATATGTAAGTTTTGTTTTACAAACTTTTGCAGATTTCAAACAGGCTTGAAAAATGCTTGAAATTGCCATCTGATTTGGAAAGGGTATTTGCATTTTCTGTTTTGTCCTTGAAAAGTACTTGAATTTGATCACTAGTGAGCAATTTGTCAAAAATTATTACAATTATTGTTGTTTTTAAGTTGATTCAAGTCAATGATTTGCAGATGGCAAATTAGCTTTTTGGACATCATTTTTTTTTTCATGTTTTACGCAAGTTCCAAGAATTATGTCATGATCAGTGTGTTGAAATACAAAGTTTACATGAAAATGAAATATTTTTTCATTTCTTTTGTTTGTGCACTTATAAATGACAGTAATCTGCCTTGTTAACATTCAGAAAGTACTTGGAAAAGTACTCAAATTAGACCCTCAAAAATCCTAGAAAATCCTTGAATTTGTTTTTAATGAATGATGTTTTGTGAAAAGTATGTAATGTTTTGTTGATATCATTTCCTAAAATTTAGATGCACAAGCATAAACCATTTCTTGAAGTTTTGAAGCATGCTTTTGCAACTGATTCACTGTAAACTTAAAAAAAAAAACTATAAATATTATTTACATGGATTAATATCCATATGGAAATTTAAATAATACATACCAATATTGCATCTAACCAATGTCACAAAATGAAAGACAAATGAAGGAATTGCTGCCACTTTAGATTTTATTTACTTAATATTAATCAATACTTGTCATTTGTTCTTGAATCAGTTGAGAAAAGACTGGGAACACTGCATTCCTTGGTTTTGTAATAGACATATTAAGCTTCCACTAGATACCGCAAGTTTCCAAGAAGCCAACACATTTCAAAAATGGGGTTTTGAGGTTAGCTTTTTGTCGCTATTTCCCTCCCTAATAGTCCTGTTTTTGTGCCCTGCGTCAGAGACAAAGTAATCTTTATTCAAGAGACTTACTGATCTTGGAAGTAATAAATAAGATTTATTGCTAACAATTGGACTGTTTACAATATTGTTTTTACATATGAATGTTATCCTACTTCCACAGTTTACTACATCTCTTACAAACAAAAACCTGTACAAGACTTGGTACAATATAGTTTTACTTTGCTATGTACATAAAAATGTTTTCTGCTATGATATTTCTTGACAATTAAAATGCTTAGACATGGAATGTTAGCATGAGACCAAATTCAACACCATGATAGATATACCTGAAAATTGTGCTCAAAATATAAAGAATATTAAACATTTAACAATATCTAGCACCAATTCAATATACAGTTTAACAACAGCGATTTAACAATCTATTATTTATAGAATAAAACGAAATATTTTCTGGAACTCCCAGGATGATAAAAATAGCATGTCTCTGACTAAAAAAGCGAGTTATACTCGATATAAAACAAAACAACAAAACATGACAATAGTGAAATATCCAAAATTAGCATGATTAATAAACAAGCATGAACTATATATAAAGAACTGACATTCTTTGCAATTTTAACATGATTATTTACAGACCTATAGTTGCAGAAATCGCTTGAACTTTCCAATTTTTTCTTATTATTTATGTGCCACTGGCTAAGATTATAGAAAAAACATGATAGGTGTAAAAAAAATAAGTTAACAGCAGGACCCCTCATGCATATATCTGAATAAAATGTTTGGCAGACTTTTTAATTTTTTTAAAGACTCAAAATTCGAATGAGAATTTTTTCCAATGCATTACATAGTTGCAACAATAGAAACAAACATGTTCCAATCCATAAATCTGTACATAATATTTTCAAATTAGTACTCAGTCTGTAAATTTGTGACAATAAATTCAGCTGTTTTTCCAGGCATTTGTAAATGGCCTTGGTTCTATATTGATTACATGTGGGTTGTATCCTTCTATTGATATATATATATATATATTTTTTTTACTTTAATTTGGTTTGTACTTGAAATATGGACAAATTACCACTATTGAAGTATGCTAAGTAGAAAAAAAAATTGGAAACATGAATTGAAGAACATATAAAAACATTACTGTAGTTAATACAAACTCAGTAGTATATCAAAAGTTATGGGAACTAATTTTTTCCTAGAAATGGGTATACAACATTTGTATCTTCTAAGTAGAATCTTAATCAAATCGAATACACAACAATAAACATGAAGACTGAATTTTTAACCAATTTTGTAATTAGATCTAATACATTAATAGTCACATGTAAATAATGATATTAGTTTCATATAAATGCCCTACTAAGTACCTCCAAAACTCCCCTTTCTAAGGCTACATGCTCACTACAAAGTGGTACCTCTTCATCCAAGATAATGCATACATCAAACACACATATGCTGATTCTTCACATTGCACTCATTATTTCAATCATTGCTGCGTCTGGAAACAAACTTATCATGAATCTTTATAGCAGAAACAAACCACTTGGCAGCCAATTAAAGTGAAAAGTTAACGTTTTTTCTCTTCAGGGTTCAGAACTTGTGAATGAATATTGATATTATTCTTAGTTTTTATGATAATGAACTGAATTTTCCTCTTACGTAATGTTCATGAGTTGCTCTTGATTTCAATCCCAACATTCGAACTGAATTTTCTTCTTAGTGTTTATAAGTGGCTCTTGGTTTCAATCCCAACATTCGCTTTGACAAGTTCGAGAATCTGTGGCGAGGCCTCAATGTGATGTTTTTCCATGTACACTTTACTGTTCTCCTCAGTTTTTTCTAAGAAGTAGCAATAATTGATCATCATTCCACAAGAGGCACTCAGTCCCCTGGTTGTGGTGTCAGCTAGCCAGTTCAAGCGCCACATAACAGCACCATTCCTCAAATGAAAGTTTGCTGTAAACATTCAGAGTTAATTGCATCAGTTCACACAATGCCTGTGCCATATTCCAAAGTAGTTGATAAAATAGGGTCACAACTATAAACAGACTCATTATTTCAAAGCTGTTGATACTTTAAAGCATATTCAACACATTGAAAATAAAAAAATAATTAAAACTTGAAAAACAATTTTCAAAAATTTTATTACAAAGAGTAGCACATCACAGATAAAAAATAATTATTACACATTCATCAACTTACCAACAGGATTAAAAGCAAATCCTCTCCTCTTTTCTACATACAGATACCTTGCACAAAGTCTCATCAATGGCTCCTTTAAAAGGTCAGGCAAAAATTCACTTTGAGCCCAATTATTTGTTTTGATAAGTTTCATTATTGTCTCTATTGTGGATTTGTCTCTGGTATCTCCGACATTGTCTGCAATCTCTTGCAGCTCTCTACCAGTGAACAGCTTCTGCTCTGGGTATTCACCTGCAGCTGATTTCATGAAATCAAAATATAATTTCAAATTTAATATTTCTAAAGAACAGATTACATATGCTAGTTATCTATATATAATGCTCTGTTTTGTGCAGATGCTTAAAAAATAAAACAGAAAAAAGATTGGTAAACACATTGCACAAACATGCACAGGCATATGTCATCAGATATACAGACAAATACAGCATACAAGTATCTTAACATCCTTCCTGTTCAAATAAGGAAGAAGTGCAGACCTTTTATCATCTTATTTCATCTTCACACAAAAAAGAAGTGTAAATCAAGTCATGCCAGTGTTTTGTTTATGTACAGTGTCTAGAATAAGATTACACTGAAATATATGATTCACTTCCTAGGCAAGTTCCCTTTTCTTGTGTTGATAGTGCTTCCAATTTGAAATTCAATAACAAAGAATTAATCATTTTCCAAGGACATACACAAACCATGAGACACTGTAAACAAAAGATGTTTGATTAACTCTGACTAAATAAAAACGGATTTCAAATTTTTTTTAACAAACCAAAACTTAAGTTTCAAAATACAATTTATGCTGTAATCAACTGATTCAGAGTCAAATACACTTCTTTATATATTAGCTAATCCAGAATTTCAAGAAGCCCCTATCTCAACTGCATGTATTTTTTTTTAATGATGCAATTTGAGGAATTTTGCAGTACTGTTTACATGCCACCTGTTTCTCTAGGTATCAATGTGGGTTTTTCTCCACTTTCGACTAAATGATTTCAATTTTTTAACAAACCAAAACTAGTTTCGATATACATTTTATGTTGTAATCAACAGATTCAGAGCCAAATACACTTTTTATATATTTGCTGATCCAGAAATTCAAGAAGTGCCTACTTCAACTGCAAGTAATGTTTTATTATTTATATTATTATTATTATTATTTTTATAATGATGCAATTTGAGGAATTTTGCAGTACTGGGTACATGCCACCAGTTTCTGTAGGCCTCAATGTGCATTTTCTCCACTTTGGGTAATATTTTAGGGGGCAGGATCTGATATACATGTATTCTTCATAGTTCCAAAAAGAAACAGAATATGATCCTACAATATAAACTTCACGAATGGTTTCTTTTCATATGTCCCTGCCACACTGCCAAGAGTACCTCAACCCCCGGGACCTCATCCCCTGCCATTGCCTCCTTATTATTGACAAAAAAGTGAAAAAAAAAGGAATTATCAACCCCATGGACAGCCCTCCCCATATGCACATTAAAATTTGAAAGGGTCACTATATACCTTAATATGAAAGGTCTAACTTACTATCAATCCCAAAAGTTTCAAGTCCATCACTTGTTTTGAGGAGATAGCAGAAATCACAATATGAAATAAACTAATACATTAATAGAATCATCCACCCTCAGGGACAGTCCCACATCCTAGTGCACCAAAATTCAAAAGGGCCCATGCATAACCCTGATGACACGTCTATCAATCTTCAAAATTTAGACTTCCTCACTTCAACAGTCAAAGAGGAGACTGCAAAAATTACAAATGAACAGACAGATGGACGAAGAAGTCACACGAACAGGCAGCTTGAATAACACGATCCCTGACTTACGTCACAAAAGTGGATTGGGTAATAACTTTGCATGACAAATAAGTCTACCAGTAAAGAAGACACTCAGGTAAACCATGCACCTATAAACATAATAGTCACCATAAGTTGTATAACTCACCTTCTGCATGAAGATATCTGTTCATCTCTAGCAGAAGCCACTCTCTGAATCCAGGAATGGGCGATAAGCTGGCAAACTGCTGAATCTGTGAGAATTCAGACTGCAGTTCTTGAACAACTCTCTTGATTAAATAATTACCCAACTCAATACCTTGGAGACCTGAATGATTTCCAAGAAAGCAAAATATGTATAAGATATGAAAAGATAAGTAACCAATTGTTTCAACTTTAATTTTATGTCATTCTATATCATATTTTTGCATGCATTTTGACGAGACAGAGGCAAACATAAGTGATTTAAAAACTGTCATAAACAAGTAACTTTCCGTGGTAAAAATTAAATCTTTGCATCAGATATTGAACATATTTCACAATTATACAAGTAACTTTAAAAATGTCTGAAAATACATACATTTTCCTTTCTTCTTTTCCCCAAAAATATATATTATAACTGACTATGGGAAACTGCTGTGCCTGTTTGAAATGTATTATTTTACTTCAGATTCTCAAAATATTATGGAAAGTGAACTTCCCAAAATTTCAACCCCTAATGTTGTTTAATTTGCATGCAATAATACTTACCTTTTTGTGTTGAAGTTATTGAATAAAAAATAGCAGTATTGACAGAATTAGGATCTTCCTTCCTTGCACCATTTACACTTGATTCCTGCTCTAAACCAGGATGACTAACAATGGACTGTAAAAAAGTTGGAAAAAAACCCAAGATCAATCTTATGTAAACATACTTTTGAACATAACCTTGTATCAACCCCTCTGGCTGAAATTAAATTATATTTTGACATGATATACAGATATTGACTGTTTTGCCTAGTCATATATTTGTCTCTTGGGGAGATATGGTTCACAGTAGTATATCTCCTGCCTGCATCTATATACCTTTATAAAGCTAGATTTAATTGCTATTCACTCTCTATGAATACTGAAAATAATCTAATGAGAATATGAAAATGGTAAAAGGTAAGGGCAATCTAGAGAAGAGGAAAAGGTTTTCAGTAAAAAATGATAGCTATAAATACACTTATGTTCCTGGTCTAAAAAAAATCATCCAAATATAATAATTTCTTGCTCTTCTATCTGCTGGATCTGAAGAATGGTTTATATTACTGTTATCATTGCTAAAACCTGTATCTATCTTCAAACCAATTTGCTAAAAGGTACCTTTCCCATCAGTATAATCTATCTGTGTAAAATAATATCTCTACATAGACATCAATTTCATAAGCAATAAAAACTGACAACTCACTTATAAAGCTATTTTTATCTCATGCAGGCACTTAATAAATTTCTAAGAAAAGAGGCCTGTAGTCAATAAAAACCTTGATCACCAATCAGAATCCTAACCTAGGCTAATTTCATGTTTCTGTGTATCATATGTTGCTATAACATTCTGAAAATAGTATTTGGCTAAATTATAGAAGGTATTTTGTTACCATGATCCATTTTATACCTTTTTTTTTTTTTTTAGTTGGGTATTGCATTAAAAACTTATTTTTAGAATATCATTAATTCTAAGGAGTTCCACGTGGAAATCAAACTGCTACATGTATTTTGTTCATTTTTATATCAGTGAAGCTTGATTATATTTATTCTATCAACTTTTTAAAAACTGTTAGAACATGTTTTTACTTCATTTGCACTGAGAACATAAAATATTACCATTTGCAATGAGAGATATTAACAAATTCATACTCGACATGCATGTAACTAAATAATTTACAAATAAATTACAAATAAATTATACAAATAAAAATACTTTTACCTCTAAAAATCTCAAGTTACATCTGTACATAAAAACAATGAAGATGTGCACCAACTGATTATAGCTTCCATGTAAATGTTATCGTTTCCAATGTACCTCGAGTCTACTGAAACTCTCCTCTATATCCAGTCCATATTACACTGCATCTTAGGTGGTGATTTCACAACATTTCTGGCTGTAGAAGTAACTTGCTTAATCACTCAGAAACAAAGTGCGTCCTTACCAGATATTTCACTTGTGAGAGTTGTGTGAAGATCAGTCATGTTATCTTTTAATTAAAATTGGTAAACATCAACAAACAACGGTTCATCTGCTTACTATAAACACATAGTCTGTACCTGAATACTGTTGGATATTTCATCTGTCAGAGCTGTATGGAGTACCACAACCGGTTCTCTTGGCATGCTGTGATGTGTGAAGACATAACATCTGCGATATGGTCCCACACGTCGCTTGAGATCAGTCCAATTTCTGATTGGATGGACAGCTTCATATTCTGATATCTTAAATAAAAAAAATTAAAAAATGATTACATTGCAAGATAGTAAATGCCAATATGAAACATTATTTGTACATATATCTTACGTTAATGCTTTAATAAATTAAATGATTTGACAGTTGAGCTACATGTACTTTTAAAATAAATGTTGGACGCTTGAGTTGAAAATCAGTGGTGTTACTGTATTTTAAATAAATATAAGTACACAAGGTACTGGAAAAATAAAATATAACATCCTGTGTCCATTTAGAGAAAGGATGATGCCAATAAAGAGAAAAGACACCCACTTACTCCTTATCCCCATATCGATTTTCTTAAATCCTTAACAAACACTAGGGAGAACTTTCAATTTGCACTATAAATGCAACACCAATTTTCAGAGATCTCATGGGTAACACAAGCAAGGCATTTGCCCCTTTTTTTAGCTGATTTTATTGATTTGGCACTTGCACATTAACCCACTTTGTACCACTTTTTACAACACACACACCATCAAAATGAATTATCAGTCAATTAAAAAGTTTCATCAGAGCCCTGAATCTATTAAAAGCATTTCTTTCCACAGAAAGGAAACTAATCTCAGAAGAAAAATGCAAGGCACTTCTCATTTTCACTGAATTTCAAATATCACGGAAAAGAAACGGAATTTAATATTATCTATTTTTTTTCTTTTTTTCTCAAATGACATGACCAGAAATTATTATCAAATGACACTGGCTCAGATAGTAACAAATCATCTTGCCCCAGTCTATCTGGGATACTGGATTTCCAAGAAATCAAAGATTACCTTTTGTAAGACATCGCATGCAGATTCCCAAGTGACCCTCTCTAATGTCATGAATCCTACTGAGAACCAAATGGCAATGAGATCTCTCAAGTGGTTGATCAATGATTTAAGGTAAGGATTATCTTGATCTGTACTGTGGCAAGTGGTATTCAGAAGATGCTAAAATTAAAAATTTTAGAAAAAATGAAGTACTCACTAACAATATTAATTTTCCGATTACTGTTACTGTTTTTTTCCCCCTGATCAGCTTATTTGTATTGCTGGTACCAAGAAAACATTTTCCATCAAAATAGAAACAATGCTCTATTGACAATGTTCCAAGGCCATACAGTTTACCACAACATGTTCCTTTCAAAGAATATAAAAACCTATACATGTACATCAAATGATAAAAAGCTGACATCAATTTCATGTGACTAAAATAAATTCCATCATAGGATGGGCACAAAGCATTAATTTTGACAACTGCTGTGACAAATCTATACAGTATCTGTATAGGAAAAAAAAACAATATCTTCAAATAATTTACACTTCAAAAATATATACAAGTATACAAATGACATATTTTCAATGAACATTTAACATTATCGTAATTACTATAAATGACTAAAAGTTAAACTATTTTACCTTAAACATATTTGTGAATGAATAATTGCTTGTTTGTTTGCTTGCAATTGTCTATACATCTACTCACCAGAATATCTGCTCTCATATCAACCAAAAACTTCACACCATCATTTAAATGACCAATCTGTGTAAAAACTAGATTATATTTGGGAACTAATGCATGCTTCAGCCTTTCTTCTGTTTTCAGCAGGACACCCTCTCCTCTTTCCTAATGAAAAAATGTCAATGCAGAAGAAAAAAATAAATATCACCAAAAACAGGCATATATGTTAAATAAATATTCAAACAACTTTGAATTTATAAGAAATGCAAATCTGAAAGGCTAAGGTATAGTTCTCATCATATCCATTGATTTTTTTTTACAATATAATACAGAATTAGTAATATTTAACATATAAATCCCCTTTGCACAACTTATTGTTGTAGGTACTTTTCCAGTCTGCTAATTATCTAGACATTTTGGTACATTGCTAAATATATAGAATAAAATTTGAGCTTAACTGGTCTATACCAAATATGACTGACATATCTTTACTGGACAAATTTAAAATCTAATAAATAATGCATTCTTGGAACTATTATGCAAGGTGCCATTCACCTTTAGAAAAATTCCCAACCATAACCTAAAACATGGGACATTTCCAATCACAGAAAAACTAAGATGTACATCCATCTAGTCACAAAATATAAATTGTCTGTTCCAATCTACAGTTCCATTTTTGCAATCATCCTTACTAGTGCTTCTCNCTCCTTTGCACAACTTATTGTTGTGGGTACTTTTACAAGTCTGCTAATTATCTAGACATTTTGGTACATTGCTAAATATATAGAATAAAATTTGAGCTTAACCGGTCTATACCAAATATGACTGACATATCTTTACTGGACAAATTTAAAATCTAATAAATAATGCATTCTTGGAACTATTATGCAAGGTGCCATTCACTTTTAGAAAAATTCCCAACCATAACCTAAAACATGGGACATTTCCAATCACAGAAAAACTAAGATGTACATCCATCTAGTCACAAAATATAAATTGTCTGTTCCAATCTACAGTTCCATTTTTGCAATCATCCTTACTAGTGCTTCTCTCACAAGACCTGCACTAATTTGAAATGGCCGTCAACAATAATTACCAAGTGCCTGTTCTTGGAATCCAGTCAACTAATGATGCAATGGTCATTTCTGAGAAACTGTATGCTGACAGATATAGATGGGAACATGCAGGGCATGATTAGGCAGCACGCTACTGCTTACAGACTCCACACGAATCTTCAGTGTAGGTGAACACAAGTATACTCTTTAAACATGTGACAAACAGGCTCATGGGCAGGGGACTGGGTGTTTTGGAGGGGGGGGGGGTGATACATGAACCACCCTGGACATGTCTGCTCTGAATCAAAATTTGATCATGCCATCAGAACTAATGAGTTTTCATTCTTTTGCAAAACAGCATGGTAAGGAATATGCATGTATTTCCTAATTGTAAGACATCTTCAAACCATGTATACTCAGAAACAAAATAGTATCACTTGGTTCATGTTCTCTGAAAATCATCAGGCTGGACAAGATTGAGATACCTATAGGAGCAAAAGCATGACATGTGTCTCTAAAGGTACATTTGTTGCTAAAGATATCAAACAACCATTTTATTAACCAGAATGAATATTGTTTTTATAATATGGCCACAATTCCAATTGTGAAGATATATGATTTTCAGGCAATATGACCAGTGTCTTTAGACTAATAACACAAGTTGGATAAAAATAAACTAAAATCCACAAAATATATTGAACATTTTTTAGGAAAGAGAGAAATCCTATGTCTCCCTATGTCTCCTCAAACTATGGCCACAGATTCCAGGCATCAGGATCTTTAGTTATCACACCAATGAGCTCACTGCATGTTATATTAAGTTCAGTGACATCTCTACGGTACCTTTCCCCAGATTGTGTTGCATGGCTGACCAGAATATTGTTTGTACATTTCTTGGAACAGATTCCAAGAAAGTATTGATCAATCCTTTATACAAATACCCTGTGAGCAGCAGGAGCGTTGTCTGCCTGCTGCAGGCTTTTGTCTTTTAAGGAAATGTGCCAAATAAGATTTTTCGTGATGACAATTGTATTTAAAATGTACTCTTAGTAGAGGTTCATGTATTAGGCAAAATAACATCACACTCACCAGAATGTGCAAAAACATTATGGCAGTAAAAGATACTGCGTAAAGGAATCAGACTTTTTATGGCGAAAGTTTATCAAATTCAGCAGCTATGCCTCTCTGTTCACAGACGTGATTTTGAACTTATCAACAAATTCGTCAGATTCCATTATGCTGCTGCAATCAATAATACTTGTTTGTAAGGAAAAAGCAGATTAATGCTGGTGCAAATCTTTATACATGCCAGTAATTTAGTGCTAGTTAAAACTGTTCATATATTTAGTAAGTAATCTTCACTCAAACAGTAAGTTATTTGTGGTTATTTATATTTCAGGTAAAAAATGAAAGAAAATTATTTTTGAATTAATATTTTCTGCTATGGAGTTTTCTAATATCAGTACTAACTATTATCTTTATGATAATTGATATTTCAAAGCAGGTTACATCTCTTTAAACGATAAAATCATTACACCAGCTAAAAAGAAATTATATATCTTGAGGGTATTTTTGAGTCTGGAACTTCAAAGTGATGATTGGTATGTTCGTTTATCAGAAATTTGTCAATGATGCCAGGGTCATTGCTTGTTTGTAATAAGCTTTTTTCATGACAACAATTTCTTTTAAATGTTTTCTTACAGGTACATGTATGATAATGAGGCAAAGTAGCATCATGCTGTAACATCATACTGTAATAATGTAATAATTCCCAAATTGCATCTAATAAACAGTCACTTTATAGTAAGGATATTGTCACCCTTTGCCCCAAACTCCTTATTTGCTGCCATACATACATTCTTTTGGATAACAGATAAATCTCCAGTGTTCAGTGACTAATTTAACTAACAATTTTACATATGTCATCTTACAGGTGATGTCGTAATTGCGATTTGGGGGTAAAAATTGAAAAATCGGTTTGTCAAATACCATACCGATTGCTATCTTACCTCAAGATAGAAAGGTGTGAAGTTGACAAATAAAGCTTTGAGTTGCCAATGCTTATACATTGCAATAAGAAATATAAAAGCCGAATTTTTTATATTTTCGAGGAGATTTTTATTGTCTTAAATCAGCACAAAGATAGATGCATTTTTGAATAATTAGAGGCAGGTAAAAAACTCATTTTCGTTATCTGGATGATAATGAACAGTTACAATATCCTTAAGCTGATGCTTTTCTGTCCACATTTACATAACACACTAATGTATTTCAAACTGCTAAGGTCTATCAAATATGTATGAATTCACCGAAAACTAAAAAAAAAAACCTTCCATATCTCAATTCTTAACCTGAGTACTAAATACACCTCGTGCCTCAATTCCAGTCAAGCTTTTCTAGGAAAAAGTTTTCACTGCAGGTGTGAGAAAAGCAGGTGATTTTTATGTTGACTGATTGTGCTCCATTACATCACAACTGTTTCCACTTTGATAAAATACATGAATACATCTGAAAATTCCAGGAAAGAAGCATGTTTTCTGATGAGCTTAGCAATAGCATATAACAGATAAGGCATGGTGATTTCCATGAATCCAATGATAATGATATTGATAATGTCACCATAATGGTAATAAAATGAAGGCCATGCCCCGTAAAGAAACAACCATGGCTGGTGAAATTTAACAAAGTTTATAAAATTGTAGCTCCGAAAAAAAAAAAATTAATTCATTTAACAGACTTATGCACAACATGTCAATTTTTGTTCAGCCAATTCTATCTCCAGAAGGTGTCATTTTTTCACGGCAGAACCAGGCCGTGAATTTTCACCACCACTATTACATGTAGTGTAGTAAACAACGCATACTCTTAGAGTCTAAGAGTATATCAATCCATATCATTACCTGAGCCATACTGAGATTTTGTGCAATCTGAAGGATAATGTTATGGTCCACACCATAATCATGAGCAAGGGTCTTCAAAAACACAGCTTTGTCTTCAGGTATCAGATTACAGTAGAAATGACACAAGTCCCTGGCTTGGTTCTGAAAAATCAAAAGGTTGATGCCTCTTTGCAATCCCACAAACGAAATTTGTGCAAAATTGTTTGTAAACAATAACTTTTGCAGACTTATTGCATCATAATTTTTAGGATGATGAGTCGTATTGAATACCTGATATATATTTTTTTCCCTTAGGCCATAACATTTAATATACTTTAAAATTCACTTAATATAATTGGTCATGAAAATCTGTAATAAACTGCCAAGAATATGATCAAAATATGGCCAAAACTATAATGATAATAAGTTAAGAATTAAAAGATTTTTGGGGGGGTTGCAGAAAGGCCAAAAAGTGGACAAACATAAAAATGAGAAATTCAGGAATATGTAAAACAAAATTCATACCTGAGAGTCGGAAGATAGTACTTATGCCAAAATTCATGCCAAACTGTGTGGAAAAAAATTGCACTTATGCCAAAAGTCGTGCTAAATTGAGCAAGGAAAACATTTAGCACAGCAAGCATGATGCAATCCAAATTACAGTGAGTCTGTCAAAACATTTGCCAAAGTAGAATTACACAAGCATTGCTTTTTATGGGGAGTTCTAAATGGAAACTGTGGAAAATCAAAAATGTTATCATCTAAATTATGACAGATCCAATTTATCATTAAGTATAATGGAAGTGTTATATAATTACCTATGGTCTTGCTTCTAAAAACAATTTATGACAGATTAAAGAATTTGCCTGATGTAATAAAGAGTAATGCTACCCTTAATATTTATTTCAAATGCATTAAGGGCACTCTGCCATATAATGGGGTGAACTTTCTTTTGTCAGACAAAATACTTCATTTTTTGAATAAACATTTTTGAACAATATATAGTGAAAGAATTTAAATATCTACTAGTACTTTGTAAGTCTATAACTAGTACAATGTTTATTTAATTTTAAATGTATATTGTAAATTTTCATGTAAAATTTTATAAATTGTTTGAACAAATATAGCACCATCATGAAAAGTTTGCATCATTGCCCAATTTTACATGCTTCAGGTGAATCCAAACCTAAAACATATGGAACGCCGTTTGTACAAAAAAGATGAAAGTATCATTTTGATAAGAAATTTTTTTTTGCGAGGTGTTAACATCCAGGGGTATANCCCTTTGCACAACTTATTGTTGTAGGTACTTTTCCAGTCTGCTAATTATCTAGACATTTTGGTACATTGCTAAATATATAGAATAAAATTTGAGCTTAACTGGTCTATACCAAATATGACTGACATATCTTTACTGGACAAATTTAAAATCTAATAAATAATGCATTCTTGGAACTATTATGCAAGGTGCCATTCACCTTTAGAAAAATTCCCAACCATAACCTAAAACATGGGACATTTCCAATCACAGAAAAACTAAGATGTACATCCATCTAGTCACAAAATATAAATTGTCTGTTCCAATCTACAGTTCCATTTTTGCAATCATCCTTACTAGTGCTTCTCTCACAAGACCTGCACTAATTTGAAATGGCCGTCAACAATAATTACCAAGTGCCTGTTCTTGGAATCCAGTCAACTAATGATGCAATGGTCATTTCTGAGAAACTGTATGCTGACAGATATAGATGGGAACATGCAGGGCATGATTAGGCAGCACGCTATTGCTTACAGACTCCACACGAATCTTCAGTGTAGGTGAACACAAGTATACTCTTTAAACATGCGACAAACAGGCTCATGGGCAGGGGACTGGGTGTTCCGGAGGGGGATACATGAACCACCCCGGACAGGTCTGCTCTGAATCAAAATTTGATCATGCCATCAGAACTAATGAGTTTTCATTCTTTTGCAAAACAGCATGGTAAGGAATATGCATGTATTTCCTAATTGTAAGACATCTTCAAACCATGTATACTCAGAAACAAAATAGTATCACTTGGTTCATGTTCTCTGAAAATCACCAGGCTGGACAAGATTGAGATACCTATAGGAGCAAAAGCATGACATGTGTCTCTAAAGGTACATTTGTTGCTAAAGATATCAAACAACCATTTTATTAACCAGAATGAATATTGTTTTTATAATATGGCCACAATTCCAATTGTGAAGATAAATTATTTTCAGGCAATATGACCAGTGTCTTTAGACTAATAACACAAGTTGGATAAAAATAAACTAAAATCCACAAAATATGTTGAACATTTTTTAGGAAAGAGAGAAATCCTATGTCTCCCTATGTCTCCTGAAACTATGGCCACAGATTCCAGGCATCAGGATCTTTAGTTATCACACCAATGAGCTCACTGCATGTTATATTAAGTTCAGTGACATCTCTACGGTACCTTTCCCCAGATTGTGTTGCATGGCTGACCAGAATATTGTTTGTACATTTCTTGGAACAGATTCCAAGAAAGTATTGATCAATCCTTTATACAAATACCCTGTGAGCAGCAGGAGCGTTGTCTGCCTGCTGCAGGCTTTTGTCTTTTAAGGAAATGTGCCAAATAAGATTTTTCGTGATGACAATTGTATTTAAAATGTACTCTTAGTAGAGGTTCATGTATTAGGCAAAATAACATCACACTCACCAGAATGTGCAAAAACATTATGGCAGTAAAAGATACTGCGTAAAGGAATCAGACTTTTTATGGCGAAAGTTTATCAAATTCAGCAGCTATGCCTCTCTGTTCACAGACGTGATTTTGAACTTATCAACAAATTCGTCAGATTCCATTATGCTGCTGCAATCAATAATACTTGTTTGTAAGGAAAAAGCAGATTAATGCTGGTGCAAGTCTTTATACATGCCAGTAATTTAGCGTTAGTTAAAACTGTTCATATATTTAGTAAGTAATCTTCACTCATACAGTAAGTTATTTGTGGTTATTTATATTTCAGGTAAAAAATGAAAGAAAATTATTTTTGCATTAATATTTTCTGCCATGGAGTTTTCTAATATCAGTACTAACTATTATCTTTATGATAATTGATATTTCAAAGCAGGTTACATCTCTTTAAACGATAAAATCATTACACCAGCTAAAAAGAAATTATATATCTTGAGGGTATTTATGAGTCTGGAACTTCAAAGTGATGATTGGTATGTTCGTTTATCAGAAATTTGTCAATGATGCCAGGATCATGCTTGTTTGTAATAAGCTTTTTTCATGATGACAATTTCTTTTAAATGTTTTCTTACAGGTACATGTATGATAATGAGGCAAAGTAGCATCATGCTGTAACATCATACTGTAATAATGTAATAATTCCCAAATTGCATCTAATAAACAGTCACTTTGTCAATGATGATTGACACCCTTTATGTGATGATTGTCACCCTTTACCCCAAACTCCTTATTTACTGCCTTACATACATTCTTTGGGATAACAGATAAATCTCCAGTGTTCAGTGACTAAATTAACTAACAATTTTACATATGTCATCTTACAGGTGATGTCGTAATTGCGATTTGGGGGTAAAAATTGAAAAATCGGTTTCTCAAATACCATACCGATTGCTATCTCACCTCAAAATAGAAAGGTGTGAAATTGACAAATAAAGCTTTGAGTTTCCAATGCTTATACATTGCAATAAGAAATATAAAAGCCGAATTTTTTATATTTTCGAGGAGATTTTTATTGTCTTAAATCAGCACACAGATAGATGCATTTTTGAACGATTAGAGGCAGGAAAAAACTCATTTTCGGTATCTGGATGATAATGAACAACAGTTACAATATCCTTAAGCTGATGCTTTTCTGTCCACATTTACATAACACACTAATGTATTTCAAACTGCTAAGGTCTATCAAATATGTATGAATTCACTGAAAACTAAAAAAAAACGCTTCCATATCTCAATTCTTAACCTGAGTACTAAATACACCTCGTGCCTCAATTCCAGTCAAGCTTTTCTAGGAAAAATTTTTCACTGCAGGTGTGAGAAAAGCAGGTGATTTTTATGTTGACTGATTGTGCTCCATTACATCACAACTGTTTCCACTTTGATAAAATACATGAATACATCTGAAAATTCCAGGAAAGAAGCATGTTTTCTGATGAACTTAGCAATAGCATGTAACAGATAAGGCATGGTGATTTCCATGAATCCAATGATAATGATATTGATAATGTCACCATAATGGTAATAAAATGAAGGCCATGCCCCGTAAAGAAACAACCATGGCTGGTGAAATTTAACAAAGTTTATAAAATTGTAGCTCCGGAAAAAAAATTAATTCATTTAACAGACTTATGCACAACATGTCAATTTTTGTTCAGCCAATTCTATCTCCAGAAGGTGTCATTTTTTCAAGGCAGAACCAGGACACATTCTGAATAACTCTGAATTTTCACCACCACTATTACATGTAGTGTAGTAAACAACGCAATACTCTTAGAGTCTAAGAGTCTATCAATCCATATCATTACCTGAGCCATACTGAGATTTTGTGCAATCTGAAGGATAATGTTATGGTCCACACCATAATCATGAGCAAGGGTCTTCAAAAACACAGCTTTGTCTTCAGGTATCAGATTACAGTAGAAATGACACAAGTCCCTGGCTTGGTTCTGAAAAATCAAAAGGTTGATGCCTCTTTGCAATCCCACAAACGAAATTTGTGCAAAATTGTTTGTAAACAATAACTTTTGCAGACTTATTGCATCATAATTTTTAGGATGATGAGTCGTATTGAATACCTGATATATATTTTTTTCCCTTAGGCCATAACATTTAATATAGGCAACAATTTGTAACATAGTTAAAATGATTAGGATAGTGGGGTTATATAATAAAAGTGGAATTGTTTGACCAAATCTCAAACAACCAATACTAGTTACCTTCTTTTTTGTTGTAAATAGGACTGTGAATGTTTGTGGTACAATGGGATGGAGGAGACACAATTTATATTTCCTCCACATCGCGTGGTATATGATCCCGTTAGTAAAGTAACTTCACAAACAAAATATTAAGGCCCCTTTTATTAAATTTCCAAACCGAAATGAGAATTAATACGAAATTCACTTAATATAACTGGTCATGAAAATCTGTAATAAACTGCCAAGAATATGACCAAAATATGGCCAAAACTATAATGATAATAATTCAGAATTAAAAGATTTTTTGGGGGGGTTGCAGAAAGGCCAAAAAGTGGACAAACATAAAAATGAGAAATTCAGGAATATGTAAAACAAAATTCATACCTGAGAGTCTGAAGATAGTACTTATGCCAAAATTCATGCCAAACTGTGTGGAAAAAAATTGCACTTATGCCAAAAGTCATGCTAAACTGAGCAAGGAAAAAATTTAGCACAGCAAGCATGATGCAATCCAAATTACAGAGAGTCTGTCAAAACATTTGCCAAAGCAGAATTACGCAAGCATTGCTTTTTATGGGGAGTTCTAAATGGAAACTGTGGAAAATCAAAAATGTTATCATCTAAATTATGACAGATCCAATTTATCATTAAGTATAATAGAAGTGTTATATAATTACCTATGGTCTTGCTTCTAAAAACAATTTATGACAGATTAAAGAATTTGCCTGATGCAATAAAGAGTAACGCTACCCTTAATATTTATTTCAAATGCATTAAGGACACTCTGCCATATAATGGGGTGAACTTTCTTTTGTCAGACAAAATACTTCATTTTTTGAATAAACATTTTTGAACAATATATAGTGAAAGAATTTAAATATCTACTAGTACTTTGTAAGTCTATAACTAGTACAATGTTTATTTAATTTTAAATGTATATTGTAAATTTTCATGTAAAATTTTATAAATTGTTTGAACAAATATAGCACCATCATGAAAAGTTTGCATCATTGCCCAATTTTACATGCTTTAGGTGAATCCAAACCTAAAACATATGGAACGCCGTTTGTACAAAAAAGATGAAAGTATCATTTTGATAAGAACATTTTTTTTTGCGAGGTGTTAACATCATTTTCTTGTCAAAACGCTGAAAGTGACAATCTCAAAATGATGTCAGCACCTCACAAAAATTTTTTTCTTATCAAAATGATACTTTCATCTTTTTTGTACAAACGGCATTCAATAAAAACAGAGATAAAACATTTCAAGGCAGCAAAGCTGTCAAATGTACAGACAAAAAGCAGAAAATAATGCACAAGATATGATACTGTCAATTCTGATGCAATAATAAATTATACCTAACTGCAAAGTCAACATCAAACTTTAATTATGCACAACAGGTAATACCGACGAAAGTAGAAGCACAAGGCTTCAGGCCCATGAGAGTTCAAGTTCACACTTAGAAAATGCCAGAATGAGAAAAATGAAAATTTCACAAAAAAATGCATAAATTCAATAAAAAATGATAATCCAATATTGCTAGTTTTCTAATTTGAGCTGTATTTCAATCCTAAGAATCATTCTTGTCAGTTAAAAAAATTAATAAGTAACACAAATTTCTTTTCATAATCCTTGTGGTGGCAGTGCACAAAGTAGGATGTGTCTGTACATAAAAAGGGTTTGGAAATATTGCTTTCAGCAGTATTGTCAATATCATTTTGAATATGCTGTAATGTTGTAAGTTACCAAGTCCCATCCTCCATATATGTCTCATCCTCTGCCACCCTATACCTATTTACTTCATTCACATTTCCATAACTTTTTAGAAAATACAGTTACTTTCATACAGTTCTTTTTACTATTATTCTGAAAGTAGACTAAAAAGCTTAAAGCTGATACATTTGTACCTAGAAAGCCATGGTCTGTGCTACACCACACATGATGTGCTACAAGCTTGTTTCATCACTTCAGATATCAATCATATATATATATATATAAGAGCTTATAATTGTAACAATTTTTTATAGTGTAAAAATTAAGGTCTTGAAATATGAATGTGAAGTTGTGCAAAAGAAAAACATTTCAGTTTATGTAACATCGACAGGATATTAGCAGACCAGTTCAGGAGGAATGCCCTAAGCAAAAGGGAAAAGTTGGCAGCAATACTGCTGCAATCTAAAAGTCTACAGGAGTTTGCAAGAAAAATTTTATTGCTGCTAATTTGCAGCCATATTGTTGCAAATTTGCTTCAAATTTCCAAGAAGGAATTGCAGTTTGTAGCAAAATTGCTGCAAATTTGCTGCAAATTTGCAGTAGTCCTGATATTTTGCTAAGGGTGACTACCTATATCTTTGCTATCAAAAAAGGTATTTTTTTCCTTTTAACACACCAGTATAAACTGAACCAACAGGATACAATTCAAATGTAAACAGTGCATTTCCAAGTATTCACTTTAATCCTTTTCTCAGTAAGTTTCCAGTAAACTGCCAACCTGCTTCCTATCCGTTCATTAAAAATTCTTTATCAAGCCTAACCTTTGGTGCAACTTAATCTCTAATCAAAATTGCTCAGGCTTAACTATTTTTCAGCCCATGCTGCTATTCCCTGGATTTCATTGTTTGCTCAGAATGCTGTACTGACCACTCACTAATTACTTATCATATCATTTTCGAAAAAAAAAATATGAATAAAATTTGAATAAAATATCATCATCTGTAGGAGTATACCAAATTTTAATTATTCTTTTAATCAACTTTATGGAAATGTGTGAAGATTTTTAATGCTTCACATTTAGAGACAACAATGTTGCATAATGTTCAGATGTAAGAACATATAAGTTAAAGGAATAAACTAGAGGATCAAAGCAGTGATACCACCACCAGGAATTGTACCACCAGCGAGATTTAATTCATTCAAGTTAAATGGCAGCTATGGATGTATCTGTTTTAGCTGTAGAAAAGTAGAGGCTGATAAAAATGTGAAGCACATTTAAGGAGATAAAGTAAGTTAAAGGTCAAATTCAAGGTCACATTAAGATGCCCAATATAAGATTTCCTATTCAAGTGCAACAGTAACTATGGATGTATCTCTGCTAGTTTTGGATAAATAAGGGCTAGAAAGTTTGAAAAGTGCAGTTCATGGCAAAAAGTAGGCCAATGGTAAAATTCAATTCTACAATGCACCAACCATGAGGCCTCTAGCTTTTCAGTTTTTCAGCTTTGGCATCTTATATTATAATTATCATTATTTGACTATGGGTGAAAATGTCAAATCTTGTTGTGCAATTTGAACATCTTACTTTTTTGATGAACATGAACAATAGCTTAATATTTGAAAATAATTGGCCGATTCAACTGGTGGTAAGTAAGTTGTAAATTGTGATTGTACAGCAGTCCCTGCATAACTGTTTACAACATCTTAGATGTTATTTAATGTATTAATAATCGGGTTGGTATTGATCACCAGTGCAATGTTTCATCATGTGTTTGTGGAACAAAAAAAAAAAGACTTATTTAAGATGATGCAAATATTTCATGATGAGCAATGGAAATGGACAGCTTTATGTTTCTGAATTTCTTTTCAAGTACTAGTAAATAAAATGCTATCAACATTAAATTTCTGTTGCTAGCATAACTGACATAACTGCTTAATGACATTTGATTGCTTTCATTATTATTGGTAATACCATGTCAAGTTGTCAACTAATTATAATAAAAGCTGATTTTAATCTAGAATAACTTGTTCCTTCCTCCAACAAAGAAAATAAAATAAGGAAAAGAAAATAAAACAGAAAATAAGGACTACTTACATCTGCCACTGTAGTTGAACTGGTTTCTTGTGCTCCCAGAATGCTGTCTAGCATTTCATGTGCTCTGACTGCTAATGAGGACATACTGTGACTGGGTGACATTATGGTGGTAGGAGATGAAGATGAAGAAACCACAGCCTGGAAGAGTAAACAATCAATTATTAACTAGTACAAACTTTCCTTCAACACGTATTTTGGAGGTCCTTCATGCAAACCACTTTTTTAAAATCCCTGAAGTTTTTCCAAATACGGGTTTTCAAAGTGATATGAATATGACTACCCATTTTTACCTCCGCCAAGGAGGTTATGTTTTCACCCCTGTTTGTTTGTTTTGCTTGTTTGTTTGTCTGTAATCAACATAACTCAAAAAGTTATGGACCAATTTTGACGAAATTTTCAGCAACTGTCAGAAGTGGGCCAAGGAACAGATGTTTAGTTTTTGGTGGTGATACAGATCAACAATCAATCAATAATCAATAATAATCAAAAATTGCTGCCTTGGCAGAGGTCTGTGCTCTCGGAGTGCTTTTCTAGTTTACAGTTGGTATGGGTCCAAAAATATATCAGAGTTTAAAACCCATGGAAAACATTACTTATCAATGAACAGATAATCAACAAATCAACTAGAGGATCAGAAAGGCGATACTGCCTCTGGGTATTGTACCACCAGCTGGAGTAGGCGCATTCGCCTCTGGAAAACAAAAAAAAAAAAAAAAAGGACATCACCAGTGTTATGCTTGACAAGCTCTATAAAATGCAGTGAACAAGAGTTCTCAATATTTTTGTTGAAAATTACTAATGGCCACTTATCCCAGGAAAATGCATCAAATGACCCCAAACTCACTAATACCCCGTTCACACTATAATCTGAAATATCCGAATTTTTGCAATGCGAATTACGGGTGAAAAATCCGATTCGGTTGTCTGGCCACACACAGCAAAGGGAAACCGAATCGTGCACTGAAAATTCAGGTGGAGGTTCCGGTTTGAAGAATCGCGCATGCGCAGAATCCATGAAAACAAAAATATGGCGCCAATCATTGCTCTTCTCGCACTCAGTTTTTTTCTCGTGTGTTTGTTTTTGGAACATCAAATTTAACCCAAAAGTCGCCAAAAGGAAGATTTAAGTAAGAACAGGAAGAATTTGACGGATACAAGAAGGAGACTAGCCGGATTTCGATGGAGAGTGTGGGTCCACTGACCTGGCATGGTGCTTTTCTTTCTCGCGAGATTTGCTAGTGCATGCGCAGTGAGATCTAAACAGGTGGCCCTTCCGGTAAAGTAACTGAATCGCTGGAGAGAATCCAGCTCGCTAGTAGGATTTTTGGAAACCGGTTTACAAAAATCCTCATGCGTTCAGACTACCGCAATAATTTGAATCTTGACCCAATTCGCTATTTAACCGGTTAAATGACTGCAGTGTGAACGGGGTATAAGATGAAAGATGACACCTGCACATAATATTATAGGTTAGGTCTGTGCAGTTTCTGAAAATCGGCACAATTTTTATTTTTTTGCAAAAAAATTCCTATTTAGAAAATTTTGGCCCCTTTGACCTTGAAATAGAGGTCAAAGGTCAAAACCAAGGGCATATTTGAAATCTCCACATATGACTTTCAGTCAGCCATCTAAAGAAATTTTCACATAATTCCTTCGGTTTGGTAGATATTTAGCATTAATTTTTTTTTTAATATTGGAAAAGGGTGCATTGTGACAAGCGCCACACCCAGACATGAGCACTGCCAAAGTCCGAAATTCTCATGGACCGAGATGAGATTATATGTGACCTACATACAAGAGATGGGTACAGGAGCTCTTGTAGTTTAGGAGGAGAAGCGGTAACAGTGACGTGGCTGTGGAACTGGCAGAGCCAACAGAGCCAGCTGACAATACTGGTCAGGACTAAAACCATGTGTACCACCAGCGCCACACTGGTGGTACAATTAAATCACGGCAATCTTCTCTTCCTAGCATTCAACAGGTGAGTTTGTTTTGCAACACAGGTCATATGAAATGGACTGTAATATGAACATCTAGGCAGGCCATGATCTGACAATGATAAAAAAGAGGTTGCAAAAATTTAAAGATATTGAATTCCTATCTTAAAGATACAATTATTATATATTTATATTAAAGCAAATTTTATGTTACAATTATAAGCTCTGAATATATATATATATATATATATATATATATATATATATATATATATATATATATATATATATATATATATATATATATATAAAATATCTAAAGTGATGAAACAAGCTTTTAAACAAACACATCTTGAAAATATAAGTGAAAAGTATGCCACTTGCATAATAAAACAATCATATAGTTAATATGTTTAAGAAATGAATAAAAGAACACTGTTAAATGGTGGTTTTTAAAAGCACAGATATATAATGTGGTTTAAGATCTTTCATAATAGAGGCACCCTAGACACTCCTGTTATCAGTGCCATCTAATTTAAAACACTGCCACCTGCATGCTAATGTATTCACAAGTTAACTTTGCAGACAAAAAGTGTTTAAAAATTCTAAGTAACACAAATATACAGTATGTACTTTCATGTGAAGTAATCCAAAAGTAGTTATTTGTTAAAATAAATTACACTTTGTTATTCAATTCATGCAAAGCCCTTCTTTGAGTTATCAATGGTTTAAAAAAAAAGGAAAATACAACAATCCCTCTGTCAGCAGGAACACTAGGATATGAGTCGACTATGATTGATGATCTGCATTATTCAAACACTGTTTACTAGATTTTCATTGGATTTGGAATGTTACACATGCAGTGAATTATCAGCCATATGTCATGAGCTGAGACCTGCAAGGTGGTCAGAATAAGGTAGGTGGGAAAATTAAAATGCCGTTTGAGCCGTTTCAACTACTCTGAATGCTTAGGCTGCGTTCACATGAAAAATCTATTTTCTAAAAATCTAAAAATCTATTTGCGGTATCTCTGTGCCCTGAATACCCCACGGCGTAATTACTGGCAGTGCCGAGAATTAATTACAGCTTTACGCAATTAGATTTTTAGATTTTTAGAAAATAGATTTTTCATGTGAACGCAGCCTTACTGTGAGTGTGAACTTTTTTAATGTAAGATCCCAGCATAGGTAACCCAATAATGATCAATTAAAAACTGATTATAACAGAATTGAATTATGAATAACAGAAGTACTTTGTACTGAAACTGTTCCTGCTGTATCTACCTCCATTGTCTTCATTTTTTTTTCTTAAAAAAACTTTCTTCGAACATTTGTTTATTTTTTATCTCAAACTATGGGAAACCAAAAGAGCTATAGGTATATGGCTTGATATAACCTTTTCATCCTATCAGCAATTATCATTCTTTAATTATAAAGAGATGTTTGGTCTAATATATCCTGTACTCGGTACCAGTTAAAAAAACTGAAAACATACTACAAAGTTAATATCAAATGAAAAATGTTATACCAGTAAGCATATGAAAGTCCGCCTGAGGACTGTTGTTTTCTATTTAATTATATGCATTTTTTATATACTGCAGGTCTAATTTCAAAACTTAATTGGCCTATGCAGCATGTTATCATTATCCCGTATGGTAAATGCAGGCTTTCAAAAAGTGTTGACACCTAAAAAACAGCAACAGCTGTAGAGAAAATTCTCCAGTTTATAAAACACCATCATATCCACCAACCATCCCACTTCTCTGATTAATCTACAAATAACCACAGTCGCCTAATTATTGTTTCAAGAAGATTTTATTTTGTTTAGTCTAGCTACTCCTTCAGATTTTACTCTAAGTTTTGTGTTAACATTAACATTAAAAATCACATAACGTCGTGTCTTACCTCATTTGTTCTACTGGTCATGATCGATCGTGGGGGAACAACACCGGGCACATGCTTCTTTACAATAATCAACGTGAATTTACACTGAAACCCCCGGCTGCCTAGATCATTTCCAAGAATCCACTGATTCAGTTCTTGGAAAAACGTAATCCAGACCGAGGGCGAAGGTCAAACGTCGCATTGCCTGCCAGTGCCGGTCTGGTAGTAGTGCTGTTCTTTTAATCGATACGTGGCGTATCAGCGTTGTATTTTGTTTTTGGTGCATTCTAGGCCTTACCTGTGGTCGAAATAGTCCTTTAAATGATTCTCTTAGCGAATACATCGTAATACTAACAGTAAATACACGTTAAAGTCGCGTTCAACTGGACTAACTCAGTTCCAGCTAGACTTCCGGTTGTGCAATACGTCATCGGCTTATGTCCATGCAGTATCGTGCACTTGTTTTCGTTTGTTACTAACCTTATCTATCAACCTATCTAGCTGGAGCGGAGTAGGGAGTGAGTTGTGAGTGCATCCTCACCGCGCCTTTCTTTTAAGCCAAATTCATTGGATCCCCACTCGCCTCCTGCTAATCAAGAAGGGGTTGGACGGAGACACTTACGCCCCAAAAAACTCTTGATGTATATTTTTAAAAAAATAATGTTATAAAAAATAACCTCTGGGAGGGAGGGGGTCATCTACAATGTCTGCATTACTTTTATTTATTTAATATAATCTCTTTGATGCTTCTTTGCTTATTTTTGTTGCAAATCGTGCATCAGTAGGCCTACTATTATGTATAAATTAATTTGATCAATTTCACAAATTAATATACTCAGTCACTGCTTGGTATTACAGGTAGACGACTTGGGAAAGCTCATTTCAGCCCGCCCAGGCAGTTCGCTCTTGGCATATTGTTCCATCTTCGTATCACTAATTGCTTTTTCAAACTAACTTATAAAGAAAATTCTGCTTATGTGCGGTTTTACTAGGAAGTGAAATATATATACAGTATAGCCACTCCTTACTTTCTCAGTACAGTCCTACAGTTCCTTGTACGTGAGCCTCGGCATCTTTTTAACCTTAAAAATTCCCGCCGCGATGTGCCCGTAGTCATTTAATAAATAAAGCAATTTATTCTTATTGATGCCCCAGCCAATGCATGTACATGAACCAACGGGTAACCTCAATAATGTTGAAAAGCAACACCCAAATTAATTAAACAAATAAATAAGCTGAATGTACTAAATTCAAAATGGCCAAGGTTTTAAACTGCAGAACAATTTATAACCTTTTTTCATTCATTTGGGTATATCGTATCTGTTTTCGAAAGTGCTATTGAGAAAGGGCCTAGCCTATTGGCCTGGAAAAAACTTATGGAAAACAATTAATTCCAAGCTGTTGATAAGCTAGACTCCAATTGCAACATGAATATGAATATGTTTACGCTAATATAATGCATTACCTATGACCCATAATAAATTGGGACGTAGGCTTTTATACACTGATTGATTCCAACACAATGGATGTGACTTGGCAATTTGTCTTCTCTACAGCAATTACGTAGACCTATTGGTTTCTGGCTGTGAATGTCCTATGACCCTAGATGGTATCTAGCATGTTTTGTAGCGATTCATGTCAAGATCATATTGGAATAACATTGATTTTGTCGCTAGAAAATAGCATTATCACCGGATGCATGAATGGATGATTCCTATCGTTTTTTTTAGAGCCGTCTTAAAACTAAATCATTGAAATAAAAATGCAAGTGATAATCAAATATAGATTTAGCAACCTTCTGAACACAGTTGATTGTAAATATTAAATCTCCTTACCTGGTGTGTTTAAACCTGGACATATGTAAGGAAGGGGCTGGGATGTATTCTGTTATCCCAGACAGGTAGTTCATATATATAGGCGGACCCCGGGATAACTTGGCCCCTCGCCAATTTAGGAAATTTAGGAAAAAGTACCTACGAGCCGTACGAGGTAAAAAAATTGATCACATAATCTCGTAAAATGACCATATTCATATGTCAAGAAAAGCATCGGTCGTAAAAAAAGTTTTACTTGAGCGGTGAGTACAAATGAAAGCTTTTTCATCTGAAAGTAACTTTGTTGAACAGATTTCATTCTACCCCCAAAATGGCTGCAGTCCTCTAAAATAAAATATGTGCATCTGGAGTAAGTTGGAGCACTTGGCTCGGGACAAGTTGGACCCCGTATCTTGTTATGATTTTTCAACACAAAATTCAAAACATTGAAGGATATGTATAGAAACATCAATATGGACAACTTCAGCAAAGACTCTAAAAATCAATTAAATATAATGAGATGAGTAAATATACAATCATTCCGTTTACACGGATTTCTACCTTATCATACCCGTAGTATAGAGTGGTAACTAGCCCGACCCTAGGACCAACTTGACCCGCCAAGGGCTAAGTTGGCTCACCTGTCATCAGGTGGGTATTTGTCAAACTGTAAGCCAAAAGGCATAACATTTGCAAAAAAAATGACGTTGCATTTATAGCTAAGTCTTTGGCGCTCGTTGTAAAATCAGTTTTGCTGCTCTAACTTTTTCTTAGTTGGCTCTGCAAGACCCTAAGTGTCTAACTGGGCCAATTAGCCTCGGTCTCCCCTACATGTGGCACGTCAAAATAGCTATGTTCGACGATAAACTAGCGAAACGCACAAAAATTTGAGTCATGCAAATAGCGTGTTTCACACTAAAGAAGTTGCCGTCAAAATAATACCTCTGAATCACGATATCTCTCAAATCTGTGTTGAACTTAAAAATCATTTTGGTGTATAATAAGAGAATAAATCAATGCGGTTACGAACAGATTACGTTGCATAAGGTTATTCATAAGTCGATTTGTTGTTAAGTCTAGCACAAATACACCACAGTATACCAAAGCGGTATCATTCCAGAGGTACTGTATGTTACAATATGTTTTAGACATACATAATACACCGTGGTAAGCATGAATTAAAGTTTTCAAAAATCATGGCCCTGAAGTTAGCTGCGAACTAGACCTTATCACTTTGCGCGCCAATTTCAATTTTGCACACACCCCTTCTTCTTAACACAACGTCGTTTACATCTTTGACTCCCCTCGTACCTCGAGTGTTCGTAACTCGGGGTTTGCCTTATAAACTAATAGAATTTTACATTCAAATTCTATTCATTTTACTCTCGCTTGCTGGCAATAGTTCTAAAAAAATAATTTAAGAAAATAAATCACTCTATGCAAGTCAAATCAAACAGGTCTAGGTAATTAATTTCAATTGTTTTTCAAAGAAATTAAAGAAACTAATGCTGATAGTCTGTTCAAATGCATGCCAATGCGACGTTTAAACTTTGGCTCATTATTGGTCGAATACCTTAACAACCCTTACAAGAGAAAATCTCGCGATACTTCAGTTGGGTGAATTATCAGGTTTAAGTTTATTATAGCACAATGTCGATTGTTTGCACACCTACTTTAATTCTGCTTTATTACCTGTGTTCCGCTTTGGTTAAGCTGACCTCGCAAGAGAAAGGAGGGTTTAATCTAACGTTGCTTTACGACCGATCGGTTTAATGATTTTTACGCCAGACAATATCGCCCATGGTGAATGTTCAATGCGGTCAATTCTTTACTGTTAATTGGTTTGCGCTAATTAAGGCAAGAGGCGTCGAAAATATGATCAAAGACACAGCCAGATGATTATCGAAGGTTATTGAAGGGTCTTTGAACCAGTCATCGACGGTTCTATCGATCTGTAATGGCTCGGAGAGAGGAGCTAGCAACATCAACTATTGATCGTAAACAGTGATGCCACTATAGTAATATTTAGTTACCCTTAGAAGGATATATACGGAACCTCTTCACGCAGAACGGAAAGTGAGACTGGTTTTTTATTTTGTACGTGTATCTAACGATTATTTCTGAAAACATCATGTTTGATCATCAAACTTTAGAGAAGATTTACGACATTGCTGACTATTTGCTTTGTGGTGATCAGTCTATCAAAGCATCACGGATTCATATCTAGTATGGGTAAAGATATCACGTGTGTGTGTACTGCAATATTTCAATTTAACTGACTGCGTCGGTAATGGCTGGACTTATGGCTAAGCCGCCATCACAGCCATTTCTGGACAGTGTGTCGACTCTGGAACGACCAGACTCCAGAAAGAAGGCGCTTACTTCTTTTACGATTCCCAGAGATCATAATTTGAACTATTCACTGAGGAAGCATGTTGGAACGAACAATGTTTGGTCATCAGTGCCAGGAGGGGCTTGGTTACCCCAAAATCCTGCCCCTGAGTCGCCTAGTAAGGACGTTAATGTTCTGAACCCAAATTGGCGACTTAAACAAATGACAAAAGGCAACTTTTTGCCTACGCTAGAAATACCAAAACCACAAGCATTCGGTATTACACCGAAAGTCCGCCCCGGGCGGCCGTTAGGGACCAGACGGCCCACAGGCTCAGCGCGAATTCAGTCATCACGAGAGGGATTTTATTCGGCAGAATATGGCGGGGCCAACTTTCTGAACACTGTTTTGAAGCCGGGCACAGCTCCCGCTTCTTACAACTCATCTGCTCAGGGTCTTGTAGCCCCTAACCATGCTCAGAGTTACCAGCTTGGATATGTCCACGGTATGACAGCACAAAGCGCTAGTTTGCACGACAGGCGACACAGTCAGCCTGCACAAAGTGGTTCTCAGCAGTTGCCTGACCTGCAAAACCCCGTTAGCCTACCGCCCTCCCTGGAAGGCTATCGGGAGCACCGCGCTAGTCCAACGACTCATAATACGAATCAAGGCAGTAGCCAGTCGCAAAACCATGACCCAAGTTCAGCACACTCTAGTCACCAAGAAGACCATAGTGATCCTGTAAAACCTATTCTGAAAGCCAAAATAAACCGGGGAAGTTTACATGCCCCTTTGAGTGGAAACAACAACCAAAAACAGGACATCGCTACTTCCAATCAAAAGGGAACTAAAGAGAAACCATCGGGCACAAGACGAATCTCACCTCGATCTAGAATGGCACAAAAAATTGCTCGGGCCAATTTGACACTCAGCGACTATTCAACCATTAAGATTGACGTTTGTGATAGTGACACTAAATCCGATCCCGGTACTGTCGAAGAGAAGAAACCAGATTCGGAGGAAGGCTCTGTAAAGTCGGAAAACGACGTCGTGAAGGAGGGCGAGGAGCAACCGGTTCGCGTGAAACGCTCAGTCCGGTTCAACATGGGACATAAAATACACGAATTTGTGCCATGGGATCCAATCAGTTCTGTTTGAATAGGTGGAGCTGAACTTTTTAAACAATCGCGTGAGACGCATGTACCCTAAAGCATCACAGTAGCTTAATCATCTTTTAATGTTTGTTTTAGGCTTAAATGACTGAAAATGTAGTGGGAGCCAGACGGCTTTGTCAAAAAATACGAAAATACAAACAAATTTAGTGAAGCGTGTGATTTGTATGCTTTTTAATATACTTTAAAATTGGATGAACTTAAGTTAATATCAAAAAAGCTGTTACAGTTACGAATCAGGAGAGAAAAAAGTGCCAACTCTATTTAAATTCTAACACATTTGGGAAATATATGGATGATTTCTGTTCTAAGGATCGTACCGCTTACTGTTTTCACCACCGGCGGTCACAAAACCTTCAAAACTCAGACGTAAAAAAGTAGCATAATTTATTCGTTGGTGCTTTTTGATATTGTCTCACATCGCACAATATAATTTTACATAGTCGCACATAACTGACGCCAAAAACAGAGCAGAATGAGCTATTTTTCTTAGGCATGGTGCTTGACAAGTTACAGTTGAGTGCTGAAGGGTATGGTGAATTTTTCGAGTGACCCGATCAACAATTCTTCGAAATGCAAATTATTCTTCAAAGTGCATTCAACTAGAATCTTTCAACGACCAAATAATAAACCCTTTAACTGTATTTCAAGTGGATTTGTTTGAAAGGAAATAAAAACATAGTAAGCAGCAGTCCATCATATAGACCTGGCAACAGTAACAACGGCACGCTGACTGGTACGTAGAGATACGTTGACTATTTTCTAGATGCCATATAGTAGTTTTGCCGTGAACGACCTTGCTCAATCTCTTTATAAGACGGGTTAATGGGAGTATTTTATGGCTCCAATACCAACATAGTGGTAATTTGTCATGCAGCCGATTAATTGACCCTGTACAATTTGAAATCTTTATGAAATAAATGCAAACTTACTAAAGCAACAAGGTGTTTGCACATTTGTTTCCTGCAGGTTGGGGTGTGAGCTGGGACGTTTGCTTAATCTAAGTTTAGTTGACATTATAGATCAGCTTTCAAATATAACTTTGACTCAGAAAGTGAAGCACTATGGCTAAGTATAAGCAAACACTTACAGCTAAATCTCCGCGGAGAATGTCACTTTTATTTAATTTATACTATATCTAATGTGTAAATAGTCTGTCACTTTAAACAACCTATGTGACCGGTTTTAGTAGACACGCGTTGTTCCGTAGCCTTAACACGGCAATCTGTGAAAATAATAAAGGGATTATCCACCTTGGTGAACTATCTATTCTATGCTTATTTATGGTCTCGTTTTACCCTCGTGTTTCCGTACATCTTTGTTGTCTTTAAAGTCCAAATATAACAAAAAGACCAAGTTCCATATTTTAACAATTAATTTGCAATCCTAGACAGTTCTATTCAGATTTATGCTTGTCAGAAAATCCCTTTATCAATATATAAAATATATTTTCTTAATATAAAAAATTTAAGAACAAAGAGAGGTAATCAAGTCATTTATAACTCAAGACGTAGGGTGGAGCAACTAGTATGCTTAGCTGTTTCAAATTTAAAAAGGATTTGAATCTCATTCAGTAGGGGATTGAAGGTTTAACTGCGTCTCTCATATGTGCTGGTAAATTTGACTCACTTATTATCTTCTTTTAATCTTTGCCTGGTGAAAACTTAAAATGATGAAGCTCCAGGGGGCATATGTGCCTAGCAAGCTTCACATAAAACTTGCCAACGTAATCTTATACCCTATTTTAGAATAAAATGTACAGCTTATCTTTTAATTTTTTATTGGTATACAACTTAATTGCATTGTCACTTCTAAGTGCATGCTCGTAACCTCCAGCACGGTGCTTTAGGCCTACATCTGAATTAGGCCTATTTCCATGACATTTGAATAAGGATAAATGGTTGACTCAAATAAGTTTCTGACTATGCTGGTTATTGCTCACTTATAGGCAAGTTCTTAGGAATGTCTGTCTAAACATTCCTTTTTTTCCTTTTAGATAGTTTATGCTTATGTTTGAAGGTTAAACACATCCCTTATCACATTAAATAATAGAATCTTCCCCAATTTGAAAAAAATGCACTTGTTGGTGGTAGTTGGTATATACCACAGAATTGTTGTTGATCTTATACTTTTTCTGCGCTTTCTTTAAAGAAATTTTTGACTAAACTGTCAATAAAATTTGATTATCAGGATGACCTAATTTGGACTTTTATTATTTGATTTATACCTGTGGGAGTCGGCAATGTTACGCCAATATTGAATAAGCACTTCTTACGTGTACCAGAACAATGGACTAAATTATTTATGGTTTAATCAATAATCCGTCAATTCAGTGATAATGGATAGAGAAAACCAATGGCATTATTCCTATACTGCATTAAGTATGCCTAATTAAGAATTGGAACCTTACAACAAAAGGGGGTCAATCGGGCGAAAATGAAGTGAAAAACTAACGGTAGTACAAGTAAGGCAGGTAATAGTTGAAACCCAGGTGACAATAATCACTTTCTTGCATGTTCCAAACTGTCATTGCCAAATAGGCTCTCCATTCACTGTGATGATCTGTGCAACACGTGGAATGCTCAACGAAGCATGCACGTGCAATGTCTGAGCGCATTCTCAAATAGGAAGTTAAAACTCTCATCCCACAACTTCGTCCTAAATTGATTAAATCACAAAAATATAGAGACAAGAAATAGTATAAAGCATTAATTAATGAATTAGAACAGCCCATGTGTTTTTTTTTTCTACTCCCTGACCACAGGGTCCACTAGTACATGTAGTCTGTTACAGAATTATTGTATATTCTTATCATTTGATATCTGATAAGTTATAACGATCTTTGCTTTGTTGACATGGGAAAATTACAGTGCTCAGCACTCTTCTTCTTTCTATTTCATAACAATCAACAGCTAAAGTGTGTACTCTTCATAGAAATCAATAACATAAATATGTCATTTCTGTTTAATTAATCAATAATTATAATCAATAATCAAATGAATTAATTTTTATTTGATTTAAGAATTGTTGCATTATTTCATATTAGAAAAAATTTCTAACGTTAAAGAAGCAATGCTGGCGCTTAAAAATGTCCCAAATTCATATTTTCTGTCCACATATCCTGCAGAGCCACTTATCTCTCACAATTCAGACCTCAAAAACGAATAGAAAGACTCCTTTAATAAAAGCGTTTGATGTGGATATTTCCTTCCGAAATGTACGTGGCAGTCTAAACGTGTTGTCAGATTATTAGAACAGAATTATCTTATTCTCGAGTAAATTCGACTTGGCGCGAAAATCCCGAAAAAGATATCACTAAAGAGTAGTTTACTGCAACGCGCAGCTCATCTCAGAAGTGAGTTCCCAGTGTGGTCTCAAACTCAGGGGAACAGTACCCGCCCGTACCCTCTACAAGGGTCACAAAATGATTTTCACTAGATATTTCTCACATACGTCTCTGGCTTAGGCATGAAACTCATTAAACATGGAACTCAGTCCAGTGAAGGATTTCAGAAGCTGTACAAATGAAGCATCCTGACGCAATCGAGGCGGGTAGATGAATGATTTTTACAACCTTTTGTTACGGCTGGCCTATGCGTCAATTACTACAGGTTTATTGTTGTTTTATTTATTTAATTAAGAGTGAAGAGTTTACAAATTATTTGTTTTCGTTTGAATAGATGAATTAGAACATAAATATATTTGTATACGGTTCACGGATGATTAAAATATTGTGGCTAGGAGGGTAGATGAGTGGTTTTTACAGGTGTGGTGTGAGTTACTGTTCATTTATACAGACGAAGTATTCTTATGTACGTTGAATGTTCTTATTCGTTCAGCCTAGAGTCGCCGTATAGCAAATGTTTACAGTGTATATTGACCAATTAATTTTTGTATGCCTTATTTTAGTTTTATGTTTACAATAAAAGTCACTGGGCTCTCGCACATTTTTGCTACGGATGGCTTATGTGTCAATTACTACAGGTTTACAAGTTGTTTTATTTGATTAATTAAGAGTGAAGAGTTTACAAATTATTTAAGTTCGTTTGAATAGATGAATTAGAACAAAACTATGGTCATGGCTACAGTCTACCAGGGCCGCAGTCATTATTGTGGACATTTTTTGCTGATACTGGCATCAGACCAAAATGACTGTCTATATATCTAGACACCTATCTGTGTGAATATCTGTGAAAAATCTATCTGTCGCCCTGGTAGAGGGTAGGTCATGGCCGTGTTTTAAAGAAATTGTTACAGTTACTGAGCAGACTGAGCTTAGTCCACCATCAAAAGTAGATGTACAGTTGTAGTAGTGTCATATTTGAAGTGTATTTTTTACAATGACAGCATATTAGACCATAAACAGCCCTGATACCTGGTGATCTGAAAAGAAAAAGGTAACTTAGTCACGCAACCATGTCAACGAAGAAAAGGTTGTAGGAAAACTGAGAGAAGCCTTGTGCATACAATCGGGAATTTCCATCTCCTAAAAATAAACAAAAAGACCCATACGCCATTGCGAGACTATAAATAGACACCCCCCAGCAGTGCATACATAAAATTTTGCGTCGGCATATTTCCATTTGCAATCACTGCGTAGTCAGTGTTACCGAGAAAATTCAGGCATCTCATGCAAACCCCAGTTCAACTCAGCAGTCAAAATGAACGCTGGGGGATATGATGAGGAGCTGATAGAGTTTATAAACCTCAGCACTACGGAGAAGGATGTACTAACCTGCAATGTGTGGTAGGACTGTACAATAGACTGTTTATAAGTTCTTATTTAAAAGTATGACTTAATGTATTTTTATGTACCAGTACCTGTTTTGGATTTTTAAAAAATCCGAGGTCGCACATTATACTGTGTAGAAGAGTTTTGAATGCACTTGAATAAAGTGCCAAAAACGCCCCTTTAAAAGCATATCAGTTATTTCTATAAAATAAGGAACCCAGTATAGCCATACTAAGACTGCTGATTAATATGGTTAGAGACAACTCAATAGTTAATCCTCTCCAGACAAGGATACCATGTGCAGCGCTTCCAAACACTTATAAAGTCTTGCTAGATAGTGTTTTGCGTTGCCGTTTCGACGAAAAGATGTTTTACTTTCATTTTCGACCTTCGTTCACGTGACTAACAAATATGGAATGCAGATCTGAAGCGAAGGTCTTTATAATTGGGTCATGCAATCTAGACTGCATTGTATAAAAAGACCCAATAAAAAGACCTAAATCATGTAAATAATTCGTAGCGCAAAACAGATTTATTCGTTACCCTCCGATTTAGATTTTACCAAGTGCATTCTAAACTCTCTGAGGATGAGCATACCATCATGTTAGTGTTTTTAAAATAAATATTTTATATTCCCTCGTACTTTTATCTTAATGGTTGTCATATTTTCGATTCAGCTGGAATGTTGTTCGGAAAGCAGTTCGATGTGGAGAATGTGAGAAATATTTCTGTGGCGGTTGCATCCATAACTGGAACAAGGAGGGACGGAACAGTTGCCCAACTTGCCGAAAATCTATGACCAGGAACTTCGGACCTGACCTTGAAGTGGACGCTAGGCTAGAGAGAGAGGGTGTTAGGTGTAAGAAGTGCCCTTGGAACGGGCTGCTGGTCCAGTGGGGCGATCATCGGTGCTGTGAAGGACACAGGCCTCAATCTAGCAGGTGAGTGAAGAAAAAAATTGAAATAAAATATTCATATTATTATTAAAGTAGGCCTACTAGTTATTTATTTTATTAAAGGAAATATAAATATTAGCTTGCTTAGTAGGACATGTTGGTTTTACAATAGATGCACGCACGCACACACACACACACACACACACACACACAGAGAGAAGATATGCACTGAAGATGGTAAAATAATGATAAAGTATAAATAACTGGAATTATAAATGATTTACTTTTCTCAAGAGAACAATTCACAGTATACCTATATAAAGATTTAACACATGCATTCATACATGAAATGGCCATCTCTGTCTCCCTCCTATCACACACACACGCGAGCGCGCACGCTGCTGACACGCACACACATCCCCCCCCACACACACACAGTGTGAAAATCATCCACCATATGGTTTTACTGTCTAAGAACTGCCTTTTACATTATCTTAACACGCTTGATGATTGATGTATATATCACCTGATGCATATTGTTTTAGTAATAACGTAGACGTGGTTGGAGAACTGTACGGAACGCTTTCCTCCGGGGACCAAGTGCTGAGTGAAGAAGAAGAAGAAATGATGAACATTCTCCTAACAGCTGGCATCGTGACTGGAGAGTACGTTGAGAAGAAACAAGAAATTCACCTTCGTTTATAATATGATTTACTATTAGATAATGCGAACTTATTTTAATAAATATCAGTTCATAAACACGTCCATCTATGCGCATGTAAAGTATTATCGCCAAATTTATCTTCTTGTGTGCCTTTGTAAATCACTCTCTCTGAACTATGCGCACCTGCATTTACCATTCAGTTTATGCACAAAAATATAAATAGGGATAAAATACTCAGCTGTTGATTAAGTGAAGGAATGAAAAGAAAACACTCAATGTAGAAGAAGAAAAATACTAAACTAGTGACCTAATGACGATAAGGAAAATGAACTCCCCTCCCTTCCCCCACATTACCAAACCTCGGTTGCCATCTTGAACAGTTTTTTTCTATCTGACCCGCAACCAGTGTGTGTATGGTTAAGTTTACTACGCTTGATTAAGGCTTTTAAGGTGATATTCATTTACTCATCAACTTTTACAGTGATCTTCATTCTCCGAATGGTCAGCGTCGACCTGTGCCCGAGTTGCGGGAAATTCTTCAGGCCGCAATGAGGCGCCGTTACAGACATCTTCCGCCCCTCCTACACCGTCCGGGATTACGACGTTTAATACTGCTTTCCACCAGACCACACAATCGGAGGTCGTTACATAAAATATTATTATCCGTCTTTGCCAAAGTTAAATAAAGTCATTTTTACTTTAATGCTTTTCAAACCATTCGGCATCGTGAAAATAAACTGGTTTAGATGTCCCTCACTAATTATAACAGTAGAAAAAAGTAGGTTTGCTGCCAGCACCAATGATGAAAATTGGTGCAAAAAATCACCAAGATTTTTTTTAATTGCCTAGACTTAATTTTGATATATTCTCTTAAAGAGCCCCTTTCCCGGAACAAGGTCCCTCAAATGGAGGGGCACATGGTGATTCCTTGACAACGGAAGAATCCGAGATTCTTGATGCTCTTCTTACGTCCGGAGTACTTACGTCCGAGTAAGGTTCCATAGTTGAGAAAGAGGGTGGCATTTTGTTGATTTGTTTTTATGATAAAAATATCGGAAAGCCAGACAATATCTTCATCATAATTTCATAATCCTTCCAAGCTTTCATTCCGAATAAATCAACATACTGATGGTCACTTAAAGATAAAACAAAACAACAAATTGGGGACATTTTAGTTGTCTACTAGAAATAAAATGTTGAGAGTGATTTTGGGTTAATGTAGTACACGTACATACCTTACTGATCGAAATTGCTTCATTCAGGGACCTTGCCGTAGCTGAGAGTCAGAACATATCTAGGAAGCAGTTGCTTAGAAGGTTTATCAAGGAACAACAACAAGCCTATACATGTGCCACGCCCCACAGAGAAAGGTGCTTTAACACGTACTGGATGTTTCTTGTAACCTTTGGTCTATGTGGTCATTATAAGAAGGATAAGGGAACCGTGCTGTACTTTTAGCCTTATCTTGAAAATAGTTTTTTCTTTTGTCATTATCTATTGATACAGGAATACTTAAATATTATATATTCTCCATTCAAGTATAACCGAGATATATACAAAACACAGCAAACCATAAATATTAATTTACTGTATTGAGAGCTATTCATGAAAAAGAAAAATATCACGATGCCTAACACTTATCAAGGTATAAGTCGGTATCTGTATTTATTACAATAGTCACTGAAGCTTGAAACAAATGGGAGTTTTTGTGCAATAACAGAATACCTGACAAAATAAATCAATAATAAAAAATACGAACTAAGTAGATGAAAAATATAAAAACGATCATACCAGCAATCTTACTTTTTCCAGACGGCGCCATAGACACCCCCTGCTTTTAATTTTCGGTCCCGGTGCAGCGCATGCTGGTTTACGTAGACAGTTTGTTCCTACAGATAATTTGGATGATGAAGTTGCCCCACACCATTTCGTCCGTCTTACTGGCCACCGCTTCCCCGATGAACTAGTGGCTCCCCATCATCACCATACTGACCACGAATTTCCGTTAAATGGGGCTAGTAGTGCTTTGCTCGGATTGAACGGGAATCAGCGTGGCCATGTCGGTTTGGATATGAATAACACTGAGGAAGAGTCAGAAGAATCGGATCCAGCATTGCCTGCTGATGGCTGCTCCATTACATGAATGGCACGGGAAATTACTTGACAGCCCGACTCGAAGGAAAGACGTACTTTGATTGTGTAATTTATGTTGCACCGGGGCTTGTGTATGTACATGTTCTAAATAAGTATGTTATGTGATATGTTACTAAAAAGTTTGTCTAATTAAGTTGAGGGCAAGCACAAATGAAGTCCTGTCACAAATTTGAAAATTTGTATATTATATATAGGCTATTTATTAAGTCTCAAGTTAACTGTTTTTTTTTCATTAGCATGTAGGATAGGCATTTCAGATCTACTGTATGAAAATATTTATGTTGCAATCATGGTGACAGGATAATCAATTGAATCTGAACATTTTCCTTGAAATTTTATTTAAAATAGTTTGATCTCAGAAGTATATTTATGAACAAACATTACAAGGTTTTTTTAATGTTCTAATCGAAATTGTATAGCTAAAAAGTACACGAAAAGCGTTCTTGAAAATCCCTATATTTTTCCTCTGGCGGAAGAAAAACGAAATATGATTTATAAAGAAGTTTTAATTAAAATATCCTCATTACAAGCTGTGTTTCATTTCCTATCAAAGCAAGTTCTAAGCGTTCCTGATCAGTGATAAATGTTACTGTTTTACATTTCAAATAGATAGTTGTATTTGTTGTATAGCTTAAATGCCCATATGCATCTATGTATGTTCCAATACGTAAAACAATGAAGTGAAAATTAGATCAAATGAAATTTCTTTGCATTAAATTTTTCAAAATGGAAAGGCCCATTGGGTTTATGTGTGGCACGTGGTACAAGTTTATAGTTGAACTCGGGAAAAGCTTTTTTATGTTCTAAAATCGCCCGCGTAACTGTAGATTTGACATTCCCTTGGGGTAGTAGGCCTAAAGATATGTAAATCTATCAAAATAAAGAGGTCAACAAATACATGTATCTAGAGGTCAACAAATACATGTATCTAGGTCTCCTTCTAAATCGATCAGGAAGCTTTACAGAAACCAAAAATAATCTCCTACAACGTGCTACAAAGGCATTCTTCAGTCTGTCCAAGTCTCTTCCACTTCAGAGTAATGTTAACACATCCTTAAAAGAGAAATTATTTGATACCCTCATTTCCCCAATCCTTACATATTGCTCAGAGATATGGGGCTACTCGGTGTCAACGGATAACTGCCCTACAGAAAAGTTGCACTTAAAATTTTGCAAACAAATCCTTGGCCTCCATCAAAACGTATCAAACTATGGTGTATACACTGAACTTGGCCGCCTTCCCCTCTATGCAAAAATACAGTTTGCATCTGTCAAACTATGGTGTAAAATTATTCAAATGTCTGATGCTACACTAATGAAACAAGCATACATACAAGAGATAAATAGTTACAAGTTGCTGACACCCTATGTCCCACCCGCAGTCCACACACTCAGACCAGCTTGTATGTCATGGTCTGAGGGTATCCGAAAAATCCTTTTCACATTTGGCCTTGGTGATGTGTGGCTTAGCCAGTCACCTCCAAAAAACTTCACCACAATTTTCAAACAAAGACAAACTGACCACTTTACCAAAATATGCAATAGCAAACTTCAAGCCAACAGTAAATTATCTCTCTTCCGTATACTTAACCAAAAGTGTGAAAGGGCAACTTATTTTGATAAAATAACAAATTTCGACACCTTGTCAACCCTTGCTAAACTACGTCTTAGTGACCATAAACTCCACATCGAAACTGGGCGGCACACCAGGCCAAAAACTGAAAGGTGCGACAGAATCTGTCACCTGTGCACACAAGGGGTAATTGAGGATGAATACCATTTTATATTCCAATGCCCAATGTACAAAACAGACCGAGTCACCTTTTTCAGTAAAACCTCATTCCTAAAAGCTGATTCAAGGTCACCAGACAGTCAATTATGCCATGTATTTAACAGTGCCAACAAAGATACTTTAGTGTCCCTCTCCAACTTTATAATCAAATCATTCAAGAAAAGAAGTGAAGTGGTTGCTCTGCTTGGTAACTCTTAGCATATCCCTTAAAATGTCAGTGTATGGTCCCACTGTTGTGAGAAGTGACTCGGCAGTGGGACTGAACATGGCACAATATTTATATCTGTGTAACTTATTTACTTATATGTCTTATGTAATTGTCATTAATCGTAATTATCAATGTCATCAAACAGCCATGTAAACAGCTATGTAACGGTGGTTTTAAGTTCTTTAAAAACATATTCTTTTTGTGTAACATGTTTATAGTATGTTTATGGTAAATTTATAATCACACCAAGGTTTATCTCAATGCTTAGATAGAATATTTTATGAGTAATTTTACTAGTACTTATCTTCATTATATAAAGATGGTAATACACTAACTGTATTGTATCATCATTTGTATATCATATTGAACAAGGTCATGACAATCTATGTACCAGTACAGAAATAAATTGAATTGAATTGAATATCAAAATAAATAATAATAACAAGTTAACAAATCTAGGAAGTTTAGCTCATTAAACGTCATATGTAAAATAATAATGATAAATTTCCTCTACTGACCCAGTTTATCAAGTATTCGGTCGAAAAACCAACTTATCTGGTCCAACTAATGAAATTGTGTTAGTTGCGTAAGTATTTTTCACTCATCTATGCGCAAGGATACATACGAACTACATCTTGTCAACGGGAACAATCCAAGCGTCCTACTCGATTCGTACACAGATTCCAAGGATTCAGACATGGCGTGCGTATTTCTTTTATCAATTCTTCCTTATTAAATCAATCATGTACGTCACTTAGACCTTAGTTTTGTCTAGTTCAGTTGTTTGATTTTTAAATGCATGTCGCAAATTAATTGATGTTTAAGTTGATGTGCTTGTAATATGTACCGCCATCTTGATAAATTTGTTTTAACTTCAAAGTGCAAGGAATATCTCAACAAGCGGCGTTTGTAAAATTTCGAAATAAAGCCAAAGCAAATTTGCAAATATTTGGAGGCGATACTTAGTTAGCAGTAATTGAATAAATGACATATCTGGTTTCAGGAACAATGAATGCAGAATTTACGTGGGAAACCTTCCCCCAGACATCAGAACAAAGGACATTGAAGATTTATTCTATAAGTTTGGTCGCATAACCTTCATCGATCTGAAAAATAGGAGAGGTCCACCATTTGCTTTTGTAGAGTTTGACGATCCAAGGTAATGTCTTAGAATTTTATAAATGGAACTGGTCTTGGTGTGACTCAGCACCGAATGGCTATCGGCCCACATCATATTATTTTACCTATCTTAGCATCAAACTATCATCTGTGCCCATTGTAAACCCCTTACAGATGCAGTACAGTGCTAGTATCAGATCTACTATTTACGTAAAAATTGAACAAATTGGTTCTGCTTCAAAGTCATTTTTATGCACACAAGTAATGTCCTACATATATTTTCAGCAATAGGTCTGTATTTTAACTCCTTCGCTACTCATTGTAAGCTTATAACACCCCTCCACTTAATAATACTTTCTTGTTAAGTAGATTCCATCAGTGAAAATATTTTTATTAATATTCCAGGGATGCTGGGGATGCAGTGCATGCACGTGACGGCTATGACTATGATGGCTATAGACTGAGAGTAGAATTTCCAAGGGGATCTGGACCTGGTGGCCCTCGTGGAGGTGGAGGCGGTGGACGTGGTGCAAGGCGAGGAGGACCCCCTTCAAGAAGATCAGATTACAGAGTTTTGGTGTCAGGTATACAATGGTATTATCAAATTATCCTAGGAGGAGGCTCTTCCGGATGAGAATGAAGGACAAGGACCACTTTTACATAACTCAGGATACTGTGTAAAAGATGGTTTTTGCAAAACCAGCAGTAGAGGAAGACAACATCTCTCTATTTTGAATAGGTTTGAGTGTGTGAAATGAGGTAATTTCTGTGGGTAAAAATAGTCAATTAGGTAGCAAAGAAATATTTTATTTTTGAAGTTTTTTCAGTCCTTTGCCATTTAGGTATATTATTTGCTATATACCAATCTCTGTTCCCTCACAAGGATTGCCCTCTACTGGAAGCTGGCAGGATCTGAAGGACCACATGCGTGAGGCTGGAGATGTTTGCTATGCAGATGTTTTCAAAGATGGGACAGGGGTGGTGGAGTTCCTCAGATATGAAGACATGAAATATGCTGTGAGGAAATTGGATGACTCTAAGTTCAGGTCACATGAGGTGAGAAGATTCTGTAATAAGTGTTAATATTGGAGGTATGCAATATCTGGTGAGAGAGACTGTTGACAAAATTTACAAAATACAAAGTGTAAGTGATCTTGTGAAAAGATTCTTCATCAGATGTGAAAGTGGATACCTTGTATAGTGAGGGGCAATTACTTACAGCAAAGATATTGTAAATAAAAATAACATTGTACATCCTGATAACTGAATTGCAGCACAGATCAGTTTTTGCCATGGAATTTCAAATATAAGACCTCTCTATTAGTGTTATAGTGGCACAAGGTTAAGTACAGGATAGTCTGGATTATTAAACAGCTAAATAAGGTTTTGTGTAATGTTTGTCTCTTGTTTGCAGTTTTATTTACATAAAAAGGGAAAACCTAATATTTCCAGGGAGATACAAGCTACATCAGAGCAAAAGAAGACTCCAGTGGTAGGAGAGATGGTGGAGGTGGCCATATGGGAGATGGCATGGGACGAGGTGGTAGAGATCGCTCAAGAAGTCGTAGTTTTTCACCACCAAGACGCAGTAGAGGGTCACCAAGCTATTCACCGATGAGAAGAGCTTCTCCATACTGAGTTATGCGGTTTAATTTTCACAGCAGCATCTTTTGAGTGCTTTGACTGTTGTCACATTTATAAAGACTTATAAAGATTTCTCAAGTAAAGTGGACCAAAGGTTTTCAATGTAGACTTTCAAGTGGTTAAAGAAAGTGATTTTTCTCATAATTATAAATAGATTGATTTTTAATTGTCTGCTGAATGACATTTTTAACATGATATTTTTATTTCTTAGAGACTGCATTTGAAGAGGTATAAGGTGTCATAAAATTTCAGAAAAAAAATGTTTGAAATATTTGCATAGACATTTGAAGATGCTTCATTGCATGGTTTCCATTGCAGTTTGAAGATTTGGTCTGTGAGTTTATGTCCTCTACTTACGTCTCCCTAGAATGAATGTAGTGTGAATGGTTGGTTGAGATTCTTGCACATATTATCCTCATTGCTAAAACAATATATATTTCACAAGCTAATTCACAATTTTATTTCTATTTGATATAAGGTGCTTGGGAGTCTCCTGCCATTCTTTTACTGGATGCGGAAATACAGGGATCATATTAGTATATAGGATAGGAGGATTTAAACATAGGAGGAAACCTCAGGATCCACTAGGATCACTGGATTGTTTGGGAGATAGGGATAAGTTTGATGTTCGTATAAATATAAATTTGCATCTCTCAAAAATTAAAACTGTTTATTTTGGAAACTAAATTGCCTAAAATTTTCTTGAGTTAATGAAAAATATTTAAGTTAATACAATTTCATTCCATAAAAAAATAAAGCTTATAAAAAATGAATGCCCCTAAACATCACAAAAGCAAAAGAGGAAGTGGATCATATTTGGAAAAGGCAAAAAATCGGATGGAGCAGTTTCCTCTATGACGGAACAAGTCTCACAAACTAAAACTTAAGTCCTTTGGAATGAAGATACTTATTACTGGAGGTCTTGTCTAGGAGAAATCTTGGAATTCCAAAAACTAATATTAGGAATAGGAAAAGATCTTGACTCTGCATATGGATTGGTAATATTATAACATGGAAGGAGACCTTTAACATAGTTCTTGCACTTTCATTAGGATAAGGAAACATTTTTGGGAAGGAAATTGCGAGGGAAATGTGGAAGACCTCATTAGGAAAGGAAAATGGGCTCATAAAGGAAATGATGGTATAGTATTGAAATTGGTTACATGTTGGGTTTTATATCTACAATTGCCCCTTCTTTTACAGATAACCTTCTGTGTGTTCTGTGTTAATTGTGCACTTGTCTAGTCTTGTGTGTGTTTGAATGTTGAAAGTGTGGGAGAATGGATGGTAAGATTGGCTGAATTTGACTGTCTTCACTGGAATAATGTCTGTTTGAGCATTTCCCTGGAATTGTCAAATGCAGTTTGAATAAAAATTTTGAACTTGATTCCACAATTTGTTTTGTTCAATTAATTTTAAAGTATAATGGAGAAAGAAAGATCTTTTACTAATTGTAAACTCCCTAGATGAAAGTCAGATAAGTTGGTAGGCATTCCTGACATTTTTCCCTTGTACAGTACATCCTAAGTAATATTTACACAGAGGAGCTTTTGAATGCATCGAAAAGCTCCTGTTGAGCTGCATTTTGCAACCGGTTACAAAATGCATTCAGTTGCAAAATGCGGTCCTACTAAGCAGAGACGCATTTTGCAACCAAAAAAAATTGTGATAACGCATTTTGCAACTACAACGCATTTTGCAACCAGGATTTTTTTCTAAGTGCCTAAAACAGTTTAAAGCACGAAACGGGTAGAATTAGAGTGGGGGCGGGTTTGCTTCGACTATGTATGCTGAAACTAGCCAGGTTGCCCCTGGGATGGAAGATAATATAAAACTTATATTATGCGTTTTCATGATTTTCTTTGGTTGCAAAATGCGTTCAGTTGCAAAATGCGGCTCGCATTTTGCAACTGAACGTATTTTGCAACTGGTTGCAAAATGCATTTGGTTGCAAAATGTGGCTCTAAAGCTCCTTACATCCACATAAAGATTGGACATTTAAATTTCTGCACAAGCTCCATACTGTGCGAGTACATTTGAAATGAGGAAATGTTACATGGTGCTCATTATTTGGACATACTGTTCTTTTCTATGTGAAAAAAAAAACGACGAAAAATGAAAGACCTGGGCTTGAAAACACGGAAACAGTATATATTGCAACTGCCTTCTAACATTGTGATCAGTTGCTATTTGTGGTGGCAATTTCCCCCCCCTCCCCCATAAAAAATTACTTAATAAATTCTTCATCAGTATAATTTTTGTCTGTTGAAATAATATTCTTTATGCATAGCTTTCTTCATATGAAAATTTCTTTAAAAAGAAGCGTTACCGAGTTGCCAAGATCTCATCCTTTTTATCAGAGGTACTGAGTGAATCAGCCTTTATAAGCTTCCTTGCTTTATCATGTGCTACAATGAGTGAAAAATAAAAATTGCCATCAAGTTCAATTACATAAGACATTTTAAAATGATGAATGCCGTTTCAAGGTCAACTTGCTGCAAATAATAGCCTCGCAAAGAGAGATGATAAAACCTGCGAAACAATTTACTCCCTTCAAGAGATGAGTGTTTTTGCTGGATGGTAATTAAAAAGGTCTGACATAAATAATGTCACTCACTTGAGCTGATTGCATCTGGCAAGTCTCCATAGAGTTGGGTCGATCCAAGTAGACCGATGGTGTGTTTTTCACACCAGATGCTTTTGATCCTACCTCCTCCGTAAGATCTCAAATACAGTCACAGATGGGAAAGAGGACTTCAAGGTCATAAGTTAAAGGGATAACTACTGTTTGTAAGATATCTATATTTCACTATAAATATATTGCAAACAACTCATAGAAATATAATAAATTCTATTTTACCATCAAAACAGCAGTTAACACATTTATTCTGGGGTTTGTGCTTGTCATCGCATCACGTGACCTCCATAGATGGATACACTATGTAATAATCTCTTAAGAGAATATTACAAAAAAAACAAACTTTTTTTAGAAAAAAATGGACTAACTTCAAATGTGGGAGTGAATTCATTAACCATTGGGAAGTAAGAGAAAATTGTCCTTTACCCCAGGAAAATTCATTTTTTGACCAAAATGAACAGTTGTTATCCCTTTAAAAGGCAAAAGCCAAACGGATAAAAAAAATTCTGCACACCTGTTTCTTTGGTTAGATATCATATGTGAAAGTATTGTGTTAGCAAATAATCAGGGCACCAATAATTTTTTCTGTAAAAACAATCTGGCATTTTAATTTTTATAAGTTTAAGGGACCATTCCCACAGATATTTGGATCTATCTATCTCTCTGGGGAGTCTTACTAAATTTGCTATCATCATAACCGTCTTAACTGTCTGTCACCCCTAATGAAGCCATTAGGGGGGAATTATCTTTACCCCCAGCTGATTCGGTAGGCGTGACAGACATTTAAGCCTCTTGAGCTGATAGCAATTTAGCAAGAACACCCAGGGAGTTGGGTCGATCCAGATGGATCGTTCTAAGTATGGGAACCCAGTCTTCTTTACAACCTTCATTGGATTGGATCAGGATACTTTTTCTGACAGATTTAAACACCGTTCATTTTAAAATGAAAAATAATTAAGGCAACATGAAAAAAGTGTGTGGTGGGGGGGGGGGGGAGGGAGGTTGTGCAGTCATATTTTCTCTTTAAAAGCTGTCTAAATTATAGAAAATACTGTATCTCGAAACTCCCAGTATTAAGCGCCTTTTTTTGTTTAAAGAATTCTTATCTTTTTAGTCAAAATACTACATGATTATGAGACTTAGCACTTTGTCATGATTCTTGTACCAAAATCCATAGCAAAAAATGTGTAAACATCCAATTTAAAAATTGAAATAAGAACCAGTTTATCGTAAAAATAATTTCTTACATCTTTGTATCAATTCTGTTGTTCAATATTTGGTCTTTAGAAACCTTTCAGTTATCTTTTCAGACATGAGCCTAGGTTTTCAAAAAAATAACCTTTGAACACTTATTGAATCTCAGCGTGACAAATTTCAGGAACCATCAGAATTGACTTTAAAAACGCAGAATTCCACGTTACCTCTGAAAAGCTTATGTCTGATCTTTTTCAAAACCTTTAAATTTAATTTGAATTTCTGCATTGAATTCATTAAAAATAAAAACCACAAGTAAAAATAAAAACAAAACAAGATCATAAGATTCATTTACAAATTTTATTCAAAATTATAAAAAAATTACAATCCCAGAGATGTGCTCAAGCTGACTTTTTACCAGTGCTGTCAAATTCGGCCAATCTTACCATCCACTCTCCCACACTTTCAACATTCAAACACACAAGAGACTAGACAAGTGCACAATTAACACAATATACACAGAAGGTTATCTGTAAAAGAAGGGCCAATATTATAGATATAAAACCAACATGTAACCAATTTTAATACTATACCATCATTTCCTGTATGGGCCCACTTTCCTTTCCTAATGAGGTGTTCCACATTTCCCTCGCAATTTCCTTCCCAAAAATGTTTCCTTATCCTACTGAAAGTGCAAGAACTATGTTAAAGGTCTCCTTCCATGTTATAATATTATCAATCCTGATGCAGAGTTAAGATCTTTTCCTATTCCTAATATTAGTTTTTGGAATCCCAAGATTTCTCCTAGATAAGACCTCCAGTACCCAGTTGCTTCATTCCCAAACTTTTTAAAGTGTTTTTAGTTTGTGAGATTTGTTCACAACGGCTCCATCCAATGGTTTTTTGAGAATCTTTCCAAATTTGATCCATTTTCTCAGTGTGGCCAGTTTTATCTTGAGCAAAGGTAAAAGGATATCTCCAAAATATTTTCAATTTGATTTCAGTGGAATGAATTACAGTCAAATGTTAAATTAACTTGTTTCTGAATGTTTATTATGGCCATATGCCTTCTTTTTCAACTAACAAAAAGTTAAAATCAATTTAGAAAGAAATGAATTTATATTCATCCAAAGATCCAGAATATTCCTATCTCCCAAACAATCCAGTGATCCTAGTGGATCCTGAGGTTTCCTCCTATGTTTAAATCCTCCTATCCTATATACTAATATGATCCCTGTATTTCCGCATCCAGTAAAAGAATGGCAGGAGACTCCCAAGCACCTTATATCAAATAGAAATAAAATCGTGAATTAGCTTGTGAAATACATATTATTGTAGCAATGAGGATGTTATGTGCAAGAATCTCAACCAACCATTCACACAACACTCATTCTAGGGAGATGCAAGTACAGGAAGTAACCTCTCAGATCAAAACTGCAGTAAGACCATGCAATAAAACTTTCTCAAATCTTTTCTCAAATCATTCAACTCAGTACTTATCTTCATTATTTGAAGCAATGTATCTCTGCTCATGTAGTTTCTAAGAGCTAAAAAAATATTTTCATGTTAAAATGCCAAGCAAAGTACAATTAAAAACTAATTTGTCTACTTATAGAAGAATCATTTTCTTAAGGTAACCACTTTTACTTCAAGTTTACATTGGAAACCTCTGGTCCACTTTACTTTATAAATCATTACATGATCAAAGTCTCTATAAATGTTATACAACAGTCAAAGCACAACACAGATTATGCTGTGAAAATTATACTGCATAACTCAGTATGGGGAAGCTCTTCTCATTGGTGAATAGCTTGGTGACCCTCTACTGCGCCTCTGGGGTGAAAAACTTCGGCTTCTTGAACGATCTCTACCACCACCTCGTCCCATACTGTCTCCCATGGAGCCACCACTACCCCGCCCACTGTAGTCTTCTTTCACTCTGATGTAGCCAGTTTCCCCCTGGAAATATCACAATTTGATCAATTTAATGAAAGGCACATTATACAAGTTTTTCATTGTATTTCAAATTACATATTTTGTAATACTGATATAATTGACCTCCCCTACAACTGAATTTTCCAAGTAAAAATGCTAAAAATGAATGTGGTCATTTTCTCTGCTTTGTCAAATGTTGAAGATGTGTGCCCTTCTTGGTAGTTATTAACATTTACAACACACCTCATGAGATCTGAACTTGGAATCATCCAATTTCCTCACAGCATATTTCATGTCTTCATATCTAAGAAACTCCACCACCCCTGTCCCATCTTTGAATACATCTGCATAGCAAACATCTCCAGCCTCACGCATGTGGTCCTTCAGATCCTGCCAGCTTCCAGTTGGGGGCAATCCTTGTGAAGAAACAGAGATCAATATATACTGAACATATTCTTCATAAAAGAACTGTGAATAAAAAAAAATGGTCCTCACTTTAATTTTCAAATTACACCTGTTGACAGTCTCATTTCACAAACAAAAAAACAACTGACAATCCAGATGTTGTCCTCCTCTACTGCTGGTTCTGCAAAATCCAAAAAAATTTTAACACAGTATCCTGTGTTATGTAAAAGAGATCCTTGTCCTGAGAACTTTCACTCTTATCCTGAGGAGCCTCCTCCCAGGTTAATGCAATAATGTCATAATTGTATACCTGACACCAAAACTCTGTAATCTGATCTCCTTGAGGGGGGTCCTCCCCGCCTTGCACCACGTCCACCGCCTCCACCTCCACGAGGGCCACCAGGTCCAGATCCCCTTGGAAATTCTACTCTCAGTCTATAGCCATCATAGTCGTAGCCATCACGTGCATGCACTGCATCCCCAGCATCCCTGGAATATTAGAAAATTGACTTCTATGAGGCAAAAACCTTTGTAAATGCATAGAAGTTGGGTTTGGTTGCGGTGGTAGGGTTACTTACTCGCTACAATTTGTTTATTTCAGACTTTTGAAAGAATTAATGTCATTAAGCTATAATAACAATGTATTATCAATAGGAATCATCAAAGATAGTCCAAAAACTTACAACTTAGCAAAATATAAAGGGAGATTTCATGGGATTGAACCCTCATCACTAAAAAACCTCACCTTGCCCAATATCTTGCATTTTCCAATCAGTAATGACAACACACAGTGACTTCCTTATGTATGAAATAACGTTTTCCTTGAATAAAAGGTAATATGATACAGGGAACTGCATCTGATAAGATTTTTTAACACAAATTTTATAATACTTTATAAGGTAACACATTTAATTTTGTTAAAAACATAAGCTACCTTGGATCATCAAATTGTACAAATGCGAAAGGTGGACCTCGCCTGTTTTTCAGATCGATGAAGGTTATGCGACCAAACTTATAAAATAAATCTTCAATGTCCTTTGTTCTGATGTCTGGGGGAAGGTTTCCAACGTAAATTCTGCATTCATTGTCCCTGAAACCAAGCAGATCGTTACATTAAGTCGACATATATATAACCACCCAAACAATTGTTCTGTTATTTGATTATTGTTTAAGAAATAAACATAAATTTTATTGGTGGAAATACTTCGCACACCGAAAAGGATTCCAAAAAATGGCGACCATGACAAAGCCAACACCGGTCAAGACTGCTAAATGCAACAATGTAATACCCCAAAAGATCAAACAACTGGACAAAACAAAACTTGATTTCTAGAATAAATGCAAGGTTAACATATTCGATAAATATATCAATGAAAATAGTATGCAAACATACCCCATTTCTGATACGTTTGAAACGACCTGCGTCTTTCGTTCCTATGCTGTGAATAAAATATAGTTCCTCTTTATCCTTGCGCGTAGTTTCGTCAGGTGTGATTAGAAATGTGCCGTCTCTGCACACCAAACGCAATTTCAGAAAAATTTTGTCATTTCAATTCCATATTTGAAGGTAAAGGAAATTAATCTATTTTTATCTACATTTTTACGACGAATAAGTTTACTTTTAATTTTGGTAGTAAAGGATATGTATGCATGACCCACTTGTTCAGATGCAAAAGAGAATATTGAACTTAACTTCGAACAGGAAAACTCATGTTTTAGTCTATTGTAGACTATTTTTTTAAACCAAATTATTCATTTGCTTCTCTTCAGTTCCCTAGAGAAAGCTTTTGGACAACGGCACTGTATATAACCTGCACATAAAGACTAAACACACTGAGAAAAACCGATGAAGCAGTCTTTAAGTCAAACTTCACTAATGATAAAAGGGGTTAAAATGAGATTACATTCAAAATGATGGCCATTGATGGTAGACTGAATTATTTCAATTTTAAAATTTAACAGAAAAATTAATCTGCAAAATGCATTTCAGCAATAATTTGAATAAATAAGTAAATTCTACATTGGGCACCAAAGAAAAAGTAATAATAAACTAAAGTTTCACTAAGTGCATTTAATTACCTCTGCTAATTTAAATTACCTTCCCTCAGTCCTACACTGTATAATATTATTTACAAAATAAATATATCATAAATCAGCTAACAAGCATACATTTGGTCTTTCCTTTGTTTCTGCTTGTATGTTTCTGTACATATAAATTGACCCAGGATACCTAGGCTCTCATTGTTTTTTTCATTTGAATATAAGAAGTAAAATGTACCGTCAAGAGAATCACAGCAATATTCAAGTTAAAAATACAAATTATCAGCTGCTAGATGAAAGATATCACTCCTGGCTTATTTAAAAAGGTTGCATTTATAAATGTTACAGCTAAACCTTGCATTTTATGTAAATATGCCTAAAATTATTTCTACCCATATTATAACTTAACCTTTATATGTCAGTGCATATGAACAATATTGGTCACACTTTCAGTTTCAAAACAATTTTGTACAAAACCATTTATTCATACATTAACAAATAGCATAGAAGCCATGTCATTTAGTACATTACATAATGCACTGGGTGATTATTGTCAAAAAATTATATAAAACTACTTGCTACATAAATAAATTAAAAAGAAGAACTCTGGTGTCTGAAGTCTTGATCATGTAAACAATTGTTATGTCTTCATTGCTGGTTGCATGTAGATTTAAAGCCTTTGTTTTATGGGCATATGTATTTCTTAAGCTAAGCTAAAGCTTAAATCCTGAATGTATAGCAGCAACTCCAAATGTCAGATTTTCAAAAGTCACCATGCTGAAACCAGCATCCTTTATCATGGCAGCAAACTCTTCCTGAAAAAAAAAGTTAAATTGAGGTTTGCATAATACAAGCTTTAAGAGTTGTAGAATGTGAGAACTAAATAAAAGCATGACTCCACAGTAAGGCCTTACAGTAAACAAAAGTGACCAATCTTCTAAAACCTGTCCAACAGAGGACCATTCAAACTGACTATGAGACCAAAAATCCTAATTCATGACATTTTTTCGAATAGCCTAACACTTTTGATAAATAAGATACACTTCAATATTACAGAAGGCTGCAAAAGATACCATTGACTGTATTCACCTGATTTGGGAACTGCCGTATACTTTCCACTAAATATTGGTATGATTTCCAGTCATTTGCGACGATTTGACCAAGCACTGGTATCACTTGGAAAGAGTAGTTGTCATAGGCACTGGAACAAATGGTATTAGGAATTCTTTTTTAAAATTATTAACACAGCCACTCATTTAAGCATTATCAAAGGACTTATCCTAAACAGTATGAAGCCACCTTAATTTCTTCTGAAATTCACATTAAACAACATAAAAGACTTAATAGTCAACTTACAAACTGAGCATAGAATTCTTAACTTCACTGAATTCTAAACACATGAATCTTCCTCCTGGTTTTATTACTCTGTATGCTTCTTCCAATACCTGAAAGTGAATTCATGCTTTCATGTAAAAAAAATTGCTGAAAAAATTAATGTCAGAAGATTAAATCTATGATCTAAAGCCTGCATGGCTGAGCCACAGGAGAAAAGGTATTGATATACAATACCTTGACCTGCCTACCTTATACTGGAAAAGTGATATCATACTCCCCCCCCCCTAAAAAAAGGGGATATGTTTAATTGTATATCTCACCCTATCTACATGCGTGCAATTCCTAATACCAAAGGCTATTGTATAAGCATCAAATGTGTTATCTGGAAGAGGGAGGTCTTCAGCATTGCCTTTTATCCAGGATATACCTATGAATGAAAAACATTACAAAATTATTGATATTTCTCTTTCATATTTATCATGTAAATGTTATTAGTTCATCTTATTACTAAATAAACACACCTTTCATAAACCAAAAAAATTTTTTGTTATAATTATAATAAGATATGCCTATGTCAATTCTAAGTTGAAGCTGTCAAATTGTTAAATAAAATAACAGATTGTTGAATTTTTTTTTTCTTTTTTTGTCTACTGCTGTTACAGGACTCACACTTTCAAGCTGGAGGAGATGAACTTTCCATGTATAAATTATTTAAGTCTATATCATTAGACCCACCTGAGGTAAAACCCATATTTTGAGCTTTCTCTTTTCCAACATCTAGCATAGCTTGATTTATATCACAAACTGTGACAGAAGATTTTAAAAAATGCTCAGGCATACTGTCACTTTCTTCAACTGATTTCTCCGCAGAGGCCAAGTCTTCAATATCTGGGTACATGTCCTTAGTAAATGATTCCCCTTGATTATTTAGGAATTCTAAGAATCTGAAGGCTATGTCACCTAGAATGTGCACATAAACAGTAATAAAAATTTAATAATATAAAAGTTTACTATGCAACAAAAGTGCCATGAAAAGTTTATTCAAGGCCATGAATGAAAAAATGAGCAGTATAATCAATATTGGGGATAAATCACACAGAATTTCTGGTGTATTGTAAATAAAGTAAATTTGCCAAAAAAAAAAAAAATCTTCATTTGCCAAATTGTTGAATTTTGTTTGAATTTTACATGTTACTGCCCATGGACTGTCACCTTGAACACAACAAAAAATTACTTTTGAATCCCACACTAGTCTATCAAAATCGGTTGAGCATCCAATATTCTATAAAACCACATTCTTTTTACACAATAGTAGACATCATAATATACTAATATAGGCTTGTGCAAAAAATAAATGACAATAATAAAAAAAAAAAAACATGCCAGTTAGAAATACAATAGAAACTCAGTCTTCATATCACCCTATAACCAAATCCACCCACCAAAAACATCTCAAGCCACACTGTCCTGTTCTTTGTTTGTATATTGAGCAAGATTTTGGCTATCGACTCCTCAGAATTATTTTAATCCTATAGCAGTGTTCATTGATAAGCATTTTAATGCAGTGTATAATCCTAGGGTTACTTTTACTTTTTAACTTCTGCAATCAACTGGCCCTTGAGATACATATTATTCCATAAATCCTCTACAGAGAAATTCTGAGACATTTGATCCATCCTGTGTTCTTTACCGAGTTTAAGCTGTAGAAAATAATTCCTCATTGAAGTATGTTCTAACTGCAGTTAAGTTATTGATGTATGTAAATGAAAAGGACTGTTATCGTTTGTTCAGTTCAGTAACAAATATTGATATCTATCGATTCAATCTCCAGTTTTTGTTGCAGTAGAATAAAAGAAACAAAGTCAAATATCATGCCAAAGGTCATTTTATTGAAAACAATAAAAAAAAAACTTATGAAGCACAATTCTATAAAAAATATTCACCTCATTTTAATAATGTTAATTCTGGGTATTATGAATACTAACAATACAATATAGTATGTTGTTTTAGAGAATGACAATGGTGGCCATGAGCCAATCTTTCAGCAAATGCTCATCTTTTACAACTTGTGTGTAATAATGTGTAAACCTGGATCTGATCAGTATAACTGTACTTGTAGCACCAAGAAAAAATGACATGTGCGTGCTTGTGCAATATAATATAATGTAAAGGCACACAATGATTGTTAAGTTTATTTACAGCTTACTGGAGTTGAGAAGTGTACCAAATCCACAAACAGGTTCACTAGCTCACCCTCTGATGGCCAGAAGGACAGCGACAAAATTGACACTTCAGAAGAAACTCCATGGGGTAAATTGGCCAATGATAACAACTTGGTGTTAGAACATCAGCGCATGACCAGTTTGTCCTGAGGAAGGCTCTTGAGTAGAGCTGAAAATTAGATGTTAAGAAAATATTTAGATAAAAACTATATGTGCAATGGTTAATTCAACATTCCATCAGCAGAAACTTTTCCAATTTGAGTTGAACTGAGACCTCCATCATGTCAGTATGTCAAATACCCTGATACAGAACTACAACATGTCGTTTTTGACACTAAGATGTGTATGCTGCTGATATTGCTAGCACAAAGGAATGATGAGATTACAACTATATATATGGAAATGTGTGAAATGACCATTTAATACAATCAAAAACATTAGCATTTAGCTCATACTTAATAAAAGAACAACATTAGCTTAATCAACAAATTACACCTTATCAAAGAAAAAAAATTAAAAATTATAATCTTTCTAGCCCATTTGGAAATTCAAGTTTAATTTGAAAGTCATTCTTATGATGGAGATGTAAACTTGAGAATTGTAGTGATGCTAAAATTAGGACTTCAGAATTAAATATTGGTTTATAGATTGAATTTCTAAATGATTTTGGTTGGAGTAAATAGAAAGTCTGGTTTACTCTAGCAATGCTACTGTGCCACTGATGTCAGCCTGGAAAATGTTTGGGCATGCCTGGAAAAAGTCAACAGCTATAAAAATACTTAATTCTTTCAATTTTTCATTGACAAGAAAAGAAATGATTATGCAATTTTAACTTAAAGTGACTTTGCTGTGCACCAAACTGCCACTTTTTGAAAACCGACTTTTTTAAAAAAAAAGTACATTTGTTCTCTCACACAACAAAATAGGAATGGTGTCACTTCAATTCGGCCACAGTTAATTTTTTATCTAATTTTGTAAACATTCCATTAAAACACAACATCAAGCTAGAGAAACATTTTTAATTATATCCCCAGTATTCAGATGAGTTTTAGGTGGATATATGCCCCATGTGCACATTTAAATTCTTTTTGAATACTATGAAAATCTTTACATAGGAAACTGTTACGTGAAATCTATTTGATTAAAATGTGTAATTGAAGTCAAGACATACCCTTGTCAAACACAGTAGGTCTTCATTCAGAACTTGAACTGCAAGTTTGTTTTGCATCTTGGTCTGGAAACAAGTTGCATTGTTAACTTATAACAGTACCTATGGAACTGATGAAGCTCATTTTCCCCTCTTAACAGCACTTGCTTTACTTATTTTTACGTATTATTAGGCCAAGCTGAAACAATAATAGATCACTATTACTTTTAGCTGGCCCTGCTCATACTGGTGTGACACAGCTGAGCAAATGGACTAAGGAAAAAGAAACACTTCAAATTTTAATACTCCTTAAACCATGATAAATCCTTTACACAAATCATAAGCAGGAAATGTAAATAAAAATTGACAAGTTTTCTCAACATATTGCTTGGAAAATTTTGATATCAATGAGATCTAAACATTTCAGTTGTTGTGTTTTGTTTACTTACCAAGTTGTTTATCCATCTGGTCAGTTGATCACAGCAGTGGACATCTTGACACTTTTGGTTGTCAATCAGGTTCAAAATTGGCCATGGTCAACCAAAAAATATCGATCCAAGGGGGATGGCTCCTTTTTCATAAAACCTGGTCCATCCCCACTCCAACCCACGTCACATCTGACTTTGCTGAGGTAGATGATGGCAGTCAACTGGGGTATGTGGGCATATGGACCCAATTTCATTCCAAAATCTGGGATGGACATACAAACGAAGAACACTACAATGTAGCCTGAGATGTTTTGGGTACATGGTGGATTTGGTTAGGGGGTAATATCTTGGCTGGTTTTATTCAAATTGACATTAAAATGGGTGTATTTGGAATTTTTTGTCGCACAGACTAACATTAGTGTAGAGTCTGACACAATGTATACATATAATAACTTGAGGCATAGGCCACCTACATGATCCTTCCAAAATATATACATGGGGCAAATTAATGAAATTCATTTAAAAATACCTAAAAGGATAACAACTGTTCATTGAGGCCAAAAATGGATTTTCCTGGGAAACGACAATAATTCAATGGTTAATGAATCTATTCTGACATTCAAAGTTAGTCATGTTTTTTTTTTTTTTTGGTAATAAATCTCTTAAGAGATTATTATGGAAGTACATCCATCTATGAAGAACCAAGTTGTTTGATCTCAAGCACAGATTCCAGAATAATTATGATAACTACCGTTTTGGTGGTAAATTTGAGTTTATTATATTTTTATGAGCTGCTTTATGATTTTATTGTGAAATATGAACCTCATATGAACAATTGTTATCCCTTTAATCAAAATAGTAACTTATAGTTTTTTTTTTGTATTACAGTAGCCTCATGTCACAAATATATAAATCAAACTCTAGAACCTATATTAAAGTCATAATAACTCTTCGTTTTGGCCAATTATTGGATTTTCCTGGAGTAAACGGCAATTTTCCCGTACTCACCAATGGTCAGCGACCCCATTCCTGCATTCAAAGTTAATCCAGGGTTTTTTTCCTAAACGTAGGGTTTTTTTTTTTAAATCTCTTAAGTGATTTTAACTGACGGAGCCCTTTCTAACATAGCATATCGAGCGGGGTTTTCTGATGACCTACTTAAAACCGCGGGAAAAGCAGACAACAACAACACTTTATTGCAATAAAATAAGATTCATACAATATAATCGTCTTAATTGCTCATATTCACAACGTGTGCAGTTCTGGGCTTTTCGTTATCCGACACACTGTACAAAAACTCGCAACTTATGTCTGAGGATTGTGTCATGCGCCTGTGTTATTTTGGTCTCGAGTGCACGCGAGAATCCGCGTGATGCGCCAAAATCCTTGGCAACGAATGCCTTGATGACCGGGAAAAAAGGCACCGAAAGCCCTATTGACAAGCACAGTTTTTAGTTTTACTACAATAACAGCCGTTTTAGTGGTGAAATGCAGTATAATATATTTCCGTGTGTTGTTTAGAATGTATTTCTTGCGGAATTTTGAATCTCAAAGGAAGAGTTATTATTGCTTTACGCAACTAACTGATGTAGCGGTCTTGCTCCTGATTACTGAATGGCCTTATCACCTGATTTGTTGACAAAAATAAATCTAGACACACAGTGAAAGGTCAATGTCAGTTAGTTGCTAAATGGAAGTTCCAAAATTTGATTCATACATGACTAAAAAGATCCACCCATTAGTAGACTAGTGTGGTATTCATTTAAAATCTTTTCATTAAACGATTAAGGAGAAAGCCAAATATTTTGCTGATTGAATCCAGAATGTGTTACATTATTCTGCAATACCTGTGCCTCCTGCTACATCTAGAAGCTTTGTACCACTTGCTGGGGAAAGCCGTCGCATGAAGTGATCTTTCCACAAACGATGAACTCCAAAACTCATTGCATCATTCATCTGGTCGTATTTACTTGCAACATTTTCAAAGACTTTGTAAACTGAAATATATATAACAAGTGTACATACTGTAAGAGTTACATTTACACATGTTAACTGACATCATATAAAACACATTATTGACAGCAAAGTGATGCTGTAAAACTGACACAATGATTTCGTGACAAAATAATTGACAAATTTTGAATCACTGCGATTAAATTACGTAGCAATTATATAAGAGAGAGAGAATCATTGTTGTGTTAATTAAACCAAAGACGGATTAAAAAATAATCCCATTTTGTGCCGAGAGCTGAAGACCACGTGTACCTTTTTCTTCTTTTTCCTTTTCAGAAACATGCTGAAAACCAAAATGTGTGCTCCTTTCGTCCGTCGTATAATCTGCATCGGTACTAATATGTCGTTTTGCTACTAAAATTCTTGACAACTTTCTATATCTAAAAAACCGACAAGAATTTCGAAATACCAATGCCTTCCCCGCCATGCTTCTTCTCGCGTACTAATGCGAGATCTAACATGGCAGCCTCTATGGCAGAAAGTTTCCTTCCAGAGGAACGAGTCAAGTTCAAGCAATTGGCAGACAAACTTAATGGCTTGGTGTTTAAAGATAGCGATGAATTTAGAGCTGAAGTTAATTTCTTGATAGATCAATTGAATTCTCTTGAATATGGTCTACCTATTGCAACACACGAGGTAAAATGTTCCACCAGTGGCAGTGACCAGTGCATTGATTTATTAGTGACTAGTTTTCAGTGTTGTAAATCATAATTTAGTGTGACTGTTACCAGCAAATTCTTTCGTCTTTGCATTATTTTTTCAAATATTTGAAAAATTTCAAAAGAATTGCAATTTGTTTTGCATTACCTTTCAGAAGATATAAATGTTATATTTTTCTGATCAGTTTGAATTTTTTTCTGATATACCTATTTAAACCATCATTCAATTCATTGGGGGAGGGGCAATATTTTGGAAAAGAGAAGAATCATATTCATAAATAGATAACAGAGAGAGAGAGAGAGAATGATAAGGACTCTCCTGAGACCTCAGTTGTATTTGTATAAGGGTCAAAACACGGTNTTTTTTTTTTTTTTTTTTTTGTCTACTGCTGTTACAGGACTCACACTTTCACGCTGGAGGAGATGAACTTTCCATGTATAAATTATTTAAGTCCATAACTATATCATTAGACCCACCTGAGGTAAAACCCATATTTTGAGCTTTCTCTTTTCCAACATCTAGCATAGCTTGATTTATATCACAAACTGTGACAGAAGATTTTAAAAAATGCTCAGGCATACTGTCACTTTCTTCAACTGATTTCTCCGCAGAGGCCAAGTCTACAATATCTGGGTAAATGTCCTTAGTAAATGATTCCCCTTGATTATTTAGGAATTCTAAGAATCTGAAGGCTATGTCACCTAGAATGTGCATATAAACAGTAATAAAAATTTAATAATATAAAAGTTTACTATGCAACAAAAGTGCCATGAAAAGTTTATTCAAGGCCATGAATGAAAAAATGAGCAGTATAATCAATATTGGGGATAAATCACACAGAATTTCTGGTGTATTGTAAGTAAATTTGGCAAAAAAAAAATATATATATATATATATATTCATTTGCCAAATTGTTGAATTTTGCTTGAATTTTACATGTTACTGCCCATGGACTGTCACCTTGAACACAACAAAAAATTACTTTTGAATCCCACACTAGTCTATCAAAATCGGTTGAGCATCCAATATTCTATAAAACCACATTTTTTTACACAATAGTAGACATCATAATATACTAATATAGGCTTGTGCAAAAAATAAATGACAATAATAAAAAAAAAACATGCCAGTTAGAAATACAATAGAAACTCAGTCTTCATATCACCCTATAACCAAATCCACCCACCAAAAACATCTCAAGCCACACTGTCCTGTTCTTTGTTTGTATATTGAGCAAGATTTTAGCTATCGACTCCTCAGAATTATTTTAATGATTAAATCATATAGCAGTGTTCATTGATAAGCATTTTAATGCAGTGTATAATCTTAGGGTTACTTTTACTTTTTAACTTCTGCAATCAACTGGCCCTTGAGATACATATTATTCCATAAATCCTCTACAGAGAAATTCTGAGACATTTGATCCATCCTGTGTTCTTTACAGAGTTTAAGCTGTAGAAAATAATTCCTCATTGAAGTATGTTCTAACTGCAGTTAAGTTATTGATGTATGTAAATCAAAAGGACTGTTATCGTTTGTTTAGTTGAGTTCAGTAACAAATATTGATATCTATCGTTTCAATCTCGAGTTTTTGTTGCAGTGGAATAAAAGAAACAAAGTCAAATATCATGCCAAAGGTCATTTTATTGAAAACAATAAAAAAAAAATTATGAAGCACAATTCTATAAAAAATATTCACCTCATTTTAAAAACTATAGTATAATATTAATTCTGGGTATTATGAATACTAACAATACAATATAGTATGTTGTTTTAGAGAATGACAATGGTGGCCATGAGCCAATCTTTCAGCAAATGCTCATCTTTTACAACTTATGTGTAATAATGTGTAAACCTGGATCTGATCAGTATAACTGTACTTGTAGCACCAAGAAAAAATGACATGTGCGTACTTGTGCAATGTAATATTAATGCAAAGGCAAACAATGATTGTTAAGTTTATTTACAGCTTACTGGAGTTGAGAAGTGTACCAAATCCACAAACAGGTTCACTAGCTCACCCTCTGATGGCCAGAAGGACAGCGACAAAATTGACACTTCAGAAGAAACTCCATGGGGTAATTGGCCAGTGATAACAACTTGGTGTTAGAACATCAGCGCATGACCAGTTTGTCCTGAGGAAGGCTCCTGAGTAGAGCTGAAAATTAGATATTAAGAAAATATTTAGATAAAAACTATATGTGCAATGGTTAATTCAACAATCCATCAGCAGAAACTTTTCCAATTTGAGTTGAACTGAGACCTCCATCATGTCTATGTCAAATACCCTGATACAGAACTACAACATGTCGTTTTTGACACTAAGATGTGAATGCTGCTGATATTGCTAGCACAAAGGAATGATGAGATTACAACTATATATATGGAAATGTGTGAAATGACCATTTAATACAATCAAAGACATTAGCATTTAGCCCATACTTAATAAAAGAACAACATTAGCTTAATCAACAAATTACACCTTATCAAAGAAAAAAAAATTAAAAATTATAATCTTTCAAGCCCATTTGGAAATTCAAGTTTAATTTGAAAGTCATTCTTGTGATGGAGATGTAAATTTGAGAATTGTAGTGATGCTAAAATTAGGACTTCAGAATCAAATATTGGTTTATAGATTGAATTTCTAAATGATTTTGGTTGGAGTAAATAGAAAGGTTGGTTTACTCTAGCAATGCTACTGTGCCACTGATGTCAGCCTGGAAAATGTTCGGGCATGCCTGGAAAAAGTCAACAACTATTAAAATACTTAATTCTTTCAATTTTTCATTGACAAGAAAAGAAATGATTATGCAATTTTAACTTAAAGTGACTTTGCTGTGCACCAAACTGCCACTTTTTGAAAACTGACTTATTTAAAAAAAAAGTACATTTGTTCTCTCACACAACAAAATAGGAATGGTGTCACTTAAATTTCGGCTACAGTTAAGTTTTTATTTAATTTTGTAAACATTCCATTAAAAAATGCACAACATCAAGCTAGAGAAACATTTTTAATTATATCCCCAGTATTCAGATGAGTTTTAGGTGGATATATGCCCCATGTGCACATTTAAATTATTTTTGAATACTATGAAAATCTTTACATAGGAAACTGTTACGTGAAATCTATTTGATTAAAATGTGTTATTGAAGTCAAGACATACCCTTGTCAAACACAGTAGGTCTTCATTCAGAACTTGAACTGCAAGTTTGTTTTGCATCTTGGTCTGGAAACAAGTTGCATTGTTAACTTATAACAGTACCTATGGAACTGATGAAGCTCATTTTCCCCTCTTAACAGCACTTGCTTTACTTATTTTTACTTATTATTAGGCCAAGCTGAAACAATAATAGATCACTATTACTTTTAGCTGGCCCTGCTCATACTGGTGTGACACAGCTGAGCAAATGGACTAAGGAACAAGAAACACTTCAAATTTTAATACTCCTTAAACCATGATAATTCCTTTACACAAATCATAAGCAGGAAATGTAAATAAAAATTGACAAGTTTTCTCAACATAATGCTTGGAAAATTTTGATATCAATGAGATCTAAACATTTCAGTTGTTGTGTTTTGTTTACTTACCAAGTTGTTTATCCATCTGGTCAGTTGACCACAGCAGTGGACATCTTGACACTTTCGGTTGTCAATCAGGTTCAAAATTGGCCATGGTCAACCAAAAAATATCGTTCCAACGGGGATGGCTCCTTTTTCATAAAACCTGGTCCCTCCCCACTCCAACCCACGTCACATCTGACTTTGCTGAGGTAGATGATGGCAGTCAACTGGGGTATGTGGGCATATGGACCCAAGTCCATTCCAAAATCTGGGATGGACATACAAACGAAGAACACTACAATGTAGCCTGAGATGTTTTGGGTACATGGTGGATTTGGTTAGGGGGTAATATCTTGGCTGGTTTTATTCAAATTGACATTAAAATGGGTGTATTTGGAATTTTTGTTGCACAGGCTAACATAAGTATAGAGTCTGATACAATGTATATATATATAATAACTTGAGGCATAGGCCACCTACATGATCCTTCCGAAATATATACATGGGGCAAATTAATGAAATTTATTTAAAAATACCTAAAAGAATAACAACTGTTCATTGAGGCCAAAAATGGATTTTCCTGGGAAATGACAATAATTCAATGGTTAATGAATCTGTTCTGACATTCAAAGTTAGTCATGTTTATTTTGCTTAATTTTTTTTTTTTTTTGTAATAAATCTTTTAAGAGATTATTATGGAGGTACATCCATCTATGAAGAACCAAGTTGTTTGATCTCAAGCACAGTTTCCAGAATAATTATGATAACTACTGTTTTGGTGGTAAATTTGCGTTTATTGTATTTTTATGAGTTGCTTTATTATTTTATTGTGAAATATGAACCTCATATGAACAATTGTTATCCCTTTAATCAAAATACTTATAGTTTTTTTTTTTGTGTATTACAGTAGCCTTGGGTCAGAAATATATAAATCAAATTCTAGAACCTATATTAAGCAACTAACTGATGTAGCGGTCTTGCTCCTGATTACTGAATGGCCTTATCACCTGATTTGTTGACAAAAATAAATCTAGACACATAGTGAAAGGTCAATGTCAGTTAGTTGCTAAATGAAAGTTCCAAAATTTGATTCATACATATTTCTTATTCTAATCCTACTGGATGACTAAAAAGATCCACCCATTAGTAGACTAGTGTGGTATTCATTTAAAATCTTTTCATTAAATGATCAAGGAGAAAGCCAAACATTTTGCTGATTAAATCCAGAATGTGTAACATTATTCTGCAATACCTGTGCCTCCTGCTACATCTAGAAGCTTTGTACCACTTGCTGGGGAAAGCCGTCGCATGAAGTGATCTTTCCACAAACGATGAACTCCAAAACTCATAGCATCATTCATCTGGTCGTATTTACTTGCAACATTTTCAAAGACTTTGTAAACTGAAATATATATAACAAGTGTACATACTGTAAGAGTTACATTTACACATATGTTAACTGACATCATATAAAACACATTATTGACAGCAAAGTGATGCTGTAAAACTGACACAATGACTTCGTGACAAAATAATTGACAAATTTTGAATCACTGCGATTAAATTACGTAGCAATTATATAAGAGAGAGAGAATCATTGTTGTGTTAATTAAACCATAGAAGTAGAGAAAACCAAAGACGGATTAAAAAATAATCCCATTTTGTGCCGAGAGCTGAAGACCACGTGTACCTTTTTCTTCTTTTTCCTTTTCAGAAACATGCTGAAAACCAAAATGTGTGCTCCTTTCGTCCGTCGTATAATCTGCATCGGTACTAACATGTCGTTTTGCTACTAAAATTCTTGACAACTTTCTATATCTAAAAAACCGACAAGAATTTCGAAATACCAATGCCTTCCCCGCCATGCTTCTTCTCGCGTACTAATGCGAGATCTAACATGGCAGCCTCTATGGCAGAAAGTTTCCTTCCAGAGGAACGAGTCAAGTTCAAGCAATTGGCAGACAAACTTAATGGCTTGGTGTTTAAAGATAGCGATGAATTCAGAGCTGAAGTTAATTTCTTGATAGATCAATTGAATTCTCTTGAATATGGTCTACCTATTGCAACACACGAGGTAAAATGTTCCACCAGTGGCAGTGACCAGTGCATTGATTTATTAGTGACTAGTTTTCAGTGTTGTTAATCATAATTTAGTGTGACTGTTACCAGCAAATTCTTTCGTCTTTGCATTATTTTTTCAAATATTTGAAAAATTTCAAAAGAATTGCAATTTGTTTTGCATTACCTTTCAGAAGATATAAATGTTATATTTTTCTGATCAGTTTGAATTTTTTTCTGATATACCTATTTAAACCATCATTCAATTCATTGGGGGAGGGGCAATATTTTGGAAAAGAGAAGAATCATATTCATAAATAGATAACAGAGAGAGAGAGAGAGAATGATAAGGACTCTCCTGAGACCTCAGTTGTATTTGTATAATTGTTTTTGTATAACAGAACTCTTATTTGTTTTCTTAGGCTGCAGCCAAAATGTTGTGTCAAGTATGCATGCTTGTCTCTGCAAAATATGACCATCTATTGTCCAAAATGTGCCAATTGATTGGAAATGTTATAGCAAAACTAACGGTAAGTTTTTCTTAACGTAACAGACATAGCTATTCATACATGGTGTATATGGCACTGACAGTTTTGACAATATTGATGCTGCCACATTACATCTCTAGAGTGTGAATGTAAAATGGCTAATAATGAAATGTTTATTTGGCAAATGTTAAATCTAACTGGTGTAAATTGTTTTGCAGAACAATAATTAAGAGATTTACTTTTTTTGATCAGATACTTTATTTTCATCAAATATATACATAAAGCATAATAAAGAAGCTTGTGTCACATTAAAGGAAAAGAAAAATTAATTGTCTTTCAGGTATCATTAGACCAGGCTTCACTGGATCTTCTGGTAGAATATTTAGTGACTGCATTTAAGATCTGCAAACCATGGACAATCCCTGACTTGTTAAGAGCCTTAGGAGCTGTTTTGTATGAAAATGGTGGAAGGATAAGCAAAGTACTGAAATTAATATTATACATAGGAACTTAATGTATAAGACTTTAGAATGGTTTTTATGTTCAGACTATGCCTTGTCTATAATGTCTATACTAGAGTTTTTTATTATCACCAGAACTGAAATAGATTTGCAGTTTCAAAAAGATTTGTATTATCTCACTCACCATTTTCTGATTCACAGATCATGGTTTAACTTGGGGAATGATATGGTTAGTTCTTTAAGCCAGATTTTGTGAGAGCTAATTATTATTTTTAGCACTTACATGTTGCGTATTTCACTTCACTGAGGATCTAAATTTTTGTAATGCTCTCTTGAAGGTGCTTTGTTCAGTTACCTTTAATTTGATGCAATACATTTTATTATATAATACCAATATGTTTAATATCTTTTTGGTGTAGTATTCATTATTTCACATTTAACTTTTTTTATTCAGTTTTATGAAGAACTTATTGGCACAAGGGGTCTGTTGACAGAACTCATTGCCAGCAGTGTCCATGATGAAGATCTTAAAAAAGGAGCTGTGCAGTGTATAGAGAATATATGTATCAGGTAGGATGCCCTGAGTATTTGGCCTTTACCCAGCATATGCTCACTTTTACCAATTCAGTTTTCAAAATTGATGCAGTAAGTTGGCATTCAAATTGGAGGAAATTGTCTGTAAACTGTGAAACTCAGGTAGGGTAGGTGGGTGTGTTTGTCTCACAACTTTATGTTATTTCTTTTGTATCAAAGCTAGTAAGTCGTGAATGTTACAAATCTAAAGGCTGTTGAAATACTGTGTTTTGAGATATAACTTGACATTGTTGAAGACTATCATAATTTTAATTGCTTGTGGAATAAGTGATTTAACATAGTAACTGGCTTATACTTTATACTGTTCTAAAATAATTTGTTTAAACATTTTATAGATCTGCAAATACTCCATTTATACCAGAGCCATTTGTGACCAACTGCTTGAACATTTTCATAACAATCCTACAGACTCCAAAACAAAGTACAGCTGATGAAATCACATATGATCGGGTAAGAAAAAAATAGACAGTGGGATTAAATTTTTTTATGTATTTCATTGGTATTTCTGATTGACATAATATCCATTGTTATGACAGGGAATTTCATCTTTTAATTTGTATTTTACTCTTTGTGTATTTCAGATATTGATTAGTGCACTGAGAGGACTGCAGAATATCATCATTGGTAGTAAAACAGTTCATTTAGATCATCTGGGAGTATTATTGGCTGCACTGAAGGTAATGTTGAGAATTGTGTAATTAAGATTGTACAGTTATTGTTGTATTTATAAAGAAAGAAAACTGACAGTATTACATGGTTTGTAGACCAGGGCTATTTCTGAATATAACTAGTCAAGTTATCAGACCTCATGAGTACAACAGAAACACCTTATATTCTGCTTAGTAATATGTCCCCCCGCCTCTCAAGTGTGGCCTCCAATTGGACACTGCATTATCTGATGATATGCGCAAGTGTTTGGCAGACTTTCTGTCTAAAGTAGTTAAGATCTTAAGGAAGCATCAATTAGAACACTTGTACAATCATTAAAAAAACAAGCCAAAGTACATATTTCAAACCTAGCATGTGTTATATTAGGAAATGAAGACTATCTGTTTCCTGGGAGAATAATTACTTAATTTGGACAACATTTTGCAGGTGCACATGTTCTGTGGTGTTGTTGGACAACCTTCCATTGCAGCAGGCTGCCTGTACCCATCCCCAATGAGTCAGTTTGAGCCAGTATCTCCTAAATCTACCACAGCTTCCACCCCCACTGAGGAAATCAGTTTGAGGCCGTCCAAAGCACCCACAAAAAATGCAAATGCCAAGAGAAACAAAAAGAAAAAGACCAACACAAAGAAGACAACAACAGGTGCAAAGGATGAAGAGGAAGATGCAGGGGTTTCAAATGCGACATCCAGTATGAAAAATCTGAATGTGAATGATACTGTTGGTCAGGCTTTGGAGAACTCTGGATCAGTTGGGGATATTTTTGGTTATTCCAGACATTTGATTAGTAGTTCCGAGTCAGAGTATTCAGACACTGAAGGAGGGCAGGCTTCTAGATTGAGGTCATTCCAAGCTAGAGTAAGACAGACAGCTTTGGGCTGTTTTAATGCTGTCATTAAGGTATGTTATACCAAATATTGCAATGATTTGTATGATTTGGTAGTTCATTTTGGGGGTAGTCCTTCTTTCTAGGTATGGCAATAACTAAAGTATGTAGATATCAGAGAAAAGTTGATTCATCGTATACTTCAGGTTTAGGGTTTGAAACTTTATTCATTATGAAAACTTGTTTAAACAACAAAGTAGTTTTTGTTTTTGCAATGCCTGTGCCCAATGTGCTGAAGACATTTTGCGTTGTTATATTCATTGATGATGTTTATTATAATTTCAGGGAACAGACAGAAGAGTGATGTTTGGGTATTGGACCTCTTTCATACCTGATGCACTAGGATCTGGAAGCTCTCAGTCACACACTCTGTTCACAGTGATATTAAAAGATCCAGTTCCAAAGGTATTTCTACTACAGTCAGTACTATGGCTTGGAAAATTTTGAAACAAGCTCTGTAACAAGGCTTTGTTTTTATTTCAGGATGACTTATCTGCACTCATTTTAGCATGAATTTTGTCCAAATGCTAACATAATTTGATTTGTCTTAATGGCATGTAACATATTTCACTGTGAAGGCATTCACAACAGATGATTCTGGGATCTACTGATCTGCAGATCAAATATGTCATGAAAGCGGAGCCGACTACTCTGCTGATGGTCTGCCATTTTTGATCCGCGGATCCGAGGATCATCTGTTTATGATACATTTAAAATTGAACAGAAGTAATTGATAAATTGCCCCAAATAAGTTGTTTTGATTATAGTCAATGAAATTTGATTCAAATATATGAATAGTGAATTGCATTTGAATAAATTTTTTAGTGACTTTATGCAAAGTGAACTAGAATGTTTAAGATAAGTGAGGTGTTTAGAATACCATAACCATTTTATCAAATACATAAACATGTCTGATTACAGACTAGGACTGCTGCTATAGCTGCATTGGGTTCTCTCCTGGAAGGCTCAAAACAATACCTCGCAGCAGCTGACGATTCGTAAGTATGGTGGTTTACAGATATATGAATAAATCTCTTGTTCTTTAGGTGTGATTGGTTTATTTCTAAGAGTTTAACTTTTTTTTAACATTTGAAAGACAACATGCTTTGCCTTCGGAATGGAAAAGAAGTGGAACTATATGAGTATGTCCCCAGTATTTGGAATATTCTTATTTGATAATGTTTGTGCCACACAGATTTCTAAACAAAATGCTTTAAAATGAAGTCTTTTTTTGTTCATTATTATAAAATGACAATTCTTTTAATCATATTTCAGAGAACAGCATAAAGCTGCCTTTACTTCTTATTCAGTTGTCTTAGGCCTCATGATTAAAGAGATACACAGATGTTTATTAGTAGCTTTGGTTGCTGAAAATTCTCCCTTGGCTATCACACAGATCATAAAGGTAATAGTGAATTGCATAGCTTGTGTTAATAGTAACTCCTTTACAGAATGCCCATGAAAGTGGAATAATAAAATGCATAGGAAAGTTTAGTTTTGATAATATTTTCTTAAAGTTTTAATATCCTCAAGACCTTTGATATGTGTAATATAATGTGTATTGAGCTTCCAGTATATGCATGTTTTATTTCAATAGGAATGGAAAATAATATTTATAATAATATTGGTTGGTGGTTCAGTTGAATAGATATTAAACATATTTTTTGCACATTTAGTGTTTAGCCACATTAGTTCCTAATGTACCATACCAAAAGCTGAAACCTGGTTTGCTGAGCAGAATATCTAAGCAGATCCGTCCTTTTATATCACACAGAGGTTTGTACTTCATGAATGTAGTAAAATTAACTTTGAATTTGTTTCTTGTATAAATGGCTTGTATGAATGATTCAAAGGTAATGAAACCCATTTAATTTTATTAAAACATTTGACAGTTATTTGTTCATCCAGGAGTTTAATAATCTTGTATACGTAATTTCATAAAAATTCCACATTCCAGGTCTAAAAGTTTGTTATACACAACAATACATTTTCCCCATTTTACATTCATATACCTTATACTATACCACCTACAACCATCCAAAGTGAAAATAGAATTAGAATACGGGAATTTAAATTCAGGTTCAGCGTATGTATTGAACTTTTTTAGATCCTAATGTTCGGGTTGCTTGCCTGACCTGCTTAGGAGCCATAGTGACTGTGCAGGCACCTCTGATGGAAGTATGCCACATTCTTCTCCCATCCCGCCCCCAGTCTGGACGATCAACAGACACCAGTGCTCCTCAAGGTGACAGAACTGATGATCACACACAGGAATCCTCTGCCTCACCCTCATCCCCAGGGTATTCACCCAGACAATCCCCAGGTACCTTGACCCCAACATTTTCTGATCAAGCCTTGCAGAAGCAGGCAACGGAAAGTTCTTGGGTTTTAAAACTGTGTGTCAGGTATGTTATGCCTGCTGTTACATCCCAGACAGGGTCAAGNGAAGGCTCAAAACAATACCTCGCAGCAGCTGACGATTCGTAAGTATGGTGGTTTACAGATATATGAATAAATCTCTTGTTCTTTAGGTGTGATTGGTTTATTTCTAAGAGTTTAACTTTTTTTTAACATTTGAAAGACAACATGCTTTGCCTTCGGAATGGAAAAGAAGTGGAACTATATGAGTATGTCCCCAGTATTTGGAATATTCTTATTTGATAATGTTTGTGCCACACAGATTTCTAAACAAAATGCTTTAAAATGAAGTCTTTTTTTGTTCATTATTATAAAATGACAATTCTTTTAATCATATTTCAGAGAACAGCATAAAGCTGCCTTTACTTCTTATTCAGTTGTCTTAGGCCTCATGATTAAAGAGATACACAGATGTTTATTAGTAGCTTTGGTTGCTGAAAATTCTCCCTTGGCTATCACACAGATCATAAAGGTAATAGTGAATTGCATAGCTTGTGTTAATAGTAACTCCTTTACAGAATGCCCATGAAAGTGGAATAATAAAATGCATAGGAAAGTTTAGTTTTGATAATATTTTCTTAAAGTTTTAATATCCTCAAGACCTTTGATATGTGTAATATAATGTGTATTGAGCTTCAAGTATATGCATGTTTTATTTCAATAGGAATGGAAAATAATATTTATAATAATATTGGTTGGTGGTTCAGTTGAATAGATATTAAACATATTTTTTGCACATTTAGTGTTTAGCCACATTAGTTCCTAATGTACCATACCAAAAGCTGAAACCTGGTTTGCTGAGCAGAATATCTAAGCAGATCCGTCCTTTTATATCACACAGAGGTTTGTACTTCATGAATGTAGTAAAATTAACTTTGAATTTGTTTCTTGTATAAATGGCTTGTATGAATGATTCAAAGGTAATGAAACCCATTTAATTTTATTAAAACATTTGACAGTTATTTGTTCATCCAGGAGTTTAATAATCTTGTATACGTAATTTCATAAAAATTCAACATTCCAGGTCTAAAAGTTTGTTATACACAACAATACATTTTCCCCATTTTACATTCATATACCTTATACTATACCACCTACAACCAATCAAAATGAAAATAGAATTAGAATTCGGGAATTTAAATTCAGGTTCAGCGTATGTATTGAACTTTTTTAGATCCTAATGTTCGGGTTGCTTGCCTGACCTGCTTAGGAGCCATAGTGACTGTGCAGGCACCTCTGATGGAAGTATGCCACATTCTTCTCCCATCCCGCCCCCAGTCTGGACGATCAACAGACACCAGTGCTCCTCAAGGTGACAGAACTGATGATCACACACAGGAATCCTCTGCCTCACCCTCATCCCCAGGGTATTCACCCAGACAATCCCCAGGTACCTTGACCCCAACATTTTCTGATCAAGCCTTGCAGAAGCAGGCAACGGAAAGTTCTTGGGTTTTAAAACTGTGTGTCAGGTATGTTATGCCTGCTGTTACATCCCAGACAGGGTCAAGGTTGACATTAAGTCAGAGTGGACACCAGCTACAAGGGGTTGTTGAACCTTTGCCAGTAAGGTTGGAGTCTTTACAGGTGCTACAGCAGATGACTAAGTGCTACTTTATGCTAACAAGGTAAATATTAGTATTTGTTTACATTAGCATGACTATGGGTGCTTTCCCAGAGATTTAGATCAATCTAAAGATCAAGTTTTAGATCGACCTAACTCCCTGGGGGTTCAGGCTAAATTGCAGTCAGCCGAGCGGACACCATAGTTAATTACCCCCTTACAGCTTTTAGTAGGCGGGACAGACGCTTAAGCCGGCCAAGCTGACAGTAATCCAGTGAGACTCCCCACAGGGATAGATTGATCTAAAAATCTATGGAAATGGGGTGTATGTGTGTTTTTTTGGCATTGGATTTAAGGCTTAAATTGGTTATGCAAATCAGTGCATCTTATATTTTGGTATGAAGGAAGAAAGTTTTGTATAATAAATTTTATACAATTTAATTTTAACAAAAAACTTGTTTAAGCACTGTAGTAGTGTTATTTTGATTGAATATCAGATCTCACTTGATTCTACTTTTCTGTTCATTATCTTCAATAATTTGATTATAGGAACAGTCTAACAATGTTAGCTGATGTAATCTGTGGGTGTTTAGAAGATAAAGAAATGGCAGTACAGCTGCATGCTGCCAAGGTAAGTTTTATAAAATAAATATACTCTGAGTAAATAACATGTTTTAACTACTGACTATTTTATGAACAATGATAGCTAACTTGATGGTCTTTGATAGTTAACCTAAATTTCTGTCCTTATGTGTCATTTAAATCTTCATATTGTTCTTGGCTTAACATGGTTTTCAGGAGGATATAAATCAGTATTCATCTGCAAATATTATATGCTAGGGATTTATGTAATGTAGTAAGTTTTATTTATTTATTTATTTAAATTTCTGCATATTCCTGTATGCGGGTATTACTTTAACATCACTGAAATAAAGTCACTTTCATATGGTTTCAATCAAAGTTGTTTTGTAATCTTACAGCTTTTAGAAGAATTGGGAAACTCCTTTCTTCGCTATCTGCAAGATAACAGTGAAACTGGATTGAGAATAACAGCTCAAGAGGTGTGGTATATGTGTCACTTCTTATGAAAACTAGTTTAATTATGAAATAAAAATGGTAACATTAGCAAACACATACAGGGTGTACAAAAAATCTACTCATTTTGTAAATTTAAAAAATAATGTGAAACTTACATAACCAACAAACTTAAACAGTGTCAGTTGTAGGGCAGGCCTGAAAAATAATATTTTGATAAAATTATTCACCTTTGTTTTATTTGCCTGAATGTCTGATATATATTAATATATGCCATGTGTGATTACGCAGTGATACAATTTAATTTATTTAAAATATATAAGGCCTTTGATGTTTGGATCAAAATGCTGTCAGGACCACTTCCAGCTGTGATGCAGAATATGATCCATCCTCCTCTGAGAGCAACTGGCTGTGACTGTCTCTCCAACATTGGGGCCATTGTCTATGATTTATTACCAGTGAGTATTGTTATAGCTGCTTAGTTTGAGATATTCCTTTAAAATCTCTCGTTTAAAATTGCTTTACCAAGATTAAGCAGTTTTGTTGTATTGTATATAATATGTATACTGTGTAGGTAATATTTGCATCACCCACCTTGTGCAAATTGTGTCATTGTTTGTGTTATACAATTGCTTGTCTTATTTAGTGATATTTATTCAGGCTTACAAAAATTTAAAGGAAGAAATCAAATTTTGTATAATGTATTAGGAAGAACATTTTCTACTTCACCTCAGCCTCATTCAACCCCAAAATAAATATCAATTATAACCCTTGTAACTTAAAAATTATTTTAGTAAAATCAGTTTAAGATATTGAAATAATTTATAAGGAGATTGTTGCTAATGATCAGCAGTTTGCAAATGACATGTAACTGAACACAATTTTTTCATATATTCCCATTAAATAAGTGTTTGTAAATTCTCTCAGATGGACAAGCGCATCCTCTGCATCACTTTACTGCTGGGGCTTACAGACGATGAAGACAAAAATGTCAAGGCCGCTGCAGTGAGAGCACTGGGTGTTTACATGCTGTATTCTACACTGAGAGAGGTAATGCTGTATGCATTAACTTGTTGAGAATAGCTGTTTACAATTTTTTAAGATTTTAACCAACCTCAGTTTTTAAACATTTTTCTGCCCATAAAAACAAGTGTTATTTGTATGCACTTGAAGTTGAACTTGAAGCATAAAGAAATAAAACATAAAAATCATAAGAGTTGGTTTCTATGCAATGAGTTGAGCATTTTATTGAATCAGCAAAGTAACCTTATACAGAATGATAACCGCACACTTAAGTTACCTTTTAAGTTAAAATAATGTTTCTTTTACAAAAACTTTGGAAATTTTAGGACATATCATTTGTGGCAGACGCGGCCAATGCCACAGTGACATGTATGGAGGACAGTAATCTTGTGGTGAGGATGAAGGCAGCTTGGTCCCTAGCAAATCTCAGTGATGCCTTGGTTATGAACAGGTTGGTAGGCTAAAATTTAAAATCTGGTCCATAAGGTGCTAAAATGGCTGGTGATTGAAAAGTGTAATTCAGAATTTTTATAATCTTCTGTTAATAGTCATATGGAAAAAGCATTGTTATGCCAAATGTAAATGGTTCTCAAGTTTTACAGTTATCATGGTTGTTTTGAAGATGGTAGGGATGTTTATTTTTTCATTGTTGTTAATTTTGTAAATTGCTCAGGGAACAGTTGAACACCAGCTGCTAGAAGTTAAACATGACGCTTTTCAGAAGAGAAAATATTCTTTTTTAAATGTCATTTTTGCATAGATTTTGAGATTTATAAATGGATTTATGCTTGTATCAGGGATGCAGGAGACAATGCATTTGTAGAGGACTTCTCTGACATGCTGCTGTTGAAGCTTCTTACTGTGGCCACCAGAGCAGCTCAAGATAATGACAAAGTCAAGTCTAATGCAGTAAGGGCCATAGGGAATCTGTTGAGATATTCACCACAGAGAAGTCTTGGGAAGAGCATATTTTTCAGTGCTGTAGAGCAAGCTGTGGACAGCTTAGTGAAGACGGTGAACACAGGAGCTATGAAGGTAGAGGTTATTGGTACACCTACTTGACTTGCAGATATGATATGACTGGATATATATGTCAGTACTGTTACATTTTATAAGGGGATCATTTTATTTCATGAATTTTTCAGGCAATGATTCTGCAATAGTATTAGTTTAACATATTATTAAACAACAAGGTTTACATTTTTTAGTATTCAATGAAAAGTGTTGTAACAGTCCTTTAATATTTACATTTTAACAGGTTAGGTGGAATGCTTGCTATGCATCTGGGAATGTGTTCAGGAATGCTTTAATTACAACAAGACATGTCAAGTTAACTGTAAGTATTTGCTTCAGATTTTTGCAGTTTGATGATTGACATTGCTTGACATTCCAAGTGACCTAGATTGCAATTTTTTTATTTAAAATTAGTTAGGCTCCACATAGATTTTAGTACTATCTTTTAATATTTTTAACCTATTTCAGCAAATTGTGATCTGTGAAATTTTATCTTTAAACCTATATCTATTTACCTGCTGATGTTAAATAATGGGGTTTGTTTCTTCTACTTCAGCAACCCATGTTTTGTGCACTCTGTGCTGTGGTTAAAGATTGCAAGAATTTTAAAGTGCGTATAAATGCAGCTCTGGCCTTGTCTGTACCAGATGAGAGAATAATGTATGGGACCCCTGCACAGTTCACTGCTGTGTGGGACAGCCTGATAACTGCACTGTGGAATACTGAAACCACCACAGACTTCACAGAGTATAGACATAGGGATAGTTTAGTGGAACAGGTTGGTATAGTATACTGACAGTCAATGAAAATGCATCATTTATTTATCAAATAATATTTTAAGTTCCTTTGGCACATTAAGAAATTTACAGTTTTCATGTGAAATATGTGAAATATGAAATAGTGGTCAGCCCACTCTCTTATGACCAAACAAGTGCATTTGTACTCGTTTATATGGTTGGAATCGATTCTTGATAAAAAAGTACAAAGTTTTCTGATGCGTTTTCATTGACTGACAGTATATATTTTAAGGGATAATCTGGCATACCAGGCTTGTGTGTGGTAAGAGATAGAAACCAGGCATTTTTTTGCTTGGTACTTCAGTTGACTTGGTTGGTATATAGTTGGGGATTGTTTAGTGGACCCAGTTAGAGTATTAGAAGGGGTGGTCAGGCTGAACAGGTTGGTAAGGGAGAGTTAAGAGGACCAACTTAATAAATAGAATAGTCTAAGCTGTTTGTATTTGTTAAGGTGCTTATGTTTTCTAAAGGTATATAAATAATTCACAGCTGCTTTTTTGTCCAACCATTAATAAATTGAAACAGTGTCTATTTTCTTATACCATTGGTAATTATTTGTGGCATATCTGTCCATGTCTGGTTTGTCAAAAATTCTTTTCAGTAATGCTTTTACTGTCACACCAAAATCAGTTATGTGCTAGCAGAAGGCTGAAAACTTGCCATTCAATATTTTATTAGCCTGGATGTAATGTCTTGTTTATATTACAGAATCTGTGATTTATGATCAGTTTGGTGCTTTTAGTAGTCCATGGGTCTCAGTTCTTTAGGGCTGTTATATTGATAAAATTCTCAGCATCTGTAAAACATCTTGTGTGGACAATTAAGAATGAGCATGATGATAATGTATGATTGTTTGATCAAGAAATGATCCTAATTTTTGTTCTATGATATTTAATTGCTCATTACCATTACAGGTATGCTACACTTTGATTCACCTAGCAGCTTTGATAGATGTCCAAGATTTACCCAACTTGCATACAACCATAATAAAGAGTACAGACTTTGTTGCACATCACACTACAAAATATTATGAAACCTTGTTGGTAGAAAATGAGGGAACACGAGAAAAAGGTAACTATAAAATATGGTTTCTAAACTGATAGTTCTCAACATGAGTATAAGCTCTAGGACATAATATAAGATTTTATTCAGTCAGTTATAAAAATTGGAAATCTTTTTTAATTTACAAAAACATACTTTTACCAAATATACTTCTCTTGCTTTAATTTGTTGTTTGCAGACATGCTGTTGAACAATCTAAACTTAATTTATTTACTTGGTAAAAAACACTTTTTTAAAGTCTAACATCCAGTGACATTGCTTAATGATTGTTTGAACGAAGCAACCCAATTGTCCTCCTTTTTTTAAATAAATATGCATGATCTATCAAATGCTAAAAGCTTAATTGTAATTTTAGTCCTGAAACTTACCAAAGCTGCAGACCACATTGCCACTCTGGCCCAATCTCCCATTCAGCAGAAGGAACTGTCCTTGGTGAAAAACCTCCAAAAAATATTCTCACAGGAACGACCAGGTTAGAAGCTATTTTGCACCAGATCCATTTAAATGAAAAAAATTGTTTGCAGTGAAAAGAGTAATATCTCCAAACTGGAATAAGGTAAAATTTTGGTATGCAAGATAACATCTCGGAGTAAAAGTGGTTTCATTCACCGTTCACGTTTAATTCCAGAACCAAAAGAAGAAGCTGAAGCACCCAAAACATCTTTCAGGCAGACATACGACTGAAGTGGAATGGTGTTATATGCAGATTCTGGGCAGTCATTTGAATCTACAAGAGATCTTGCAGTGACTTCAGTATTTAAATGCTTTGTCCGGCTAAGAGAAAAGTTGCAGAAGCAGCAAATAATTTTAGTGTTCAGTTTGCCTGAAAACAATAACTTCCAATAACTGCTTAAAACATTGAACTCCATTCATATGAATCTTGTTGTCTTTCTCATAGCATTGTCCATTTTTTTAAATTGTAACTGTGATAGCATTAACTTAAACTTAAAAAATGAATAACTGCTGTTTTTGTCAATTTATTTATTTCATGTAAAGTATCATATATGTATACTATGTACAATGTGAAAAAAAATAATAAACCCGTTTCTCTGCAATATTTAAGACAACATGATTACTTCATACTAACACAACAAAAAAGTTTTCAGTTTTCAAACACTATGTACTCAAAAATCTTATAAAACTGGAAATGGACCAGTGATCAGAAGGATGAATGTAACATGATGCCATATTAGTGAATAAAATTCCTTTTCAATATTTTGATAAAATTCACTGATAAAATATATGTCATCCTTTACATAGAAATAGAAGATTGCAACTCTATCTGAAATGCATCTTCAATCCAGTTTACCACCTAAAAAATAAATGTCCTACTAAGTTGATATATTGTTAGACTAAGTCAACATGGAGGACAATATTCTCCAGGGTTAACACTATCAATTAAAACATAATTAGAATTTTTCCTCTAAAGACTGCTTAAACTTGCAGTACGTCAGCATTGCTACCTTCCCTCATTATCAGGGCTTTTGTTATGATCAGAGTTTATGACTTTCTCTTGTTGGTTATCTTCAATTTGAGATTGCTCTCCTGCATTGAGGCCTTCTTGCCCTTCATCGTCATTTTCACTGTCACTTTCTTCTGAAAATATACCAAATTCCCTTAAAATGTAATGACAACTGCAATGTTTGATGCCATTTTATCATTAATCCCTAGGCCAAATAAAAAATGCAAAGTTTTCCTACGACTCGAAGAATTTCTCAAAATCAGCTTGTTACCAGTAAATAGGCTTTGATGTGTTTTCTGTCATGTGACTGAATATTTCAATTATTTAATGTTCAATTATTTGCATACGTTATTAAGTGGACTCTGGATTAATGCAACTGAAATAATGTGATGTTACTAACATCCACAACACTCTTTCTCTCAGACAAGCCTAGCCCAAATTGATTCAGTCTTATACAGAGTCCATAAAAATAAATGGGATGTCCTAATGATGAATTTATGAATACATACCACTTTCTTTGTTTTCATCGTTCTGTTTAGGTTTCTTGGCTTTTTGTTTCTGCTTTTTCTTTAGCCTACAGGACATAAATGTAAGATACTAAGACTCCCAACTGGCTTGTGCATACATAAGGACCAACGGAATCACATTCTTTCAAAATGAAGTTAAAAGTGATGTCCTCAAAAAGAATTTGTCCTCAACTTTAACCTCAAGTTGAGACATCCTCCTTTTGCAAAAGTAAGGTACCATACACGTTAGTCTCACTCACTCACTGAGACATAAAATGTTCCACATGTTTCATGCTACTCAAAATCTGACATCATATTGTCAAATACAAACATGAAGGACTGGATTTATTTTAGTTCCAGAAAAATGCAAAAAAAAAACAAGGCAGCAAAGCTGTCAAATGTACAGACAAAAAACGGAAAATAAAGATGCAAAAAAGGTCATTTTGTTAATTTTGATGCAATAATAAATAATGCTTATAATAGCACTATCAGTCAACACTGAATTTTATAATCATGCACAACAGGTAAAATGGTCAATAACATGAGCGGACCCAGAGATATTCTCTGACAGTATTCCAAAGTATCTATTTTGATCCATCCTCCATTTTGATGGTCTTCCAACNGTGTCTGTACATAAAAAAAATAAATAATAATAAATTAATAATAACATTCTGTAATGCACGCTTATAAGTTAACATTATGCAAGAGGGATATATTGAAATTATATTTGCCTTAAAAGGCTCTTTATTCGTACTTTTGATAAAGCATCTCCAAAATAAATTATCATTTTCAATTTTCAAGAAGTAAATAAGACATTCTCATGGAAAACACATTATTACCTACCTTTTTGCTCTTTTCTTAGCAGTTTTGCTTTCTGCTGCCTGCTTGTTAGCTTCCAACTTACGATGATATTCAGCATCTTCTTTTTCCTGTAATCCATTCAAATTATAAAGAAATATTAAAACATAAGCAAGTGAATGCTATTTTGATAACAAAAGCGAAAAGTTTTTTCTCACACCCACCATATGGGCTATCATTGGATAATCATTCACTGATTAATTACAGCAAGGTCTAATAACTGACATGTTTTTGTCAAACATAAATGTTTCATATTAATAAACAGTATACCAGTCAAAACAACAATAATGCCCATCTTGACAACCTTTTCTGTCTTCTCTGTCATAAACTTTTGCCTGGCATATTCTCTCCGCCGTGTACCTCTGTACACATGAAATTCTCCACTTCCAGCACCAGCACTGGAACCTATATATATATGGAAGGATAAATGTTAGGAAAATATTCAAGTACTAATGAACATTTAATTATCTAAAGTTAATGAACATAAAAGTGAATAAACATTAACAGAGTTATATATTATACCATTTTACGTATAGTAAAATGTTGACTTCAAGCAAACTTTCAACACAGACTAATATGTATATCAGAATATGGTTTCACACTCTTAATTTATAAGAATTTGAAACGGTAAAAACCCACCCCAGACATTCCTGACAAATTCTACGGGCGCTTTTGGAGTATATTCTTTGGGTCTACTTGGTATGAATGCTTCTTTCTCCTACGTATGAAAAACAGACCACGCAATCATTTATTAAAACAAATCCAGTATAACCGGTCCTTTAAAATATAGGAATGGATAGAAATGGGTCGAAATGGACCGATATAGACCTTTAGGTACGCATAGCAAACCTCTTGAAGATCGCATTTGAGTTCTACATATAGTAGAACTTATTACCAGTACATGTATCTGTGGCTAATCAACTTTAACTACGAAAATTATTATTCCTATTGTGTAAATATACCTCAAATTAAAGTAAATCAACTCACTGGGTTACTCATTAACTTTTCAAGTTTCATTCGCTGTAAATCTGCAGCAGTTTTGGGAACAACAACAGTTTTCCCAGGCACATTGGTCGTCTCCTCCGTCGCCATTTTTTCGTCGTCTGCAGGTGCTTGAATAGCCAAAATAAATTTTTTTTATGATACCGTTTTTAGTGGTAAAGTACTATATAAGAAAATAGCTTAAGTTGCACGTAAATTGTGTTTATCAAATTTTCACACAGTTCTGAAGAAAACAAAGCAAGATATAGGCTATTCTCGTAAAATCTCGATAGCTCGCCAATGACCTAAGATAAGGGTCAGTAACATAAACAAAGCTGCTCGCTGTTTGACAAAGGATTTGCAGATCCCCTACAATCAGCTGCTCTTACGTTTCATTCATCTTGCCATGCAGTCTGTCGATATTATGAGAATCTGCTGAACTACTTAAGGTGAGAGTTGCATGCAATATGCGTCTGGTACAACTAGGTCCCTGACATGTCACTGTCAGATTTGTGTCAATCTCTTTATCTACATGTTTGTCAACAGCAACATGAAACTGTTAAAAATTACATAGATGTATTCTTGTCATATTCTTTTGACACACAGCGACGTTTTGTGATTTAGCTTTTGGGCGTTTAATACATAACGCTTTTTGAAAAACCTGAACGTGCAAGGTTCGTGTTCATTTTGGTAAAACACGTGAAATGGCTAATCGATTCCTGAGGTGCAAAAGGGGGTGTGTGCAAATGGGCTTGAAATAGCAGTGGTGGTATTCCTATTATCAGCATGGTTTGCAGATCTGTTATCTCTCCGGATCTCATTAGAAGTCTCCCGATTTGGGGACATATCTCCTGAACTCTCGATTTAGGCTAAAAATCTCCTGATCTTTCAGATATACCCCTTTCCTTTCGATAGAATGTGTGGTGACCTCATTCACAAAAATTTACTGTCACATTTGCTTTCTTTGTTTCATTGATTGAGGTGGTGATTGCAGTAAACAATAAAGAGGAAATGTCAAATACAAAAACACGTCAGGGTTTGTATGAGTACCATCCTGAACACTGTATGTTAATGTTGTCATTGGACGAAGCTTGTTGTGAAAGGAACAGAGACACCAATCATTTAAACCACTGGCATTGTTTGTATAAATTGCTTTCACAAGGATACTTCCTCAGTTAACTTTTATATGAACACCACCTGACCTAGCTGAGAAAGCAAAACTTCTCCCGAACTTCCTAGCTGCATGTAAGTGCCTGCTTATACATAATAGGTTCAATATTTTCCGTCTTTTGCCAAGTTTTGGTAGCTGCATGAACATCAAAACAATAGCTTAAATGAGAAAAATTGAATATGAAATGAGTAACTCACAATGTCTTCCTTGGGTGAACCAGTATCAGATTCAAGTGTGTGTGTGTCGGGGTAGAGGATGTAGGGCATGTGAGGGAATCTCCCTCTCCAGCAGTTGTCATTGTTGACAAGTATGGGTTTGATGTACAGAATGTGACTGATTTTCTATTTGATATTTTAACTTATTAATTCACTTCTGATAATACTACTCGCATTATCTGTGTTAAATTATCTGTCTTACATGTACATCTAGCAGTTTGCAACCCAGAGTTGAAAGGAAAAAAAAAGATTGAGAACCTTTGCAGTAGGGTTGAAGCACTGGTTGAACATTATTTAAGTTATCTATTCAGTACTGGGGTACCTAAAGTATACTAGAAATCATGAAACGAAAAGTGCTTACTGTATACACAATTTTTGTACTTATCTCTGTTTTGTAATGTTTGCATCACATGTACTTGAATAACGTCTGCATAATCCAAAGTGAGATGATGATTTTTATTTCAAAATGTTTTGATAGATGCATTGTGCTAGTTACATATGATCCACCATAATAAAATTGAATTTTTGAATGGTACGTTGTACATTTTACAATAATGCATTGAAACTCCTATTTCTAGATTTCTTCAAAAATGGATGGATTCAAAAAACTTCATGAAGACCTTGAGAAGGTGATTGAGAAGGATGACAGCAACAGTTCAACTACCACCTCAGAGATGGAAGACCCTAAACATAGCAAACAGACCTTCCGTCAAAAACTGCGTCACATTTTACACACAAACAAGTTTCAGATTGGTGTCATATGCCTTGTTATTCTGGACTGTCTTTTGGTCATAGCAGAATTATTAATTGACTTAGAGGTATTTGAAATTGGCGAAGCTAAAGACGAACTTGGTCCTGCCAAAGTGCTTCATTATATGAGCATCACAATCCTGAGCATCTTCCTGATTGAGATTTTTACCAAAATATTTGCCATGGGCCTGGACTATTTTAAGAACAAGCTGGAAGTGTTTGATGGCATAGTGGTGGTTGTATCTTTTGTGCTGGATGTTGTGTTTGCCAACCAGGAAGGTGCCTATGGTGGTATTGGGTTGCTGATTGTGCTGAGGCTGTGGAGAGTTACGAGGATACTCAATGGTGTGTTCTGCATAAAAATTGTCTATGACAAATGAAATCTTTACCAACAGATATTGTATTTTTCAAAACATATTTTTATTATTTTTCCATTCGCAATGTTGTTAACACAAAACTTAATTATTTCCATCTGAAATGAATTACAAACATCATGGGATGCTGCTTGTTAACTGGGCCATACATTTTGGAAGATATAATATTATTTGTTCTGCAGTACATATAATCTTTATTTTTATTGACAGGTATAATAATGTCAGTGAAAAAGCAGTCTGAAAAAAGATGCCTTCGTGAAAGGATGTTAAAGGAAGCAGCAGAACAAGAACTGGCCAAATTCAGGGAGTATTGTGCAGCCCAGGAAAAAGAAATTGAGGAACTCCAAGCATTGCTAAAAAAGCATGGGATTGATTTTCCAAAGATTGAAAAGCCAGTAGAGGTCAGCACCATCAGTGTTACAGCAGAAGTAAATGAAGTTGATGGCTACACCAAAAGACCCGATGATAGCAATGCTTAAGATTTATGTGGAATTCTCTGGTTGGAATGGATTTGAAATGATATCAGGTTATTCTGACAAAGTATGCAATCTGTAGAACTTAGGAATTTGCCCTTTTCCAGACCTTTGTGCCCATGCTGATCTTAATTTTATAGAATTTTTTCTTTGTTATGCTACTCAGCAATCAAGTTAACTTTTTTAAGCAATTTGAGCACGAGTGGTTAAAATGGTCATTAAAAGCACATTTTGAAATGGAAAATTCTTTGGTAATTAAATTAAATAGAAAAAATAGATAATTAAGTTGACAAAAAAAAACAAAAAAAAAATAGGCAAAGGAGACATCAGGATTTCTTCACGGTATTTTCTCTTTATCTGTAGAAGAACAAAAAGAAGCACATGATGGAGACTTTTTATTCCCTATTTATATGGGGTTCTCCTGCCAGTTAAATATAAACAGAGACATACAAACAATTTCTCCATTCTTTATCTTAAAAACATAATGATCTTTAATATCACCTGTTGATCTAGTTTTGGTATCACAAGTTAATCTATTTAAACCATTATAAAAACTAATAGTTTTTATGTAAAAAAAAGACTTGGAGTAGACTTCCTCTATTAGAGAACTTTTCTGTTTGTTAACATGGAATGTTACCAGTCTGAGAGCAAGGACATTTTGAAGGGAGCAGACCTTGTGAATAGGTATTATACAAGTCTGTAATTTTGATATAACATGTGTAAGACATAGACCCTCAGATGTCATTTCTACATATCAAGTGAATTATTCTGGGTCCACTGTATTAGACTAGTTGTTAAGTTGCCAATGAAATGAAGTATGATAAATGTTAATGGACTTATCCTTTGAATATTCCCAAAGGCTATTTTGATATTTTGACTATGGCATTTTGCAGTGGGTGTCTTATTTAATATACAATTGTTCCTTTATTCATATAATGGTAACAAATAATTTGTACATTGTCAAGTTTAATTGCTTTTGTTGAAGAACATTAGAATTTGAGCAAGTTTTTTTTAATTCTGATTGCTTGTAATTGAAGTAAGGTTGTCAATTACCTCCTGTAGAAAATACTCTATAATTGCAGTCTACCATCTCATTTAATACTAGTTTGAAAAAACTAATGAGAATGAGATAGTAGCTTGTACAGATTTGATTTTTTTTTCAAATCTCATGTATGTGCAATCTATTCAATGTTTTCTCCTTTAGAAACATTGCCCAAGATTTTGATCTTGATTTTACGGACCTCAGCAAATAAATCTTAGATTCTCTTCATATTTTGCATTGATTGAAAGTACCCCGTAGATTACAGTGTACTTTATATGTTTTTGCAAGAATTACTGTAGTCAAAGTTATTAATTTCTTATAATTTCTTCATAATATGTTATGTTCTTCTCCTTTTTTTGTGCTAATTTTTTTCAATAACATCGCTAAAAAAATTTTTAATTTTTCATGGCAAGATTGTTATCAGTCTTTTAACTGTAAAAATAATTATTTCATTTCAACATAGAGGCTGAAAGAATTGTATCCTGTGCAGAATTGTTTATATTGTATGAGACTAAAAAATTCAGAACTTCCATTTACACAAGGATTTACTTGAGGTGCTTACTTTGTTACTTTTTTAATTTACACTGTCCTGGAAAGGGGCCACATGAGATTTTGGCATTCTTAATAAAATGTTATTAAAGAACATCACTTTATCAAGTTCAAAACTGAGAAATATAAGCACACACACATTTAAGACACAGATGTTTTTCTCCACTTGATGTGAATAGATCCATGGATTAACCTTCTTTTCACTTTGTGCCAATTTTTTAAACAAGGGTATCAATGTCATTTTTTTAAAGGCTGTAACATGCTATCCACTAAGTAGGTGATGTAAAAAAATCTGCAACATATCCCCATCTATACAGACTTATACTTTATTAGAAAGTAACTTACCTTTACAGTAACTTCTTCCACCTGTATCTGTATTATAACTTCTATCTACTGTTTTATCATTTAATTTAAATAAAATTAATCATTTTATGTCAGATAGTAAAGAATGAAAGCCAGAGATAAAAATATAATATTTTCATTGTCATACATTGTTGCAGTATGTAGCCATTACAGGTCCTGTGCACACTTATTTCATTTGACTAAAAAATGGCAGCTCTCCAAATTCTTTAGTACATAATTATAATTTGCATTCAGGTATTGCATGAAATCAAACTGAAATATAGCTTCAAGAATTGTGAAGATCAATAATTTACCAAAGTACCAAGTGCATTATAAATAATGTTCTATGTAATATGTTATATGTAGTGATTCTACATTTATTTATTTTCTTTTGTCACATGTTTAGTTTCAAATTATTGTACATTGCATGTTAAAAGGACAGACAACCATAGTGTGTTAAATGCAAACTTAGTTAAGTTTTTAAAATGCAGAGGAACTAACCATGTTGAAATACTGTGCAATATTAGCTGTAGCTTGACCATAATAAAAATCAATTTTTATGAAATGTTCAGGGTGTCTAATTCAATGTACATAGCATATTCGGTCAGCATAAGGATTCATGAAATTGTATAAATAGTTGCTTTGTCAACTTCCAGAATGATATTACTCATCTTTTTTGAAGTATGATATTTACTGTAAGCATTAGCCTGCATAGATCTTAGAATTTAGAATGATTTGCCCAAACTGTGTATGAAAATACTCTCGCATAATAGATATCCAATGTATGAATGTATGACCACTTTTGAAACTAATAATCCTGCATTACATTCATATTTGTGGAGTATTAACACAAAGAGTAGCACATTGAGCAATTTTGTTCCACAATAAAAAAATGAAAAATAAAGTACATGCCTACTTTTTCTGACTTTGACTGAATCTGAATGATCTCACTTTGTGTAATTTCAATTCAAATGCTGATTATTCTACACTGGCAAAATGTTTGTCAGTTGTACTGATTATTCTACTTTCTTCTTCTAATTTTTGAAGGCACTTAAGGATGGCATTTGAATTTAGACTACAGTACTCTTCTGCCTTCCTAATCTCACCCAAAATATGTAGGTAATGGCACCCCTTTTCTGCATCTGAAAGATGATGTTTGAAAGAACAGTTACAAAAATACTTCATAAATGGACTTGTACTGTGTTCAATAATTGATAACATGTACCATGTTGCTGAAATTCAAGCAACACCATTTAATACATACACCTCAAACATTTAAAAATTACATCAGATTCTTTAAAAATTACATCAATATACACTTTTCCTTCAACAGAAGCAGTTTACAATAATGTTAAATTATAAATTATCCTTACATTTTTCTCTGGCACATTCTTTTTGCAGCAAATTCAGCACAATTTTGATAAGTTGGACATCATTCATAATCACCTGAAATTCAAAGTCCAGTTGAGCAGAGCCTTTAGATTTTGTCACTTGTTTATGTGACAATTTTGGGGACTTATATGATTATTTAAATTTTTGCCCTATAGATCAGGCCTACCCAACTACCAGACTCGCACATAAGGATCCTGAATTAACCCGTATTTCAGACCACACTACCCGTTTTCAAGGTGTGTGTCAGACCACATTTCGGAGTATCATACCCCAGAACAATTTTTGTAGGACGACCGCGGGCTCATCCTGTCAGTGTTCTGACTGATGCTCCGAAATGCGATCTGACACACACCTTGAAAATGGGTAGTGTGGTCCGATATACCAGTTAATTCAGGATCCTTATGGGCCGAGTCTGGTAGTTGGGTAGGCCTGTAGATGTCCTATTACAAAGGCATATTACATACACTGTAAATAATGAAATTACCATTGTTCAAATTTTTTTCTTTCCCTTATCTATCTCTTTTTACAAAGTAAAATACAAAGAACGTTGTACAGAGGTTATCTATTACTTTTTAACTGATGGTTGTAGACAAACACAGTCAATGAAATCAGAAAAATTCATTTGTTCTCATTTTTCACGTTAGATCCTATAAACAGTTCCTTAGACAACAGGTCGTATGTAGAACGAACATTCTCAGTTAAAAAAATAGTTTTTATCGTCAGCTAACACATGTAAAAATTAGTGCTTACTCTGTAGTGTTCTCGCTTTTTCTGATGTTTTAATAGAAAACCGCTTTCCTCCAGCTGATTTACAACTTGATCAAGTAAGGTCCTTTTGTTTAAAGCAACCTAAAAAAAAAACAAGAAAAGTGTAAATTGAGCACTTTACATTGATAAAGTTACTTAATTTTAGCATAAATATTTCCAATAAATGAAAGATTGATGACTGTAAGTTTTAAGCAACATGTAAATTGATATTCCCAGTGTATACCTATAATCACAATATCATCTTTAATAAAGCAGACACATTGAGGCAGGTAACCATCAGAGATCAGCAATCTATATCTCCCCCACTACAGACAGGGGCAAAACTCTCTCAACCTGTCAGGATCATTTAAATGATCCAAATGATGTTTTAAGAAGCTGTACATTCAAACTGATGATGTTGAGCTAAGTAAATAAGTAAATGAATCCTGTCAATTTCTTTTCTATCTTACACTTTGCTCTGGTGCATTTTGGTCAATTAGGGATTTCACATCTTCAGATGTCTCCAAGTCTGCCATGCAGAATTGTACAGTTCTACTTTCTTCGAATAATTTCATGAGGCCATCTTGTAGACTTGCTGTGAGGTGAATCTGGAAGATAAGTACTGGTGATAAATTTTTTGACAGAAAGAGTAGCTATAGGTTACAATACTAATTCTGTACAATGTTAAAATTTGAGACAAAATTGTAGTCATAAATGGAACTGCTGTAATACACAATGAACTCTAAATACTACAAAGAGGTATTAAACAAATGTACATTCTCCTGAGCAACCACAGTATAATAATTTCAGCCCCAGTCTTAATTATAAATGATATATAACACCGACTTACCAATGAAAGATTATGAGAATTGCAGTTTTTTATTATGTTTGACAACTGGAAAGGCTTGTCATAAAACAACTGGTGCAGGGCCTGCACCTCCAGCATTCGGTTCAGTTCCGCATTTGGATCTTTCTCAATGGCTGAAATAAACAGATAACAAATCATGAAAATTACAGTAACTTAAAGAAAATGCTTCACCCTAACAAATTTGATAAGTAGACCAACAAGCTGCAACTCATTGTATACAGGCTGAAGGAGAACTTTTGTTTTGTAACTTTTTTATGTTTAATAGGCATTCCAGATACATTTTACATTTTTTTTTCTTTTCTTTTCTTTCTTTCTTTAGGAAGAGGGAGGATGTCAAATTGTCAACTTGGACAATTTCTGAGCATTAATATAACAGCATTTAAGTTTTTCTTGGGGTTAGTTTTAAATATTTCCCACTTAACAAGCCAATGTCTAATGCATTTTTTTCATTTGAAAAAAAAGGGTCTAAAATATCTGATTTCCTCAAATCTGTCAGTCAAACTAGTAAACCAACTTCTCAATTTTGTCTGGCCTTATAATAACTTTGGTGACATCAATTCTATTAAATGGATACTACAATTTCTTAATTCTGGAAACTGGATGTGTATCTTTCAATGGATATAATACAATATAGTGCATAGAAATCCCAATGAGACATGAAAATTCTTGGTTGGACCTTTTTTCTGTCTGGTGATATACACTGTAACTGATCACCCCATTTCAGGCCTAGAGAAGTCCTCATCAGACACAGACCAACCAAAAGGGACATTAAAAAGAATATATCCCTAAAATTCTAAATTAACATTTAAAAATTCTAAGGCAATACATAATTTTTCTTTTAGATCTGTAAGTTTGAATCTGTAAAACCACTAAAGTCAGCCTTGAAACTTGCCAAAGTAAGAAGCCATTATTTCTCGTTGTTCTCTGAAGATCTTTATTTTTCCTCTGACATGAAGGAGGTCCCCCAGGTTGAATCCTTCCTCTTTACATTGTTGGATTTTTTCAGTTTCTTCTACTTTTTCTTTGAGACCTTTTATAAGAACATGGAAAAACAAACAGATAAGAACCCCTTCTGATACAGTGATTTTTCTTTAATTTTAATTTTATTTAACAATACATGTTTACTAGTCTAGCATTTTTGTCACATTTATTTTAGTGAAGTTCCCAACAAACAAAGGCCTAAGGAAACATACTGGTAGGTCTTACTTATAGACAAGGCAATATGAACAACTAATAAAAAATCAACTCTCTAGAAAAAACTAAAATGCATGTACTACTACAGTTGTAACCTAACACAGTTTTATAATGTTTTTATTCAACAAATATTTATTCAATGAACACCTGTACAACAAACCTGGAATGATGCACTGTTTTACTGTCAATGGATCTGGATTCCAGCAGCAACAATTTATGACTCCAGTGCTATCGTCAACTGTATAAAAATATAAAATATTTTAACATCTCCTCAAACCCACTTTTAAAACATGCATAACCATAACTAAAGATAATTAATAAAATGAAACCCCCAAAACAATGTATGTTGATTAACAGAAACTGATCTTTCTGTGAAAATAATCTGATGTTCTGACTGAATCAAGATCAAAATTAAACTAAAGAAACTGTGATACTAAGGATTTTTAAACAAATGGTTCCATTTGAATTTTTCAAATCAGTTTGGCCATTTTAACTTTTTAAAACATCCTATGTACTCATTTCAATAGCTTGACAGAGTTGTGGTTATATCATAAATACAAAGATGAAAGTTGTAAAAGTTGTAAAAACCATATGAAATAAATTATCAAAATGAAGAATGAGGCATAAACCTGAGAACTTTCACCCATGTAAATAGTATTCAGAGAACCAAGTCTTACTTGCATATAAAAACTGCTTGCTCCTCTGCTCCACCCTGACAATCACACCCATCAAATCCACCTTACTAACAGGGTGGTTCATATAAGAAAACACCCCTTGAACTGGGGTAGCTGAAGAATACTCAGTCATAGTCAATACATCCCTGATGTAAAGTTTACAAAAAGTCTGGGAAGTGGGATCCAAACCCCAGTATATCTGTGGATACATGGCATTTGCTGTTGTCAAGGTCTCTTTTTCTGCTCCCTGCATTCTATTTTCCGCTTCAGCCATATTTACTTGTACCTGGGTGCATGTGAATTCTAAATTTGTGAATTTGTATTTCAGGGTTTTGTGCTGAAAACTAATATGGCAGTTACTATGAAAGTTGAGAAATTTATACAAAAAAGACTTTTCTGCATGTATGAAAATCCATGCATTGTAAAAATATACATGTACCCTGTTTTGCAACAAACATCGTTTAATACGTATCCAAATCTTTGCGTGCCAACACAAGAAAGACTTGTAGATAACTGTTGCTTCAGCTTTCAGTCTTACATGCTAGGTATATTACCTCAGGTAAGGTCTATATTCACATGTGTTACTTTCAAGGCTATAAATATCCACGTGCTGGGAAAACAGTGTCTCCTCTAGAAATTCTTGTAGTATATGTCATATATGCAAATGCTGTCCTTTTCTGTCAATTCATGCAGCAGTTTTTCCTCCAGCTACCACTGTTGATGTGGCTGCACTGCATGAAATCAGTACTAGTAACACCAGATTAACACGCAGCAGACCGCAGAAAACCAAGGGCATCTGCAAAAGAATGACTAACAGGGCCGTAGCCTCTGGGGGGGCAGGGGGGGGCAGCTGCCCCCCCCTGGAAATTGGGGTGCAAAAAAATAATCGCAAAGGTAAAAAAAATAATTGCAAAGTTGGTATCAATTCTGTGAGAAAAGGCACTCATGGCCACTAGACAATCATTCAACAATCTGTTTACAAAGGTGTACTGTTTTTAGCCAACTCAGTTCATGCCAAAAAGCTCACCCTCCCTGAGGGAGCTATCCCCCAGGCCAATTGGCGTGTTGTGTTGAAAAAATGACTGTACTTATGGCAAAATGAACCCACAATTTCCGACTTCTGATTGACCAATAAATAACAGTTAAAATGCACCAGAATGCAGTATTATACATACAGTTTTTAAAAATTTTCCACACCGTGGGAGGGGGACACCCCCTACCACACCCTCCCACCTCGGGGGCTTCGCCCCCTCGTGTCCGCTTACTGCCCCCCCTGGCATTTTGCTCAGGCTACGGCCCTGACTAATTGGTAATTTTATAATCATACATGATGTTACGTAGACTGCGTCTCTACACATATGCACATATACCCAGTAGTACATATCAAAGACCACGAATAGATGTGCTAACGCGTGGTTTTCCGTGCTACTCTCGTCTTTATGACAGCAATTTATGTTAAATATTGCCTCAGTTGATGAGGCAAATGTTTATGCAATGTTTGTCGTGCAGTATTGAAGAAAGGGAATCAGATCATATACAAGTTTACCTACAAGTAAATTTAACCTCATGTTATCTACATCACCTCTATAAATCTTTGCCATTCAGTGGCCGCTCCGTCCCTTATTCGAAGTTACCATACATGACGAGCCTCGCACTAGGCCTATTATGCCACTTCCTGTGAAACTCGAGTTTCGCGGTTTGTGTTTAAGCACGTGACAACAACATGACGCTGTCCCTACTCAACTTGTGTGGGTGGCGACACAAATCGGTTGACCCACAACTAAAATCGGTTTAGCTCTGTTATAATGTTTTTAAAAGAAAAAAAGATAACAGTTTGAGGAACTCTTATGAAAAATAGTGTTTTTCAGGAAAAATTGAAAGAGAGTTAGTCATTCAGTTGTAGACAGGGGGTGAGTTGACGCGTGGGTTTGGAGCCGTTGGGGGGATGTGGGAGGCCGTCAATACAAACCGTTATTAGGCCTATATATTTTTCTGCAAGGGATTTCCTATAATGTTAAGAAACATGTTAACATCAATTAATGGAATATTGATGTGGGTCCTGCCCCGCCCCCTTCGAATTCTTAAAAACATCACGACAGTGGTCCCCTCTCGAAATTAGAATTTTGACTAGCTGAATCATAGTTGCAAACCGTACCAAATGGCACCGTTCGCCCTCTAAAATACCAAAATGTTTCGAACCCCACGCCATGGGGAAGGGACGACAAGGGTCGGTTTTGCATCCGCGGACCCCCTTCAAATAATCCTGGATCCGCCCCTGTATTGAGAGATAGGGCCTATATGGTGTTGGCTATAAAAGTGTGCATACACGTGGCATTCCCTGTAAGAATAATTAAACAGTTAAGGGGGATATGGCAAGGCATTTGGTAGAACACACAAGGAAGCATGATATTCCTAAATTGCCCAATCCTTGAATTTGATCGGAATGTTTTATGGAATCCCGTTAAAAATAGGCCTATAGGCCTATCCTATAGCCCCTACGTGATTTTTGCGCCAAATCTATAGGCCCCTATTAATACTAAAAAATAATAATAAACTCCTACTCAAAAATCTTCGTTAAACCCGTCCATTATATGTTTTATACCATTTCTAAGGCAGCTCGTTTTTCATTTGGAAGACCGGGGCTAGTTGGACCCCGGGGTAAGTTGGCCCCCATCATTTTATTTTATAATAAAGTAACTATGGGATAAAAGAATTGATCACATCATTTTGTAAAGTGACCGTATTCAATAGTGCTAAGAAAGCGTCGGCAGTGAGTCCAAATGAAATAATTTAGCATCTTAAAGTAACTTTATTAAAAAGACTTGATGGGGGGGGGGGGGG